ACTGCACAGCCGACTTTACAGCCATGGCTTTTTTTGGAGCCGGGCATCCCGATTGAGTCCACTGTTTTGATTGAATTCTGGCGTGTAATGATGAACCCATGTTGCATCTGTTGTTACAAATCGACGTAAAAATCGGCCTTATTACTCTGAAAACGGTCCAGACATTCTTTCACACTAAAATATAATTCTTTTGAGTTTTGCACCCGAATTCTTTTTTGATCGTGCGTAAGCAATCGCGGCACCCAACGGGCCGATAAATTTTTCATATTTAATTCCTCACTTAGGATATGATGTACCCGTTCTTTTGAGATACCTGTAGTGTCAGCTATTTCAAATAACTTCAATCGTCGCTCTGCTAAAACCATATCATGTACTTTCACGACCATTTCCGGGGTGGTGACGCTTCTTGGACGTCCGGGGCGGGCTTCATCGTGGACACATGTACGACCGCGTTTAAACTCAGCCACCCAGTTTTTTACCGTGGCCTAAGAAAGAGCACATTCACTCAAAACATTCTTTAACTCGTCATAGATATCTTTCGCCTTCAGCCCCTTCATATGAAGAAAGTTCATCACCGCTATTTGTTCAATTTTATCCATTTTGAAAACAGTTGACGAAATATTTTTTCAAATGACAAAAAAACAGTAAAATTTTCACGCCACCAAATTCAATTTAGAACACAGGTGGCCAGAGATACGAATTTAAAAATGACATATATATTTTTTTAATTTTAACTTTTTAAATAGCAATGGCTAGTTACTTATCATCCCGCCTACGTATGATAACCCCGGAAAATGGTTAAAAGTTTTATTTAAGTGTTAAAACATTACAAATAAACGATAGGGCGTGGCATTGTAAAATCGACTGGTAACGAAAGATATTGCGAAAAGATTTATGTGCTCGGTTAGTTATCATACGAATGTATTCTAATGCTTTTAAACCATAGGATAATTTAGCAAAAACATGACATATTCTGACTACCTAACATTTGAAACGTAAAATTTATCTTTAATTTAGTAGCTTTGTTAAAAACACAATTTAATACGTATGTACGGTATAATAAGTGTTAATTAACTTTCTCGACGAGTACGAAATTGTTATATGAAACATTTTCAATCATATTCAAGAATATATCATAATTCGAAAGAGGAATTTATTATTACATAAATAATGACGTGTCTAGTTATTACGTAGACGACATGTCGTGATCTGTTAAACAAGGTTGAAACGGAAAGTTTCTGTGATTATAATATGTTAATATGTGATCTTATATAAATAACAATTCAAAAAAACTATAACACAAAAATACACTGGAGGATATGACATGTGTTCTGGATGACATGTCTTCTGGATTCGCGGGTTCGATTCTTGCAGCAGCAAAAAACTTTTCGTATTTATTAACATAAATTTTAATGTTTCATCTTATGTGCAGAGATCAACACGAGCAAAAAAATTAAATAATCCTGTTTTGTAACAACATTTACATGCACAAATTTTACACACCCAGATCCGAAACAACTGCACAACGGAGTCTTCGTAATAACATTATATATGACTAGCTGTGCCCGCGACTTCATCCGCGTAGAATTTAAAATTAAAAAATAAAAGTAGCCTGAGTTACTCCTTATTACATCAGCTATCTGCCAGTGAAAGTCTCGTCAAAATCCGGTATGGCTGTTTAAGATATTAGCCGGAACAAACAGACAGACAGACAAAAATTGTAATAAATGTTATTTATGTATATGTACCGTGTATACATCCTTATTATGCATTGAGTAAAAAGCGGGTATTTTAATATTACAAACAGACACTCCAATTTTATTTATCTGTAATAGAAAACTTTACCTAATTCTTTAAAATAATATATAATATTATAATAATATAAATTATTATAATAATATAATATTATATAATAATAATAATAATATATAATAATATTATTTAAATAATCTTTAAAATAACAAATTCAGTATGACAACAGATCCTCAATCAGTTTCACCAACGAGGAACACAGCTGTAGTACCCCAATAGGGGACAAGGCCCTCTTGTAAGGATCCAAATTTATTGCCGGTTCCAATTGTAGCCGTTACGCAGGAAGTCACTATTTCGGGACTCCACGGGACCACTAACTGACGGTCGACTGAAAGGATTGCGGCAAAAGACACCTGCGGTATTTCCTGATCCTGATCCAATCGCTAACTACTGCGAGAGCTAAATGCAGAGCAGCATGCAGCTAGCATTATTGAATTGTGAACAGTTTCATACAAAGATTCAATCTATTGAAATTTATCTCAGTTAATATTCGATATCTAACATTTAGTATGATGGATAATCCGCTTTTTACCCTATTCCAATTAATTGACAACGCAATATACTCGTTAATTTTAAAATTAACTGAAGTCTTAACCACTTACATTAATTTATGATTTATTCCCACGTTTGCCATAAAATTGCGAGGTAAACAACAAAAGTGAGAGTATTTTACTTTACCTATTTATTTTAGTAATATCTTCATTGGAAAGTTCGGGAAGCTATTTTTCTTTTTTCTATTGACACAAAATGAATATATCATAGTTCATTTTGTGTACAGTAACTTGGTTGTAATTGAAATAATGCAATGATTGACTTGTGAAAAGTCATTGGTTTTTAGCAGTTTTGCTAGCACTATAATGGAGTACTATAATCGTAAACTTGCGTCACGATATCATATTAGTATGTAACCCGATGCTAAATGACGATATGCTCGTAGATGTCTAAGGCAGTAACATAGTAAAAACATTAAATAAATATTACACCATTGTATTTTAAATAGAGAGATAGGGAAAGAGGGAAAGGTAGGATCGGAGTAAGACATCTTTAAATCCTGCACAATGCGCCAAAATACAGCGTGTCGTTACAACCGCGACAGAAAATGAACACACATATAGAGGATAACTTTTTGAAATTGTATTAAGCTAATTGTAAAAGAATGTAAATTCTTTAGACATCAATATTTACCGAATTATTACATTTTACAAAACAAAAATTTTTAGAACATCCTTACGTATAAAACTGTAACGTAGTGTTCATTTGTAAAGTTCACACAGCATATGAATAGTATGAATGAATTTAAAAGACATAAAACATACTGTTAGGAGGAGAGACTTCTAATGCAACGTCGTGGCAACGAATGAAAAAGTCTCTGAATGTATGAATCAGTCAGTTGTAGTTGTATAGGATGTTACAAATTTTGTTTCTTTTTTATTTAATTAGTTTGTTTGAAAAATATATTTTTTAACTATGGATTTTTTAACGTTTTATATTTTTTTATGATTATTGGCAAGTAGCGTTAGACGTGTGTTCATTTATTGTCGCGGTTGTACCGCCACGCTGTATATATCATAGTTCATTGATTAATTTCATTCCTAAAGTATTCCCTTGACGCAAACAATGTACGACCCATTAAAGATCTGAGTCAACACAATTGCAAAGTTATTGTCACCTTTTCTTAAAGATAACCTTATCGTTCTTAAAAGTCCACATATTTTTTTTTAATTCTATTAATTGTTATATTTCAAGTTCTTTTAGATAATACCACTTTCAAATATATTAATCCAAAATACCTTAAGCTAATAAATGCATGATTTAAGCTCGCTCAATTAAAAATAAAGCTGATTTTGCATATGTTAACGCAATGTAAAGCAAATACAATTTGTACTTTACACAGCTGAAAAACAAAGAAAAATATTCCATATTTAAGGAATAAGTGTATAAAGGAAAAATTCAATAAAAATAATAAAACAATCCTAATTAGTAAATGCAAAATATTTTTTTACAAATCGGAGAACTATATGCCAATGTATATGGCAGACTGTATTTGTCTTACCAGTTTTTTTAAATATAAATTAAGTTTATCATTTCAGTTAAGCATAAACATAAATAGGATAATGCAAAGCATTACAAAAATATCTCAAACTAATTTCTTATTCAAAACAAAACAGGACTCATGAAAGATGACCACTCCGTCTTAAGTTTCTATCAGCAGTGAATCACAGCTGTGGACCCACGAACAGGTCATTCTGTTCAAATAGATGATGTTATTGAAATGATGCTGCACATTAAGTCATTAAACATTGCATGAATTACTTACCATGACCATTCAGGGCTGCATTTTGACTCTATTTACTAGTCACGCAGAGACTTTATTACGGACGTCGTACACAGTACTATGAAGGGTTCTTAGCGCAAAATGCAAAAGATCGATATCACTGTCATAGAATCTGACAGTTCCCGCCTTCGCGTCTTTTTTTTCTGTAGCCCCAGGGATGTCGATCCCTCGGCGTGTGTCCAGATCGCCAGGATAGCGTCAACTGGCAATACACGCAGAGCAACTCTTGCGCACTCTGTACCTACTCCAATTGTGAACCGCGTTTATTTGTTAACTGGCCACGCGTTCGGAAACAATTGACTGTATTTTCTGCCGGCCTGCAGATAAGATTTAAATGTCCGCTTCGGAATACGCGCGTCGCAAGGCGTGAACGCTGCATTTTTGCATACAAGGGCCAAACGGAAGGACAAAAATCGAAATAAAGTTTAAACTTTCCACGAATCACTTTCCATCGGGCTTTAAAGGAAAAACGCCAATGTAAACCGTTTATAATTTAAACTGATCAAAAATCGCGTTAACATGTTTTTCATTCTTAAGGAGACACTGCGCACTGCTCGCGATTAACAAATGGTCACTCTTGTGAAACAGTGCTATACGACATGGCATTTATCACCGCTCCGTCGGCTAATCACTCATTTCGGAACCAATTTAAAATGATTTATCCCGTTTCTTTCACCGGCTATGTTACCAAAGTACGGGTTGAGTGAAGGAGATTAAACTTTAACAATACGCCTGCAGAAATGGTTAATGAGTGTAATAATCGTTTTCCGCGGGTACACTCGCTTGGATTTTGATTTTATGCGTCGTCAGTGGACTTGAAAATCGGCCTTGAATTTTCCGGATAAAATAAGCCATGAAAGTAAGTGTGTGTTAATCATTTCATCTAATTCACAAAATAGCTGTGATTATAACGAAAAGCTTCAATTTTGTACCTTTTACGTTGCCACCTAGGCAAACGAGTAAGCGCGGGATGTTACGTGATTACTGGCACCTGCAAACATCTACACCACTTGTAGGATTGCTATGCATTGCCATTTGCCACACTTTGTTACCTTACTCACGAAACGTATAAGTATAATGCGATTCAAGTAAAACGAATTTAAGGTACTGTATTTAGACTTTCACCGAGTCACGACAGTTTCACGGTCTTATGCTGCTACACAGACCTTCACTTATTATTATTATTTTGTTTGTTTTGTTACGTTTTTTTTTATTATGCGTTTATTTTAAGTCTTTCCAATATTATTTTATATACTGTGTAGTTACATTATTTTTTAATTTTTGCATGTGTCCATTGTACTTAGACCGTGAGTGAAAAACAGAAGAAACGTTTTTCTTCTTCTTCTTCTTCTAAAAATAAGACTGACCTCGCGCCAGCTAGTGTAGTATTTTGTCAATTGAAACCATTCGGTAGGGTAAACAAAACAAATGTTTTTTAAATAATATTTATTTATTTATATCACAACAGAAACAATTTGAATCTGAATCTAGTACTTCAATTCCGTTAATTTCCGAATCTCTTTTAATATTCCACTAGCGACCCGCCCCAGCTTCGCGCTGGTGCAATGTATTATATATATATATATATATATAGATATAAACTTCTTCTTGAATCACTCTATCTAGTAAAAAATCGCATCAAGATCTGTTGCGTAGTTTTAAAGATCTAAGTATTTAGTATTTTTATTTTTAGAAAATAATTTTTTTATAAAATTAATCGATTTGAAAACTTTCTTTTGCTTGAGATTTCCAAATTTATCAACAAAGGGACGATAGCAAATCGTTGCATTAATGGCGAAGATTATTGGATACCAAGGACTTCCCACTACATTCTTTGTTTAACAATCAAGGCAACGTATTCGCACTCGCAATTTGCATAGCTGGCGACGAAGGCAGGAAACGCGGAATATAATTCCACACGAGGAAAAGCGAGTAATTTGGAAATACTCCGATAACCTTCGCCTGCATTTTTGCCCTTACTATAGTAAGGGCAAAAATGCAGGCGAATGTATTTTGTCATTTTCCTGTGTTGTCTACATTTTATGTACACAAGCTTCACATGGGTAAATAAGTATTAACGGTTGGACACACAATACTTGTCTCCGAACAATTGAAATCAAATTATTATGTATACACTTCAAAATATACGTATAGTTTAAAAAAAAGTTAAGTATTAACCGATATATGTCCCACTGCTGGGCAAAGGCCTCCTCTGTACAGAGGGCATAGTCCACCACGCGGCCCCAGTCCGGATTGGCGAACTTCACATATCTTCGAAATATTTTTTTTAATTATTATTTTGAATATGCAAGTTTCCTCACGATGTTTTCCTTCACCGCTGAGCACGTGATAATTCAGCACTTAAAATTAACAATTTCATTGGTTCTAGCACCTAGGATCGAACTCAGGTTACTCGAGTATATTGAATTAAAGGCGAGCGCTCGGACACTGAGCTATCACGGCTCAACGTATAGTTTACATTTAAAAAATATACTTTTTTTTCTAAAAAAACTTAACAAATAGCATCGGATAATGGAAATCTACAAGATTGCCATCTTGGGAGAATTTCGAAGTCACATTTCACAGCCTTACCCCTATTCTATAAATCCGGAACTTAAGGGCTTTTCCGTCACTACCCAAGTCACATTGGATCGATTCACGTAAATATCGCTTTAAATTTTAACAACTTATATTTTTTTCGAACAATTTCACCTTAAAATCTCCGGTTTCCTTCAAAGTCATAAACATAAGATTATTTATCTTTTATTTATCAATAATTATGTTTTAATTCATTGAAAAATATAATTTGGCAAGACATATTTCGAAGATATTTACGCACATCTGTATGTAAAATATTCGTTGAAAGTTGTCATTACACAAATTTGTAGGTGGTTTGGTCGAGTTGGTAATTTTAAACTGAGCCAAGCTCTCTGCCACTGAGCTACCACGGCTAATCATTAGTAAGCTAAAGCATGACTATTATTATTGTATCAAACAACAAAAGAGAATATATAAACAACATAAGAGATATATTCGGGGGCGAAAAATCGATCTGACTAGGTTTCATTTTTAGAAAATGTCGTTTTATCCCAGTTTTCAGGGAATGAAAAATATTATTCGAATACGACGGTAAATTTCACCGAAAAAAAAAAATTAACGGTCGGTAATCAGGCAGCCGCTAACAAACAGCCACGAAACAGAAGGCCGTAGTTTCGTATCACGATCATTTACACACATACTTCAATTCCGTTAATTTCCGAATCTCTTTTAATATTCCACTAGCGACCCGCCCCAGCTTCGCGCTGGTGCAATGTATTATATATATATATATATATATAGATATAAACTTCTTCTTGAATCACTCTATCTAGTAAAAAATCGCATCAAGATCTGTTGCGTAGTTTTAAAGATCTAAGTATTTAGTATTTTTATTTTTAGAAAATAATTTTTTTATAAAATTAATCTATTTGAAACTTTCTTTTGCTTGAGATTTCCAAATTTATCAACAAAGGGACGATAGCAAATCGTTGCATTAATGGCGAAGATTATTGGATACCAAGGACTTCCCACTACATTCTTTGTTTAACAATCAAGGCAACGTATTCGCACTCGCAATTTGCATAGCTGGCGACGAAGGCAGGAAACGCGGAATATAATTCCACACGAGGAAAAGCGAGTAATTTGGAAATACTCCGATAACCTTCGCCTGCATTTTTGCCCTTACTATAGTAAGGGCAAAAATGCAGGCGAATGTATTTTGTCATTTTCCTGTGTTGTCTACATTTTATGTACACAAGCTTCACATGGGTAAATAAGTATTAACGGTTGGACACACAATACTTGTCTCCGAACAATTGAAATCAAATTATTATGTATACACTTCAAAATATACGTATAGTTTAAAAAAAAGTTAAGTATTAACCGATATATGTCCCACTGCTGGGCAAAGGCCTCCTCTGTACAGAGGGCATAGTCCACCACGCGGCCCCAGTCCGGATTGGCGAACTTCACATATCTTCGAAATATTTTTTTTAATTATTATTTTGAATATGCAAGTTTCCTCACGATGTTTTCCTTCACCGCTGAGCACGTGATAATTCAGCACTTAAAATTAACAATTTCATTGGTTCTAGCACCTAGGATCGAACTCAGGTTACTCGAGTATATTGAATTAAAGGCGAGCGCTCGGACACTGAGCTATCACGGCTCAACGTATAGTTTACATTTAAAAAATATACTTTTTTTTCTAAAAAAAACTTAACAAATAGCATCGGATAATGGAAATCTACAAGATTGCCATCTTGGGAGAATTTCGAAGTCACATTTCACAGCCTTACCCCTATTCTATAAATCCGGAACTTAAGGGCTTTTCCGTCACTACCCAAGTCACATTGGATCGATTCACGTAAATATCGCTTTAAATTTTAACAACTTATATTTTTTTCGAACAATTTCACCTTAAAATCTCCGGTTTCCTTCAAAGTCATAAACATAAGATTATTTATCTTTTATTTATCAATAATTATGTTTTAATTCATTGAAAAATATAATTTGGCAAGACATATTTCGAAGATATTTACCCACATCTGTATGTAAAATATTCGTTGAAAGTTGTCATTACACAAATTTGTAGGTGGTTTGGTCGAGTTGGTAATTTTAAACTGAGCCAAGCTCTCTGCCACTGAGCTACCACGGCTAATCATTAGTAAGCTAAAGCATGACTATTATTATTGTATCAAACAACAAAAGAGAATATATAAACAACATAAGAGATATATTCGGGGGCGAAAAATCGATCTGACTAGGTTTCATTTTTAGAAAATGTCGTTTTATCCCAGTTTTCAGGGAATGAAAAATATTATTCGAATACGACGGTAAATTTCACCGAAAAAAAAAAATTAACGGTCGGTAATCAGGCAGCCGCTAACAAACAGCCACGAAACAGAAGGCCGTAGTTTCGTATCACGATCATTTACACACTTATTTTTTAATTTTTTTTTTCGATTCCAGATCATTGCTTTCTTTTTATTTTTCTATTATTTTTTGTCGATTTGTTATTTTGTTATTTTTTTCCCTTTTTTTTTAAAGTGCTTTCTTTTGTGAAAAACACCAGTTTATATTTTCTTATTATTACATTGGTAAGATCGAAACATATTATGCATATTTCATTACTTAGTAATTTGTATCTAAATGTAATTTCCAAAATACACGATTTACCAAAAAAAAACAAACTGAGCAAAGCTCGGTCCTCCAGGTACTACTTTATTGTACACCAAGAAACATTACAGTATTTATAATTTAAAAAAAACACACGGGTACAACAGGCGGCCTTATCGCTTAAGCAGCGATCTCTTCCAGGCAACCTTAGGGCAGAGAAATTCATTAAAAGAAGGAAGTGGCAGGGACTAAATAAATATTAAGAAAAGTAAAGTAAGTAAAGTAAAGTATTAAGAAAAGTAGTATTCAATTTTAGTGTTTCACCAGATATCGTGTTCATTATACTCAGATTTTTCCTTGAAACTAATTCATATACCTGTAATAAGATAAGGAAAAGTGTCGCCTAATTGCAATATGTAATATTTCCTAATGGAATAAAGTAATAAAATAATTGTCTGTACGTTTTAAAGTACACTAATGGGCAAAGACTTTTGGCTTCGGGACTATTAATAAACCCCGCGACACTATCAATGGGTAGACCTCTACCTCTATATAATTATACTCGAAACATTTTTTATTATTTCTTAGACAATCAGCTTGCAATACCCGAAACGGAATACCATGAATATTACGCACGCCACGAACACATTTGCCTGACCGACCTTCCAACCACTATGCCCTTGCTTATCTTCATTTAAATGTTTAAGAAGAAATCATTTATAATTAGTTTTATTGAAGTACTAGTTTCCGAAACATTTGTTTCATAGTGTAAAGTATGTATGCACACTAAACGGCGACCTCATCTCAAGAACTAAAAATTAATTAAAAGAAGTATATAGATGTCGAGATTTTCGTGGAATGAGGTCATCGACAGCTTAGCTTAGTTCGTAAAGCGGCTAAGCAAGTTACCCAGATGCAAGTTGCCATCTCGCAGCGCCGAGAGTTTTATCGATTTATCAGGAAAAAAATCATATTAAGAATCATTAATTAAACACTACTGTCCCAGTCGTGTCCAAATCATAGCTGCAGTCGACGTGTCCATCCTTCCTTCGCGGAGCCAAGAGAAATCGGGAAGCGACCCTGCGTCGGGATGTCGGTGTTTAATCCGAGCCGACCGTGGCCTTCAGTTCGCGTCAATCATCATGACAGATGGACTGTCAGCGACGCGTCGCAGTCAAGTGCGCGACGATTATCAAATTGCGCCCCCCGTCCGCAACGATGCTCTTTCCACTATCACGGCCGCTCTATCCGGACGGCCTCGGGTGCATCCCGCGCGCGCCCGTTGGGCGGGAAAACGCTGCGAATCGAAGGTGAAAGCGTGAAAAGCGACGAAACAAAAACAGACTTCATAACGATGGCTGTTAATTCATTGACAAGTGAGTTATATAAGGAGGTTTATTTGCTCCACCTCAAGTTTGTTACCTCAAGTTTGTTGTTGTTGTTAATTACCTTATGTGAAATTGTTCCAGCTAAACTCCACGCAGTTTTATGCGATGAAAAAAAGCAGATGAACAGGTGATTCACCTGATGTTAAATAAATTCCGGTTTCGGTGAGCATCTATAGTTTCCGTGTTGCTGTTGGTTTGCGAAAACTTTGGAGAGTGAGCCCCGTCACACTCAAGTCAAAAAGCAAAAATAAAAATACGTCTATTTGCCGATTTTCTTTGAGAACGTATAATATTTCGGACAAGCCTGCCTATGTATATAACAGCTGTGTGACACTACCACACGTGGAAACATCTCACTTTTTTAATACACTAATCACATTCATCTCTCTCAATGTATACAGTAATACAATATTTTAAACAAATTTCATTTATCCTCTTATCTCCTTGCTTATATTTCTCTACCCTACTCTACATCTCACATTCTCCATGTTATTTCTCGGTTTGATTATCCTTAATCAATACATATAATAAAGACTAAAATATATAAGATATATGTTTTAGTTTTAATTTTTATTGTGTGTAATGTTAAACGCAACCATATAAGAAGTTAAACATAAAGCTTTCTTCAAGTGGCTTGCTTTGAAATAAGTTTATGATTTTTACGAACTAAATAAGATTCAAATTCATTAAATCTACAGTGGCCGGATGAAAAGTGAACAAACAGATTTTACGCAGTTTCTTGTTTAAAGTGAAGAGATGAACCTCTAAAGGAACTCGCTCCATGAAATCCCAGTATTAACCGACGAAGACGTCGTCTTGAAAATATTTGTCCGGGATTGAAAACATGATCCATGACGATGGATCTGTATGCATGCAAAACTAAGTAATTATTAATCAGACTTTAGTTGGCGAAGAAAAGAATTTGATCCGAATTAAGCTTCTATTGTCGTCGTCTCTCTGTGTAGTTTCAGGAAGTTATTGCTTAAATTTAAATAAAAAAATACTAGAATTTTCCTAAAACATGGCGTAGACACATAAGGTTCCAATGATTATTACTGGGATTTCATTTAGCTTTCGTGGTTATTTTTTTATAACCAACCACAACGTGGAACAGTACTTTTAGTATTTTTAAAAACTCTTTCTTAAATGGATCCACCATTTGTGGAGGATTTCTTTAGTGAAATAACATGTTTTAATTCTTTTTCTCGAAAACTATAAGCGACCGGAGAATTTTTGCTTGTTGATTTTTCTTTGCCGAATATAAAGTTTTAGGTCGAAAAACACCCGGCTCTAATGGAAAATTTTAAATATCTATCTAACGTAACTGGGCTCACCACACAGATACAGTAATCCTTATTCAGCCTGGACCTAAATAAAAGGAGATAATTATAATATGTGATCTACTCTCAAGATTAATATGAAATTAGGTCAGTTGGGGCTAATTGAACTCGTTATTATGTCTAGTCATAAGTCAAGACGACGAAACGTATATTTGTATACAAATATAACGTACACAATGTTCGAACCACGATACCTTGATTATGTCGAAGATACTTTCTTGAGATGAGGATTCACAATTAAAATTAAATCCCGTAACTCCATGACGTCCCGGTACATAGTCCTTAAGGCAAACATTTGAATTTGCAACGTCGCTATTCTTAATTTTACTGCAGTCAACAGTATTTCACAGTTTTGCAAATCTTGATTTAGCTTCAATAACTTCCTGCTATTTAATTTCAAACAATCTTTAAGATATTTATACTTGCACATTTCATAGGATTTTTATTAGCAAATATTAATGTAACTTAATTCTTAATTTTATAATAATATAAATTTAATTATATCTATAAATTTAGTAATACGTTTTCTTTCATACTTAAAACACTATGAATAAGTGGACTGTTCGCCGATCCTATTCTAAGAATTTGGGGCAAATGTGTCATAATATAATGATAAGGTAACGTAGATAGCATTTGCTTATAGTATTGCGATAACGGTTATTCCAACAAAATTATTGGGAAGAAAGCTATTAATAAACAAAAAAGTAACCAACAAGAATTTTTACTTTAACTGATGTTTTTGCTTTCAGTCTGTAGACTATTCAAGCTTCATCAAACGTTGAACTCGTGGGCTGGCCAGAACCTACGAGCTTGATTACCAGTAAGAGACAACTATGTAACGGTTTAGGAAAAGGATATGTTAGTTTTTGGTTGTTAATGGTCTTTTGTTGTTAATTGCGGGTGGAAAAGAGCGAGACAATTTTTTAAAACCATCATTTCTCTGAATGTGGCAACATTTTTGAGAAAGTTTACTCTTTTTTAAAATTGCCATAAATTTGGCAAGAGATAAAAAGCGCCTCTCGTATAATAATGTTCGAGCAGCACGTCTCACTTCACGTTCTGGGTATTGGTCGAGTTGATATAGTAATTTTTTTTAAAGTTGCCAAACGAGCAGACGGTTCACCTGATGTTAAGTGAATAAACCTTGTACGTTGCTGCGTGGCCCTACCGCGTGCAGCAGCCTCAGTTTTTGCACGAATGGGCAGGCTCGTCCGGGTAAGTACTACGACCTCACAGAAGACCGGCGTAAAGTGGGAGTACGACAAATACTTTCGCGTTTCCCCTGATGAGTGAGGTAGCCGGAGCCCAATTTCCAAAAAGGTTGTCAACGTACCTGCAAACCCTCGGGTGTAGCAGATGTCCACTTTTGCGTTTGAAGTGCCACGTTACTATTTTAAAAATATAAAAGTTCCTGTTTTTCTTTTTTTCGTTCAGAAAAAACAGCGATGGATGCATTATTTCTGGAAGGCCTGTGTAGGCTTTGCCCAAATGTCAATCAATTAGTAAACATCTGATAGCTTAAATTATATAGATGATAAAGATAAAAATAAATATAAGTGGGCATGGGCGGCACTTCTCAGATTTTGCCCCACACAAAAAAAATTGAAGATCCGGGGCTGAAGAGCGGTACAACGTACTACCTACATTCTTGTTTCGCTTTCGAGCTGTTTGAGCTCTTCCTATATGGAATTATTGTTACAAATTCCATTTTAAAAAAATAATCATCGAAAGATCCTGTCATTCCGATGAACAATAGTTTGCTTAGAAAAAATATTTTTAGGTTTTGTTGTATGGAATGAAACAGAAACTGGTAAAATTTTTATTAATATAATATATAAAGTAATTGTGTTAAATTAAAATACTTATAATTAAGCAATATTAATGATTTTAAAACATATATTTATCAAAAAAGTCCAAAAAGATATAATTTCTAAATTAAAGCCAATAAATTTATTAGTAAAGAAAATTAATAAATAAATTAGTACTTATAATATTTTATATATATTATAAATTATTTTAAATATTGTAAAGTATGTACATCTATAAATTCAAATTCGGATTGAGTTGGAAGAGGCACCAAATCTCGACTGCCAATATTACTATTCTCACAATTATTTACTATCATTATTCTCCGTTGTTTCGGCATTCTTGCCAAAAGTAAATTATGAATCAGACGACAAGAGAAGATGTGTGATTATGCAAGATATCTTCATATTTTGTCGCTGTCCTATTTAATTTTCTAGAATGGACCTTTCTATATTTATGAAAGACTTTATTTCGCCTCTAACGCTTCTACTGATAGTTTACTAATGGGTAAAAACCCAAAATGCTTGATAATATCCGTACCATGAACTAACAACTTAATATACATCCGCTAAAGGGCATGTAGTACCACGGATATAATTGTATACAGCGTGTCGTTACCATCGCGACAATAAATGAACACACGTCTAACGCTACTTGTCAATAATCATAAAAATATTAACGTTAAAAAAATCCATAATTAAAAAAGAAACAAAATTTGTAACATCCTATACAGCTACAAGTGACTGATTCATACATTCAGAGATTTTTCATTCGTGCCACAGCGTCGCATTACAAGCCTCTCCTTCTAAGAGTATGTTTTGTCTCATTTAAATTCATTCAACCCATTCATATGCTTGAGACCTTTACAAATGAACTTTATGTTACAGTTTTATACGTAAAAGTGTTCTAAAATTCTTAGTTTTGGAAAATTTAATAACTCTATAAATATTGATGTTTAAAGAAAGTAAATGTTTAATACATTTTTAAAAAGTTATCCTCTATATGTGTGTTCATTTATTGTCGCGAAAAGACACGCTGTATACAAAGTGGCAGTATCTTTACAATATTGGGCGAATTTAAGAAAGTCCACTTGCTCACCAGACTCCACTGTTTGCAAAATTATGTGAAACCTTTTATTTATTTATTTATTTTATGCGAAAAGTTGTCAAACGGGCAGACGGTTCACCTGATGTTAAGTGAATACCGCCGCCCATTGACAACTGCCACACCCGAGGGTTACAGATGCGTTGACAACCTTTTGAAAATTGGACTCCAGCTACCTCACTCACCAGACGAAACGCGAAAGTATTTGTCATACTTCCACTTTACGCTGGTCTTCTGTGAGGTCGTGGTACTTACCCGGACGGGCTTGTCGCGCAACAGCCGAGGCTGCTGCGTGGCCCTACCACCGTTAGACATTACACCGTTATATAAGCATACATAAGGACAGACAGACAGCGGGATGACTTTGTTTTATACTATGTAGTGATTGCAATATTTATTCTTATAATTTTCATGTAGCACATTTTTTCGTCAAAGATTTGAAAATCCATGATATTATAATATCAATATATTTTTTTTTATATCCGGATTCTTACAACTCTTGAAGCTTTGAGTTCGTGCTGATGGCGTAGAGTTATAGAAAAATATTCAAAGAATAGGCATAAAGTAGTTTTAAAGCAAGACCTGTCAAGACTTGGCGCCAAATTTTAGCAGTTTCTGTTTTATTCCATACAACAAAACCAGAAAATATTTTTGTCCATTTCAAAAAAAAAAAAAAAAATATATTTTTTACGACACATTCTTTTTACACAACGTTCTCTAGTACCAAACTAAGCAACGCTTGAACTATGGGTACTAGAAAACTGATAGATATACTTAAACATACTTTTAATAGTAATAGAATTCAAAAGTATCTATAAATTATGTTAATTCCGCTGGGTCCCCGGTGAAAATGGGTGTCCCACAAGGATCAATCTTGGGCCCATTATTATTTTTAGTACATATTAATGATCTCCCCTTTTATGCCAGTGGGTTGTGTGATGTTGTACTGTTTGCTGACGATACATTGCTAATTTTTAAAGTTGACCGAAACGTATTAAATTATGACGACGTGAATAGTGCACTTTCACATATCCTCCACTGGTTTACTATTAATAATATGGTATTAAATGCCAAAAAAAACCAGATGTATTCTTTTTACCCTTCCCAGTATAAGAAGGAAAAGTTTTAGTTTAATATAAAATAAGGTACCCATTAATCCAGTTGAGACTGCTGTATTTCTGGGAATTACAGTAGATTCAAAGCTCCAGTGGAGTCCCCATATATCATCTCTTGCGAATAGGCTGAGCTCCGCTATTTTTGCGATTAGAAGGGTTAGGAAGCTAACAGACATCGACACTGCCAGACTTGTTTACTTTAGTTATTTTCACAGCATCTTGTCGTACGGCATTTTGTTGTGGGGTAGTGCATCAGATATAAATTTTATATTTATTCTTCAAAAAAGAGCTGTTTGACCAATCTACAATATCGGAGCCCGGAATTTACTCAGAGATCTTTTCAAAGAGGTTAATATACTCACTGTTGCTTCTCAATACATTTATTGTAATATTTTGTATATACGACATAACCTTAATTATTACCTAAAGAATAGTGACAGACATAAAATAAACACTACAAATAAGGACAAACTTACTACACCATTGTTTCGTCTACAAAAAGTAAATAGGTCGTTCATGGGGCAAAGTGTGCGCATGTATAATAAAATCCCATAGTCGATATTAAGTCTGCCGCTTGACCAATTTAAATGTAAAATTAAAAATAAACTAATGATTAAAGCATATTATACCATTTCGGAATATCTCGACGACGCCAATGTGTGGAGTTAATACTGTTGATACTCACGTAGGGTAGAATAAGACTATTATACCTGTATATTATATTGTACCCTGATATTTTTGAAAAAGAGCAACTGTTGAGTTTCTTGCGGTCTCTTCTCAACAGAAACCGGTGGTACCTTACGAACCTTTATACATAATCTTTGATGTAACATTTGACGATTCATAAGAGCGCGCAAGCGTCTATTTGAATAAATATATTTTTTATTTTTTGATTTTGATTTCTTTTGTAAATAAATACCATACATATATAAACATCCACACACTAGAAAAACACTATGCTCATCACATAATATTTTTCCAGTAGTGGGGATCGAACCCACACCCTCTGGCGCAGAAGGCAGTTACACTACAGACTACATCATTCGAGTCGTTCAAAATCAATAGATATTTTTTTTAAATGACATCGACATCTTTCAATAGATATTTTTTTAAATTGAATTTGTAACAAAAATCCTATGTCCGGCATATAGTAGTTTCGTTCGACCCACCGTGCAGCGCCACCGAGTCAACCATTATAATGAACGGACATCTTAGATACATTATCCGTGAAACATCTTATAGCATTCTCAAAGCATTATCTGATAATTATAATTATTACACCATTGAATGGGTTACTCTTGTTCCGTGCATTTGGCCTAAAAAAGCTGAAAAACACTGAACCATCGCAGGACGTCTGGTAGGTGTGAAAAATCGAAATATTTTTGTTAAGAGAATATGCACAAAAGGATAGTTTATCTAAGTAAATAAATATGGCGTAGTCAAAAATAAAATATTCAGACTACTTTTAAGAAAAAGAGGATTGTTTTTTTATTAAAAAAAACACGTACGTTTATGCACGCACGTGGTCGCTTTGCATCCAACTTCATCATGTTGCCGTCGCTGTACGCTCATTGTAAAAATTTTATTTTGATATTTTTTTCAAAACATGCTAAAATTATTTAATTTGTTACCAAAATTAAAAAAATGTCTTCTTCGTCACTTGTGCAACACACGTAAACGTAGTGATTACATTCTCTTTGGTGCAACACATCACCATACGCCATACCATGACTCACACAACAGAGCCACAGACTGTTATGATGATATGCATAACTCACACTATCCTGTATCCGTCAACAATCGGTCTGACACCCGTAGTAAATGCTAAACGTAGTGATTACATTCTCTTTGATTAGATGTTACACATCAAAAATTAATTAATATTAAATATTTATATAAAGCTATTTCCATCAGTTTTTTATAAATATTCATTTATAAGCTTAAATACGTAGGTTTAAAATTCAAATTTACGTCAACACGATTATAACGAATGAGATATTGAATGATGTCAATAATTTAGGCTCCTTGGAGAATATGTGTTCTATGATTTTAAATATAAATTAAAGAAAAACGACATTTTGAGTGGTGCTGCTAATACAATATAAGACATAGTTTTCTTTTTTTTAATTGCAATTTAAAACTGTTCGAAGATTATTTCATTTATTAATAGATATTTTAAGTTTATATATTATTTCATTTATTAATAGATATTTTAAGTTTATATATTATTTCATTTATTAATAGATATTTTAAGTTAATAAATTTTCAAATAGTGATGTTCTAATTTGTGTTGCCAGCGGATAAATGAATAGTACCACGAAAATTACATAGTACATACTCAGAACAAAAACTTAAAATTCACACTGTCACATTCTAAAACATATGTATTTAAATTTAATTTATTTTAAAATTATATTCCCGCAAACTTTTATATTTATTATTTCAATTTCTTAAATGACGTTCAAAATAACCAATGTTAAAATAGGAATATCAAAATTGACTTACTGAGCTGTCATTTTCTGTATATCGAACGATTCATCACAGTTGATTTTCTAAAACAATAGTGATATAGGTAAAAAACACAACAAAAAAGATGTTTCGAGTTAACAACTTTGATAAATTACTCGGTAAGTTAAAAAATGACCAAATAACAAAAATGCTGCATAATTTATATGTTATCGTACTTTTAAGTACATACCAATTTTTCTTTCATTGCTTACTTTACTTTCTGTTTTCTAAAAAATCTATTTGGCCTTAAAACTAAATGCACCTACCTACTTATTTTAAAATCTATTCATTTTGCAGTTTAAGCAATATCCATCTTATTTCACTTACGTCATTTTATACATTTTTATGATATTGTCACTGTTCTAGATAAAGCTACTAGTAATCTACGTCTGGAACCTGATTGGCCAACAATTTTACAAATTTGTGACTTAATTAGGCAAAATGATTGTTCGTGAGTATACATATTACTAATAAATCAATGTGTTTAAAGATCTAAGGATATATATTATCAGTATATCATAGACTTTACTCATTTTCTTGAAATTTTGTAGCCCCAAATATGCTGTTGCAGCTGTCAAAAAGAAACTTTATTCACAAAATCCTCATCAAGCTATGTTTGCTCTTCTGACACTTGAGAGTATTGTCAAGAATTGTGGTAAGTACTTTTTTTACAGTTACTATATTTATTTGTAGAATAAGCTTTGCAAATGAAACATGATCCTATTTACTCCCTTCCTATTTACTGGACTTAGGTTCAGGACTTTGTTTGGTTTGTTCATAATTTTGAGATAAGGAATGCTAATTATAAAGTTGTTGTCTTGGCTTTGCATTTGTTATCTCTATAATTCCCTATGATGTCCCTATAATAGATATAATAAACAATTTTAATTATGTTTTTCTTACTATTTATTTATTTAGCTTTTAAATCAAAATATTTTTTTTGAACTCCTCTTAACAAATATATATACCATTAGTACACCATTGTATAATATTTTATCAGTGTATGAACCTTACAATTACATAGACTTATTCAATTTTTTTAATTAATTGTTATCAGGATCTGGTGTACATGATGAAGTGGCCTCAAAAACTTTTTGTGAAATGCTCAGAGACTTGGTTAAGTCAACACAACATGAAAATCTACGAAATAAGATTTTGGAGTTAATACAGGCATGGGCATTTGCCTTTCGAAACTCGCCTAAATACAGAGCAGTGCAGGTAAACTACATACAAATGTTTCTTTAGTAAATTACACTGCAAAAAGAATTTTCATTTCAGGCAATGTATTTAATAAGAAATAATCTGATTAGACTGAAGTAAAAAAACTGGCCAAGTGGAGTCAGACAAAGTATTGCTTGCAAGTACTATGCCATACCAATGCTTTTGTCAGGAATTTAAGTCTATTATTTTATGGGGCTGAGATCATTTGTACATCTGGTACATTAATGCTATATTATCAGTCATAAATAACCAGTAAGCTCTGTACAGTTATGGAAATGGCTCCTTTTTTAAATGTTATGTCTTAGATAATGGTTTACTTTACTGAATATGTTTCAATTTACTGACATGTAAACATTTGTGCACCAATAATGACGCTGATACAAAACGCATTTCATTAAACTTTATACTTTTGAAATCTTTTCACTGCATTTTAAATCACAGATTTAATTATTTTTGTTATTTTTAGTTATTTTTGTTATTCTTAATATTTTTCATATAATAACATCTAACACATTAATTTTCTCATGGCAATATTTACTTATATTTAATAAATGATAATAATATACACAATATGCACATCCTAATCTCCTACACATCACTGTTTTTATGTCACATGAACTAGGTTGTGACTATTGATTTTATAATTATAATTAAATTATACCATATTTCTCATGCTTGCAAGTACTAAGCATTTTTGTAGTGTCTCTTTGTATTCAAAGTTTCTATCTAAGAATTAAGCATTAAATATATGTGTACTATCATACATTAATGTGATTGTTTTTAATAATGCTTATGTAGAAAATGCAAATATGTTTAATTAAATTTAATTATTTATAAATAATTCATCCTTTCATTCTAGTGTTTCATCCCTCTATTGTTCAAACTTTGATAACCATTTTCCTTTTTATTTCATATCCGAATGTTTTTGTTATTTAGCTAACACCATTAATTACAGTAAGATTTTGTTACCTTAAACAGTTTTCTGTAAATCAACATATTTTTATTACTGCAAAATTCAAAGATAGGGCATTGCCTCACATAGTAATTTTTTCACCTTGTCCTTATCAGTCAACAGCATGAATCATTTGAAAGAACGTAGATACTGAAGTTTAGAATTAATGTCTATGAGAAAGTGATATATAAAAGAATTGTGTGGTGAAAATAGGTTCTGAAATACGCTCTTTGTTCTTGCTAGGATACAGTAACCATTTTGAAAGCTGAAGGATACAAGTTCCCACCACTTAAAGAATCTGATGCAATGTTCTCTGCTGACACTGCACCAGAATGGGCCGATGGAGAAGTCTGTCACAGGTTTGTGGCCATTTTCTAAAAAATCTATACTGTAACTGTCATGTAAGCATTGAAAAAATCCTATAAAAAAATATATCTGTTTTTTCTTTGTTTTCTGTTTGTGATTTTATTATTGGTATTAGATGAAAGCTTATACTGTACATATGGTTAATGATATTGCAATAAGAAAACAACCATATTTAATCCCATGATGGTGGCAGACCTTTATCTGTATATAAATTAATTAGAGTATATATATTATGATAGATTTCAATTAATACTTCGAATTCTTAAATTTTTTTAAGCTCTAGTTTTTCTTCAAACTTGTTAAATTATTATTAAAATTGTGTTAAATTATTATTCTTTTAAGAAACACATTTTATAATAGCACTGTGTATAGTGATGTTTGTCTTGAGTGTGTTCTTTTTTTTCCTCTGCACATAAAACACATTCTTAATTATAATAAGCAACATGTTTTGTACATTTTTAGATGCCGTGTGCCATTCTCATTGATGGTAAGACGGCATCATTGTCGGGCTTGTGGCCAGGTGTTCTGTCAGCAGTGCAGTTCTAAAACATCTACTTTACCTAAATTTGGTATAGAAAAAGAGGTTTGTTGTTTATCATAAATAAAATTAGTTTAAAAGCTTTTAGAAAATAATAATAAATATATTTTAATACCAATTTGACACTGAAATATTCATTGATGTAATGTCTTTTAATAGGTACGAGTATGTGATGCTTGCTTTGATAAAGTAAGTCGACCACCATCATCAACTACTACTAAATCCAAGGCAAGTGCTCTTGGCACTGAAGTTAGTGCAACACAAAATCAGGTAAGTTTGATTGTAGAATTTTGAATTTCAAACAAATAAATTGTTTTACAGAAAGTAGTGTGCATGATTTTTTAATTGTTTGTGAATTAAATCAAGGTGATATAATTCATGGTTCAGATTGAAGGAAAAATTTTTAAATATTAGGTTTTTACCTATGAAATTGCTGTTCTTCACTACTGGCCAAATCAAAAACAAAGTTTTAATTGACTGTGAATTCTAAATTAAATTAATTTTGTTTTAAAAACATGAAATTCTTTTTACAAAGTCAGTCTGTTGTTTATTGATTAGCTTTAGATTTTTATTACATTTGAACATTTGTCGTCATAATGGACGCTTTAAACATTGGTTACTTATCCGTTGTGGCACCAACGTGGCACAAACGGCACGTAACTTCAACAACGTTTATGAAGAGAACTTTACAAACTATCGCACCATCCGTTATTGGTTTACCCAGTTCCCTTCAAGAAATTTTGACTTGAAAGACTTATTAGTTATAATGGAAACTTCCATCATCATGCAAAGATGAGATTAAGAGGGATGGAACAAACAACGGATACATCGGTGTCAGGTCAGGTAATATAATAATCTTGTTGTTGGTTGCAATTGATATCAGGTTCTGATATCAATTGCAACCAACAATTAAGAGATATACTACTTAAGCAAGGTTATTGCGGTTATGACAAACATAAAATCTCACAGAAGACCAGTGTAAAGTAGAAGTTTTACAACTTCTGCATTTCGTCTGGTGAGGTAGCCGGCGCCCACTTTATTTAAAGGTGGTAACGTGTTTGCAACCCTACAGTAATTACAAATGTCCATAGGCAACGGTTATCACTTAACATCAGGTGATGCTCGTTTTGCTACTGCTCACATAAAAAAATCCTAAAGGACGTACCTTTTATTTTACAACAGAGTTTGAAGAAAACATGCATTATTTTTCTTTTTTATAGTTATCTTTCTAAATTAATAACACTCATTAAAAAAACTAACCTCAAAAATTGTTATTTAGTATATATAGGATATTATGAAATGTAATTTATTATTTATTACACAATTGGTCAATTTCACAATATTTCATTGGAAATACAACTAGAACAAACAAAATTTTAGTGTTATTATAATAAAAGTATAAAAATCATACCAGATTAAATAATTTGTATGGATGATATTTCATTTAATGGAATAATAACACAAATACGCTTAAGGAATTCTTTAATAAAATAATTATCATTGTCCTTCGTAGGATTCTCCAGGCATTTCGCCTCCTGGTACTAACATTGCAATATTATTACCGTTTAACAAGATTTGATCCAATTTTGTTATTTTCCTTCCTTCCGGTGTAGATTCATATTCCGTAACATCATCTAACAACATATTTACGAAATCATCGAATCCTTGCAATGTTCCAACCATTTCTTTGTCGTTTTTCATAATTATATGTATCCTCGAGCCTATGCACTTGTCCACAAGTTCTAGTGGTAGCAACGTATTCGGATTAGGCAAAGATTGTGTCATTTTAATATTGAGACTTTATCAAGCAATAATTTTATATCAAATGTATAGGATTTTACTTGATAACGTATTCGAACTTAGAAATATTACAATTATTATTGTTACTATACGTTGATTTACGTTTTGCGTTGCGGTTCGTATGTTGTGCAGTGCGCACTTTTCATCTGTCACATTGACATACGTACGTCATACTTTATTATTTTCATGTTTACGATCTCGTCACGAGGCGTCCTCGAATGTATTGCAATTGATTTTACATTGAATTCAGTATCTAATAAGATTATTCTAATAAATATAGAGTGCAGTATAAAAAGATTTCGTTTCCACTCTAAACAAATTAATATGGTCGGAAATGTGTATGTTCTTTGCATCTGCATTCAGTACTGGTAACACTTGACGAGATGTCACATTACAGTTTCAATTTAAATTGTTCGAAGTTAACGGTAACGTCTTACACATAATTAAAGGAAACAAAAACAATACTTCGTAAGTTTCCAAGATGTCTAAGAATTACGTTAATAATTTTCGTGGTGAAAACTATTTCACTCCTAATGGAAAATTACACATAAAAGACGAACCTGTGTCGCCTAGTGAAGAAGACTTTGTAGATTATAATAATTTTGACTTTGCCTTTGGGAACGACTTTGGAGGTATGAAGAAATCCTTATCAATGAATGACATAGCTGCTCTTAAAGAAGATTTTGCAAAAATGGACCTTCAAAGTATTAAAGAAGAACCTAGATATCTGCGACCCACTGGAAGGAGCAACCAAGATATATCTAAGACAAAGTTTGTCTCTATGGCTGAATCCGTTTATCACTTTCAACGTGATACACCTGGTCGTTTTCATACAAGTCGTCCTCAAATGTTTCGCTCACAATGCAATGCAGGGCCTTCTGGACTTACTGTGCCTCAATCACCATTGCTCCGCTGTAAAGCTCGCTCAAGACCAATACACATATTATCTCAAAAAGAGAAAGAAGAAATGGAAATTGAACAAATGAAAAATTTTAAGATTAAGGCACATCCTGTTCCCAAATCAGTCATAGACGGTACTAAAAATTTGCCCGAAGTACATAAGAAGCCCATTACAATACCTGAACCATTTAAATTAACTGAAATTCATAAGAAAACAGTGCAATCTCCTGGAAGTGTTCACAATTTCAAAGCTCGGCCAGCTCCAAAACATATATTAGAGAAACCTCAGATTCCAGTAAAACCACCGGTGCAAACCACTAAGCCTATTAGCCCTAAGTTTCATTACAAACGAGGTCACTCAGCTGATCAGTTGAAATGTGATAAGAAAAACAATGTTTTTATTAAGGAAACGCAAAAGCAACAAAAACCTTGTGAATTAGTACAAAGACATGGACCTGTGCGCCCAGAACCATTTTCATTTGAAAAAAGAGATGAAGACATGAGAAAGCGCAGGGAAGAAAGAATAAAACAACAGATGGAAGAGGAAAGAAAATTAGCATCACAGTTTAAGGCCCAGCCTCTACCTGCTGCAGTAAAAAAACATATGCAAAATGCTACGGGCAAAAGTAGTACTTCAAATGCTTCTTCAGAGAACAAAGAGAATCGAATCAAATTTGAAGCTAAACCCCCAATTGTCTTGTACAAAGAGCCATTTAAGCCTGTTCTTCCACCTTGTCAGCTGATCAAACCAGCTCCATTTGCATTGACAACAGAAAAACGAGCTGCGGAGCGAGAAAAGTTTGACCGGCTTTTAAAGGAAAAAGAAGAAGAGAATGAAAGATTAAAGCAACAGAAAGAACAAGAACAGAGGGAAGCAGAAGAAAGAGCACAAGCAGAATTGAGATCTAAACTTATTCATCACGCCAAGCCCATACCATCTGTTACACCTTTTATCCCAGAAAAATCTTCAGAGCCACTTACGGTACCCGAGACACCGAAATTTGTGAGGAGATTGAAACAAAATTAATGCCATATACTTAGAAATATTTGTATTGATATGCATAGAAAATAATGGTTCTTTTGAAATACTGTTGTTATTCTGAACTAGATATTATGTTATAATTCATGTTTATTTAATTAGTACATTGACTTGATTTTTTTTATCTGTGACATAATATGTAATATGGCTCTTATATGAGTTTCAATGTAGGGTTAATATTTTTAAATTTTAAACCCATATGAAATATAGACTTGTTTGTGGAATAAAGTAAATATATTAATATTATTTTAAAATTTAAAAAGCATCCTGCCCTCATTCATTATTTACATTGTAACAAACTTTACATCCTATGTAAAAATTGAATTTATGACAATTGTGGTAAATTATTATGTTATAACAATACAATTGATAGTTATCTCACACAATTTTTGTTTCAATTTACTGTTAAATAAGCAAAAAAATTCAAAGCATTAAGCTGTACACTGCCTCATAAAACCTATGAATTTAATGGAGTTATGAACATATAGCTATTAGGTGTCTTCACGTGGAAACATTTTTTGAAGTTAATTATTATTATAAAAATGTTTGTGTACTAATAATACTTAGAGATCCAATAAAATCATATATTGGGATGCCCTGTATATTTTTTGAAAAGTATTATTTTATATTCCCTGCAAATTGTGCAAAAAATCAAAACTGCTATGATGTTTTATATTCTGTGACTTCAAATATTAATATTTTTTTTATCATAAAGATGTCTTTTAGTAATAGTTCATTAATTATTTATTTAATTCAATTAAACTAATATTAATAATAATTAATAAAGCATTTAGAAAACTAGGTGTCTTAAACAATTAGACCGAAGTAATAACATTCTACCTATAATTATTTTATATAGGTACATAATATCAAAAACTAATCGTTCAATGTTACTTTTTTTATATATATTAGTTCTAAAATCTTGCCTTCATGACCTATTCTGTTGTAAATTTTTGTTCAGTTCATTTACATACTTTTTTCATATTCCTCAGTTGTACAAAAAAATGTATAATATTTGATAGTACACAGGGACCTCCAATCTCATAGTTTAACGCGCAATCGTAATTTTATTTCACTTACCACAGATTCATATAGTCGTACAATGGGGCTCCATGGTTCACACTTTGGAACTTGATTAGATAGAAGGTTGAAAGAAACCAAAAATTATTATAGACCATTTATTGTGTTTCAATGTCTTGAAAAGTATGCAAACATATTTAATAAGAGGGTAGCACCCTCTTATATAATATTGTGTATTTGAGTAAACTATAGTACGTGAATTATTTACAAAACGATGAATTGACAATTTTATGTAACAGTATATAATAAATAGGTAGTTTGCGTAATCTTGAAAACAAACAACGAATTAAACCGACTTACCGTCTCTAAGAAAATGAAAGAACTAATAAAAAATTTCAAGCCTACCTAGGTGGGGTGGACACAACATGAGTGGTTTCGGGCTAGGATACATACAGGCGGCATAGGTTTACAATGAAAATATATTGACGTTATAAATATATTTATATGAAACCTTACCTATATTATCAGTTGGAACATACGACACATATAAGCAACATTATAAAATCGGTTTTCTTATTATATTTTAGTATTCACCTAGTAGCTTGATTGGCAGAGAATGCCTCGGGTATTAAGCCCGTCTATAGTCAAGGTTTATGTAAAAGTCAAATAAATAGCTTAAACTTTGTTAACAAGGGAACAGTTGGTTACCCCCGATTTAGTTTAAGGAGTGGCATATGCGTTGCCAACGTTCAAAAACGGTGAACTCCGGCTATCTTATTCACCGGACGGAACGCAAAAGTATAATACTTCTACCTCACGCTGGTTTTCTTTTAGCCTTAAAACAATAGAATCTTTTGCGTAGCCCTAACACAGTGAATGTGTCATTACATAATCTATTGTTGGCTACACTGGCTACTCCATGAAACACAATGGGGTGTGCCAAAGGGCTATCCTTAAAACTGTTACTATTAAAACCCCCCACTGCTGTTGAGGGTATTGATGAACAGCAGTTATCACTATGAGAATATATATTACAAGCAAGTGAATCTCTCCCTCGTTTAGCGACTAGCATTTAAACGCCTTTATTCTATCGTAGCCCCACGAAAAAACTAAAGAAGAACTGCAAGAGGAAGAGGAACTGCAACTAGCGCTGGCTCTGAGCCAGTCGGAAGCCGAGCAAAAGGAGAAAGAGCGCAGATCCCGCTCGCTTGCCGCACCTGAAACACCCTTGCACCCCACGGGTGAGAATAAATAAATATTTTAGTACACATTTTTTTATACGCAACGTTTTATAGTTCCATACTAAACAACGCCTGTGATATGGGTACTAGATAACTAAATACTTAAACATGCTACCCAGAAACTGGAAAAACACTATGTTTATCACACAACATTTGTGCGAGGATGTAATAGTGAGGATCGAACCCACACCCTCCGGCGCGAGGAAACAGGGTCGCTATCCATTAGGTCAATCGGGTCATCTGTCATTCCTTTCTAATCTTATAAATTATTAACTTAATTCACATGATGTGGTGGCAAATATGGTTCTAAAATAATAAGTTGATAGTTATATCCCAGCGACGTGTGTTATGCTTGGATTTTTTTTAAGTTCTACGTTAGAGAAATTTCTTGACTTTTAGTTTCGAAATGCGATATGAATGAACCATCTCTACCTCGGTAGTATCGCGGCCCTACTGAATGTCGGTTTGAAGAGAGAATTTAGATAAAAGTACCAACACCCTATAAATATCCCCACTGCGGATTGGCGGACTTTACATGTTTTCGGAATTTTTTATTTTTTTTATTGCTACTGCTACACCGCTGAAGCACGTCGTGATAAACCAGCACTTTATGTTAACAATTTCATTGGTGCCGGAGATTGAACTCAGTTTACTCGAGTATATTGAATCAAAAACGATCGCCCGGACAATGAGCTATTACGGCTCATAGAGGACAGAGAATTTAGATAATTTTCTATATATCGCGATACATCCGACGTGTGAAGTATTTGGAGGCACATCTTTATAAGTCTGAAGACTTCTTTGGTGTTGTTTATGTCCATTGGCACTGGTCACCTGGTACCTACTGTAAGGGTAAATAGAAAGGGGTAAATCCGTTGCAGTGTCACCCACCGCGTCATCTGTCAGCGCGTCGCCGGAGCACAGCACCGCTGCCAGCTCGGAGCTCTCGCGCTACCTCGACCGCAACTATTGGGAGCAAAGGTTATCCCGCGACACCGCGCCGGCGCCGACAGCGCCCTCTTCACACGCTACACACGACAGCAGCGAGGTAAGACGCACACATACACGTGCCAGACTAGAATCTAGATGTATATCAAGACATAGTATAAACAAAGTCGTCCCCCTGTCTGTCCGTCCCTATGTATGCTCAGATCTTTAAAAGTACGCAACGGATCTCGATGCGGTTTTTTTTACTAAATACGAGTGATTCAAGAGGAAGGTTTATATGCATGATACATTGCACCCGTGCGAAGCCGGGGTGGGTCGCTAGTATTGTATAATCAAAGGTGGACATACGAACATCGTCTATTACATCGTCTATAACATTGAGGAGACTAATGTCAATGAATGTCTGAATAATTGACTTAATGTAAAGCTGTGTAACAGGACTTCCGCTCTCCAATACAAACCGAATTAAAATCTAAATATGGAATGATTTTTTACAGGCCGATTTCCCAAAGATTACCACAACTCAGGCCCAGGAAGATGACACCGAGGATAAAGAGATTGACGAATTCGTTGAATCACTCAAGTCTCAAGTCGAGATATTCGTTAATAGAATGAAGAGCAATTCTTCTCGGTATGTCTTAATCACTCATTGATAAATAAATTACTTAATTATTTTATAAGGCTCAGCTCATTCGATAAAGATACAAAATTCAAAGCTCACTATATTTCTGTACATGCATTTGGCACCACTAAATACTACCATCGTTGCAGAGGTCGCTCCATAGCCAACGATACATCGGTTCAGACACTGTTTATGAACATCACCGCTATGCACTCCCGTCTCCTGCGCTACATTCAACAGCAAGATGATAAACGAGTCTACTTAGAGAGCTTGCAGGTGACGTTAAACACCAACTTACTAAAATAAATATGTAAAAGAAATAAGAGTAAATCGTCCCTATATCAAGTTTATATTAATTACTTTAGTATAAAATTATCCTGTGTTGTAAGGACGTTTTACACAGATAAATTTCGTGCGGATAAACACCCAGATGCGAAACAACTATCTGTGGGTCACACAAATAATTGTCCCGTGTGGAAATCGAACCCGCGGCCCCCGACGCCGAAGCTCATACCTTGGCAAATGCGCCATGGAGTCACGGAGTCTTGAATATTTACAATAATTTCATATATTAACAGGATAAAGTGACACAAGTACGCGACAGCCGGGCGGCTTTAGATACCCTCAGAGCGGAGCATTCTGCGCGGCTAGCTGCGGCAGCCGAAGCGGCTGAGAGGCAGAGGCAAATGCAAATGGCCGCCAAATTGCAAGCAATGAGGAAGAAAAAACACGAGTACTTGCAGTACCAGAGGCAACTTGCTCTGCAGAGAGTACAGGTGCGTCATGAATCAATGTCATGCAATTTTTTTGTTTATTGAAATATTTTCCCATTTAAAATTTAGCTTTTCTCATTCTTTTATTCACCATTGATTCAAATTATTTTAAGCAAACTAATTATTGTTCAATAATTGATCATTAAAAAAAACACTGTTGAGGGTAGTGCGATTTAAAACGTGCTTATTTTTATTACAGGAACAGGAAAGAGAAATGCAAATGAGACAAGAGCAGCAAAAGCATCAATATATGATATCCGCAAACAGTTATTACATGCCTGGAGTCTCCATGCATCATTACCAGCCTAATTATCCAAATCAACCAATGTATGCGTCAGCGCAGTTCCATCCTCAGATGATGCCGCAGGTCACTACAGATGGAACCATGCCTTTACCGGGTCAACCACAAATGTCACAAGCCAACATTCCAATTGGTACAAATCAAATGGGTGCTCTTTCACAATCAATGCCACAATTAAGCAACACATATCCCATGACTACTTCAGGCATGACACTAAGCCAACCACCTTCCAACATTCCATTGCCACTAAATCAACCAAACCGCCCTGTACTCAACCAACAAATACCAATGCAACAACAAATGATGATGCAGCAAATGCATCAAGTGAGAATGCCTATGCAGCCTGGAGTGCATTCAATGATTAATCAGAATATTGCAAATGGATTCACTGGACCAAGCTCTCAACAGAATCCTCAATCATTACAACAAATGCCAAAACAAAGTCTACCAAACCAACAACCACAACCTAACATGCCCACTATGTCAATTGGTCAGCAAAACATAGGACAGTCTTTAAATCCTGCTAATTCCATGTTAGGAATGCAAGCTCAAAATATGAGAATGCCAATGATGCAAGGTAATGCACCAAGTACCAATCCACATGTTACAGGATACCCTATAAACATGCAAAATCAACAAAACAGTCAACTACCTGGAACACAGATGCCAAATATATCTCAACCATCACAAATGCCAATGACCAGCCAGGCTATGGCAATGCCAGGCCAACAAATGGTCCAAGGACATAACCAAGGTGCTCCTGTCAATAATCATGTTCCAAACCAAAATGTTCTTCCTCAAGGACCACAAGCAGCTCAAGGTGGTACACAGATACCACAACATTCTCAACAAACTCAATTTACCCAAGGTCAACATATGTCTATACAAGGCCAACAAGGTCAACAAATGATGTTACAAGGTCAGCAAATGCTCCCCCAAGGGCAGAACATTCCACAAAATCAACAGAACATGAGCCAAGTTCAACAAATTCCTCAAAACCAAATGCAACAGGGAATTCAAGGCCAACAAATGCAGAATCAGCAAATGATTTCAAATAATGTTCCCCATCAGTTACCACAAATTCAAGGTCAAATGGTACAACAAATGCACTCTCAAGGTCAACAAATAGCGTCCCAAGGTCAAGCAACGCAACAACCTCAGCAACTGGCTCCTGGTCAGCCGATGCCTCCTCAGGGTCAACAAATGCAGCCTCAGGTACCTCAAATGACAGCCCAGGGGCCCCAGATGCCACCTCAAGGGCAACAGATTATAACGCAAGGTCAACAAATGCCGCAAAACTGTCAAGGACAACCCATGAAAATGCAACAACAAAATTTTGCTAATGGCCCACAAGGCCAGCCGCAGGGAAGTCAAAGCCAAAGCCAGCAGGCTCAAACTCCTACTAAATCCGAACATAGTAACAACACTGCAGAATTAATTAGTTTTGACTGAGAAAATGTTTTGAACGAAAACTGAAAAGATCTATTTCAATGACTGGTTATGTTGTAAGTTTGGAGGTAATGTAGAACATAGAAGAAATGTATGTAATAAATTATAAAAATATTTAGATAATATCTAAATATTTCACATATTATGTGATAAGCGGTGAAGTCTTTGAACCAATATATTGACAATTTTATTCCACGCTTATTATTATTAACTGATACCTAGCTTTCAAACTGTAACTTCATTATATGATAAATTTTATCATCACAGAAATTATATTATAGACATTATAGTTCATGTTGTGTAGTTTCCATCTTGATATTAGAAATGGCCTTGTAATCTATGTAAATGATAAAATATGTAAAATATGTCAAGTCTTGTTTATTTAGATGTTGTAGTAAAATATAAAAATTCTGATATGTTTGTTTTGTTCAAATATTTGTTTTATAACTTTTATATTTAAGTTATGATTTATGGTATCAATAAAATATAGATAATCTCTTGGTGTGTCATTTGAGATTAAATAGTCGATTTCACTAAAATTTAATTATTTTTATTATCATAGCAACATATTATATTTCATTATTTATTTATTTTCTCGTTGGTTGAATTTATAATAAAACGAAACATTTAGAAATATATTGCATATATAAAATAAATATTATAAATAAAAATAATCATATAAATGTTGTATATAATACATACATAAATAGGACCCAACCAGACGGAAGCTCTAGGCAGGGGAGACCAAACGGCCGAGGGTTAGGGTGAGAGGGAGAGAACTCGGCGCATGATGCGGGCGGTATCGAGGAGCACCGTCTTCTGCATTTGGGCTTGGAGCATTCCGTCCCGGAGTCCCAGTCGTCTCAGATGTTCGTAGAGGCTGACTGAGATCAACCCACTCGCAGACACGACTATCGGAATAATTTCAGTCAACAATCCATCCCACATGTCGGTCATCTCGTGTGCCAGGTCCAGATATTTCGTCTTCTTACCTGTTTCGGCTTTCACGAGGTTCTCGTTATATGGAATGGTAATGTCGATCAAAAATACCCGCGACTGTGTCCGGAGCATCAACACGATATCAGGTTTGTTCGCGAGAATCGTCCTGTCTGTGCTGATGGGCGGATCCCAATAGAGCCTTGAGCGGTCATTTTCGAGCACCCGAATTGTTGAAAGCACAAGTGACTTTAAGCAATTCCATAAAATGGGAGCGATTTGAGGTCATCCATGTATAAAAGGTAAGTCACCTTTGTCCCTCCTCTCCGAAGCTTTAATCCTCCCCTCGAGCCCTGTAGTAACACGCTGAGACGGTTAAGGGAGAAGCAAAACAATGTTGGGCTCAAACAGTCGCCCTGGAAAAAACCCCGTCGTAGCCTTATCCGGTATTCCGCAGCCATCATCCGCTCGCGTAGATGATAAAGGACCGTACTCCATTGCCCCATACAGTGCTCGAGGAAGTCTCTTACTGTACAGTTCGAGGACCCTCTTTAGCGATGTATTTGGCACCGAGTCGAATGTGTTTTTTTGTAATCTCTATCCAGGCGGCGGAGAAATTCCGACCGTTGCGTTTAACCGTTTTGCCAATGACCGCGTCGATGAGAAGCGGTTCCTCGGTACCACGACCGCCGCCCCGACTTCCTTTTTGCAGTGATAGGGCTACGCAACAGTGTTCGCTGTTGCACGAATGGGCAGGTCCGTCCGGGTTAGTACCACGACCTCATAGAAGACTGTCGTAAAGTAGAAGAGTTGTACTTCTGCGTTTCGTCTGGTGAGTGAGGTAGCCGGGGCCCACTTATGAGGTGGCAACGCATCTGCAACCCTACCCCCGGTTGTTGCAAATGTCCATGGGCAGGCGATTATCACTTAACATCAGGTGAAACGCCACCTCTTTTGCCACTTCCTTATACAAAAAAAATCCATTCTGAATATGAGACATAATCCGATTCATATTAATATACCGGGTGATTCTCATGCTCAGAATAGATGTCAGTGTCTTATAGATGGTGGGTAGACACGTAATGGGGCGGTACTTACTCGGATCTGTGGTAACATGATCTTTAGAAACCAAACGAGTGACCAGTATTAAGAGGCTCGGGAGCGACCTCTGATCGAGAGCTTCTTGGAACTGTCGGGCGAGCACAACATGACACACCACGATCCCCTTCAGCCAGTAGTGATGCAGCCCGTCGAGTCCCGGACTTTTCCAGTTCGGGGCTTTACGGACTGCCTGGATACGTCGTCGGGTGTTATGATGAAACCCGTTCCAAAGTTTATCTGTCGCTCCAAAGATTTGTAGAGCCTATGGTGGTCACTCTGGAGGAGGCGATTCTGTCTAAACCGCGAAGTCCTCTCGGTATATCGCCGAATCTACTTCCCCCAAGCAGCGATCCTTTGCTTCAGGTCATCTATGCGCTCCGTTAGTTTATGTGTAACATCCGGCTGGGACGAAGAATGAATGAAATGCACATAAAGTATAGTAAGTTGCCGAACCGCTTGTAAACACATTGCTCACGCGCTCATTTACGACATAGTGAGCCGATTACCAGCCATTACTCAGCACGACGGCGTCTATGTACGTAATGTTGTTAGAAGTTATAAAAAGAAAATAAATAATGTCGTCTGTTATGTGAAATAGTGTAAGGATAATCTAAATGCTTGTAAAAGTACCAAGAAACTACATATCACAGGTAAGATTCAAATTTATCTGATAAGACTTATTATATTTTTGGAATTTCAAAGTTATTCTCGGAGCATAATACTTTCAGAATACGGAAAGAACCAGATGCCGTGGACCTACATACAAAAGAAGGAATAAAAATAAAAACTACTCCGAAATGAATTACTTTGCAGTAGTTGTAAGAATGGCTTCAGCATGGGCAAAAAATATCAATATTTTTCGAAATAAATATCGATATATATCGTCGCTATTTTTATTCCCGAAATATCGATATTTATTTACAACTATCGAATGTTTTTGATAAATCAAGTACATCCGATGAGTATCCCTCTATTTAAGGAAAGTGCGTACGTTCGACAGGGGCTACGACTTCAAAGTCGAGCCTGTCTGATAGCACTTGTACTCGATACGCGCCCTGTCCTTGGCCAATGTGAATCGAGATTTACAAATAATTTGGAAAATTTCAGTTATTTTTGTCACTTTTGCTGTAAGCGTATCCTGTGCATGTACCTACATAGTAATTTGAAAGGCATTTTTTGTGAAAAGAATATGGGAATATATGTGAAGCATTATTGCAACGCGTGGGAGAAATGTATGTCTCCCGCATCCCAAGCCTAAGCTTGGGCCTGTATTAGCACATCAGCTACCACTAATGATGTTGACGGTGAAAATCGTGTTTGTGCCTTAATATTGCTGGCAGCCGAAGCAGAATCTAAATAATTATAAGTAAGGCCACCAAATATGGTTTTTATAGTAGGTGAAAAACAAAAAAAAGTTAATTAAATTACGCTTTATAATATATAGTAGAGCGCTATTTTGGTCCTGGGATTGCTCGCTACTAATGCCGGAAAAAATGGCGACATCAGGCCGTACATTGTTGGCAACTCTGGTTTATCAATCAAATTATTAATACTTTTTGACTTTTTGTTTATGGTAAATTTCATTTTCATTTTGAAAATGTATTTTAATAAGTGAATTTTCTGAATGACTTAGTGTTTAAATTTTAAAAATTCAAACTACTCGATTTTTGAACAATATTTTACCAAACAAAGTAGAAGTTGTGTAAGATCTAATAATTGATCTTACTTCATATTTTGAAACACTTACCGTAAGAAATCCCATACTTCAGTATAATTATTAATTCAGTTATACCATAATACCGTATGTTTGCGTATTTTGCGCTTATTCTATTAATTTTTTTTACGAATAAAAATTCCTTAAAATGAGATTATTGAATATAGTTAGTTCAAGTAGTTTTCAAATACTATCTTTTATTTCCCTCTTTGTGTATTTTCTTGGTATTTTAAATTTACATTTTAGCGATAAGAATGATTACTGTGTAATGACTTATATGTTTGAATATCCACAGTTTGTTGTAAGTATAATATCTTATTATTAATCTTTACCTATTGAGACTTTATAAATTGAGGCTTTATAATAACAATTTCTTTTAGCGAATTTCATTGGATGAAAATAAATTTTATCCGCAATATGGCCTTTACGCCTATAGTGAAGGCAGATTCACGGAAAAAGCCAGAAAAATGTGGTAAGTATTAATAATTTCATTATGTTTACCTAAATAATTTAAAAGTAAATATTTGTGGTTCAGTTGTTTGTACTATACTTAGGAAGTATGTAGTACCTTTTTTGGCTAATATTCCTAATAGGACGTCAAGTTTTTCAAGCTAGAAAAAAAATTTAATCGATAGAGAAATGTTAATAATTAAATATTATATAAGTTATAATCAATGAAAACCACTAAATTATGAGGAAAAAATTAACAAAGTTTTTAAATTTCATACAACTGAAATCCGTCATTACTGTGCGTCCATTATTCATTATAGACTATTATTTTAAGTTAAAAACTTACGTTTTCACTTTTTACGTTGTAAGAAGACACAAATACACGGATATATCACAAAAACACAAGTTTCTACAAGCAAGCAAGGGAGCAAAGCTCCCGCCTTAGCCTTCGATGTTAGGTTTTTTTTTATGACCAACCAGAAAACTTTAGAGTAACAGTACTTTTAGTATTTTTAAAGACTCTTTTTTAATAATGCGAAGGTTATAATTTGGAAAAGTGAGTGAATTCTTAAATTTATACATGTTGTCAAACACAAAATGGCGGATTTATTTAGTGAAAATAACAAGTTTTAAATATTTTTTTTATTAAAAGTGTTTGCCTTGGTTTTCACATATGTAATATTTAATTATTAACATTTCTCTATTGATTAAAATTTTTTTCTAGCTTGAAAAACGAGACGTACTGTTCGGAATATTTACCCCTTTTTTTTTGGTATCGGGGGGAAATCTTCGTAAGATACCCTGTCATTCTATGACAGGGTTATGTGGGGTTCTTACCCACTAAAACCCCATCGGTGGCCACCTTCTGTACGTTTAGAGGGACTCCGGGATCTCCTACGGAACGCACCGGTGTCCCTCGGTACTGGGCGTGAGCAACCACGGAGAAGGATAAACCTTCCCCGATTCCCTCACCACCTTGCAGCAGCTCAAGGCCACTTCATGCTGCTGCCAATCCATGTCCCCTTTTAGTCGCCTTTTACGACAGGCAGGAGGTACCTTAGTCCTATTCTAGAGCCCGGGACTACAGCGCTGAAGTATGTAGTACCTAGAACATAAGTATTTGTTATTATGTTGATCAATTAATAATAAATAATGTTTTACGGCAATGGATGGATAGGTTTTAAAAAAAATAATTTTAAGCAAATAGTTGTTGGTAATATACTTAAGAAGTATGTAGTACCTAGAACATTAGTAGTTGTCTTTATATTTATGATCAATTAATAATAAATAATGTTTTAGGTTTGATGGTATACCCATCTTATATTTGCCTGGAAATTCAGGTAGTCACATGCAAGCTAGATCATTGGCCTCAGTTGCTCTTCGCAAAGCAATAGCCAATGGTCATGAATACCATTTTGATTTTTTCACAAGTAAGTTGATAAGTCTTCTACTAGAGAGAATGCTAGTTTATTTGAAGAAATTATGTATACTTTTAATTTTTATAGTTTAAAAAATTATTTTGGTTTGGTTTTTCAGTAAGTTATAATGAAGAATTATCAGGCCTATATGGAGGTGTACTTCAAAGGCAAACTGAGTTTGCTGCAGCTTGTGTATCGAAGATTTTAAGTTTATACAAAAGCAATAGATATACCAAGTCTGTACCAACAACTGTTATACTTGTTGGTCATTCTATGGTAATTTTTAAAACTTTTGTTAACTACAACCCTTAAAAATTAATGTTTCAATATAAATAAAGTTTGATAAATTAACTGACTTTTTTTTATTAGGGTGGGTTAATTGCAAAGCGTCTTCTGGTATACTATCCCACACGGAACATCACTGAAGTGGCAATAGCATTGGCAGCTCCATTGGATGCACCTGTTTTAAACTTTGATATGGAGATAAACAATTTCTATATGCTAATGAACATGGAATGGAATTTGTATATTGATAAAAGTGAAGAGTCTCGGAAGAAAATTTTGATCAGTATCGGAAGTGGGCCACGCGACCTTCTAATACCAGCTGGTTTGACCAGTGACAATGTCAGCTATATCAGTGCTATGGTAAATAAAATATCAATCATTCAATTTGTCCAGCCTAAAATGCCTATTGATATATCTGAACACAAAGTGTGTTTTTATAACACTAACAATACTGAACAATAGTTTGTTTCTTATTTTAGTAAGAAATATCATAATTTTTATACAAGATTTTTTATTATTTATTGTGTATATACATATCAAGCAAATTTTTCAAATATCTTATAAATGGAGTTTTTGGTATGGAACTTGATATAATTTTTTTTATTTTATGTTTTTTCATCACAGACAACAGCAATACCTGGAGTTTGGTTATCACCTGACCATGTCAGCATGGTTTGGTGTAAACAATTAGTGTTGGTGATAAATCGTTACCTCTTTGATATTGTTGATTTGCAAACTGAACAAATATCCAACAATAAACAGCTGTTATTCAGCAAAGCTCGCCAATACTTTCAGGTACTGTGCTCACCTATTTACATTTAATAGGAATTTTACTTTTGAAAGGTAAGAACTTTAATTACATTTCCAAAAATTTTATCATTCAACCGAAATAAATTGATTGTTTTTTATTGTTTTATTTATTGAGTTTTATGAGTTTCTTAGAACTATTTTATTGTTGTTTCATTATTCAAATATTTTATATTAAACTCGTAAAGCTGACCAATTTATTTTTTAGGCAAACCGTTCTATGACCCTAGACTTGAATACAAAACGTCCAGATGCAATACTGCCAGCGGATGCATTCTGGTATGAAGACAATCGCAGAATGTATCAAATTAATAGACCTGATATTGACAGGTAAAGTTGCTGTGAATGCAGTTATAAAAACACATTCAGCGCTAAGAATGTGAAATTTCATTTTAATTTTTTAAACTGCCTTAATTTTTAAAATGTCTTGAGTCCACTTTGGTCTTTTGCTGTCTAGTCTGTTATGATATTTTACATAATGCGTTATATTTTTCTTAATAAGCAGATAAATAGATTTGAGATACTATGGGACTGCAATGGCTTAGTGTCAAAATTTCCATGAATGTAAAGGAAATATTATTAGACATTAAAAAGTATCCCCACGGACGCCTGTTTTTGTATACATAAATAGTAAAATAATGTTTTGATAATGTACCCTAGGAATCTTTAATTTTATTCAATTCTTAAATATTATGTACATGAAATAATAGTTATTCATGACGCTGGCTCATTTATTACGTTCACAGTTTGACGTCGGTGCGAACAGTTAGTTTGGCACCAAAAATAATTGCATCTCGAAATGATAGCACGTGTAGTTTGGAAACTTTTCAAGACTGTAGCTATTCGAATATATGACTTCATTCTCACAAAAAATCATCAAATCTAGATATGCTTTTTATGTGGTGGGTTTTCGTGGTCATATATATAAAAAAAAAGTTGAATAAAAATAATTCCTAGGTTCGGTTCTGCCTGCCATCCATTGATCGGTTCTGCCTACTTTCCAAGGCTTGCCAGCAAAGCTTTGCAAGTCGAATTGCCTGGCAAAACTTTGCTGGAAATAGCACCTGTATCATCCCAAAAATTTTATTTCCAGCCAGCCGAATCTGGCTTTGCTATTTTAAGAAAGTCGATCACAAGATCTGCCGATTTGCCACATCAGTCGTGAGAAATTGGGGTTGGAGTTCTTTTTTTTTTGTTCGATTGACAGTAATCACGGGATCCACCGAACGAAATAAATCCCAAGTTCATTGACCATGATATTTTGCGTCCGTTCATACGAGGTGCCTATAGCAATTCGATAGTTAATGTCCGGTCTGCACATATTTGATCATCTACTTTGCCGATAGATCTCCATTCTTAGTCATAGTCAAGGAATCAATCTTAGGAATAAGGATGTTCTCTCTTATACTTTTCCGTTAAAAATTCTTTGACCCAAATTTTTACAGCGGTATACAAAGGAGAAGATTTCCTACATGTTGTATTCATGAAATCTCGTGCTTTATTGTTTTATAAACTAGTATTTTATGATCGCATTTTTTATGTTATGTTAAAAGTAATTACCGCCGCCGATGGGCTCTACCTCACCTTCTGTGAGGCCATGATACGTCCGCGATCGAACCTACCCATTCATGTAACAGCCGGAGCTGCTGCGTGGCTCAATATTAATTATAAAATCGTTGCAATTTATCTTTATAAACAGCAGTCGCTGCCCCAGCAAATACTCGCAGTGCGATAACAAAGAAAAACCAAATTACTGTGGTAAACTAAGAATATTATTTATATGTTAGTTTCAAATTGCAATATTTTCAATCCAGCCCTCGTATCTAAAGTATCGTTTCAATATTCTATAGTTTTAATAATCCCCAAAAATGCGACACGTTGACCTGACGACGTACACAGATGTGAGACTGTCGTTATAGCGTATTGGAGATCCGAAATCGTGAAATTCATTGGTCATCGATACTGGGGAGGGATTAGAACCGCGATCTCAGTTTCCAAGTCGACAACCTAAGCCACTATACCAACATTGCCTCGTTGGCCTGGATCCGAAATAAAAAAATTATTCCCATTCTGTAATACAACCTCGTTTCAGCACCTAGCTTTGATTTAGAGCTAGCAATTAAGGCATACTAAGCCTGCGCGTAAAATGAATGACCTGTTTTTATAAACGGATTATTCAACGTCATTTACTATCAAATCGTTATAGTCCTTGAACAACTTGCGTGATTTCTATAACAAGATTATCCGTTGAAGAGCGTTATCGCATAGATATAATATCTTTATAACTAATGCTACACATAAAAAAAGGTCCGAAGACTAAGAGTGATTAACAGTCACAGTGATTAACAGTTTATCGTTGGCATATCAGTTTAAGGTATGCCAGCAAATAGGCTGTGAATTAGCGATTGTAATGACTGTGGAAGCTCGTTGAGTCATGCATTTGGAAATTATCTGTTGTTGAGGAATATATAGATATAGATAATATTGAGGTGTCTGCTGAGTGTGTATATAAATAAAGGCTTTTTCTCAAATTTATCTTCTCGTCATTGGCGCCCTACAAAAACGCAAACAATACTTGGAATTTTTTTTTCTGTCTGCCTGTTTGTCTGTATGTACGCTAAAACGCTTAAATTAAAAATTATGATGTTATTTTTATTGACCGATAGTAGCACTTTAGCCCAACAATCAAACAGGGTCGGTACAACTCAGCGTATACACGTTTTTAGTCACATTATTATTCGGTGCTAGTTTGCTCAATATGCTGATTTCAATTGCCGGGGTCAAAGACTGAAACTAAATGTTCATTGAGCAATGTTCTGAGTGATATTGGGTTATTATCTTATTATATATTCTATATAGTGATAAATATAATACGGATATAGATTTGGGGATATCAGATCGTGGGCAAACTCTAGTACATGATACAATCTAAACTTTAAATGAATCAGCAGTTAAATGTAGGCATGATTCACAAGTACCTACTGCTTATGTGCTTGAGTTTTTTAAGAAAAATACATCGCCCTTTCTTTATTATAACATTATCCTGTGTCGTAAGAGCAAACATTATTTTCACGCGGACAAACACCCAGATGCGAAACAACTATCTGTGGGTCAAAAAAAAGATGTCCCGTGTGGGAAACGAACCCACGACCCCCGACGCTGGAGCCAATACCTTGGCAACTGCGCTACGGAGTCCTCAGTAAATGTCTGACGACAAATCACTATTCAGGTTGGCAGATATCTAATCATAACTTAGAGCTTCTGTTTTTCAGACAGCAACCGCAATAATTTCTTCAACTCATTGTGGATTGCTAAATAAAATTATTTGACGGATTTTATCGCGTTTTTTTAAACGTATCGAACTATGACATTAGGACGTACAGCCTATCCGGTGACCAGATATTTTCAGCCAACATTACAAAAAAGTAAAAGATGCCACTGATCAATTAGACCGAAATAGTTCAGTTATGTTTTGATATCTATTGTTTTTTGTTTTCAGGACAACATTCTTGATGATAAGACTGGTCAGTTTTCCGCAGAATCGGTTTGTCGCTATCGAAACTGTAAATGTAAACGATAAGGAGTGGATATTCGGTTGCAATGCTAAATACACACACGGCACTTACAGGCATTGGTAAGTTTGAGAGTAAATGAATAAAACTTGATATTAAATAATCTATACAGATAAATTAAATTGTAGTGTCTATTTGTAATATTAAAATAACGGCTTTTTACTAAATACTGTATGATGTATACTGATGTATACATATGCCAAAATAACTTTTTTTTGTAATTTTTGTCTGTCTGTTTGTTTGTTTCGGCTAATCTCTGAAACGGCTGGACCGATTTTGACGGGACTTACACTGGCAGATCGCAGATGTAATAAGGAGTAACTATTTTTATTTTAGAAATTGTATTTATTTTAAATTCCACGCGATCGAAGTCACGGGCACAGCTACAGCTACAGGCTATGTATAGTAAGATTTTTATTCCAATTTTCTTACGAAAAATGAAACAAAAGAGCAAGCCCGCCTAATGGTAGGCAATCACCACCGCTCTAGGGTTTTTGCAACACAGGAAGATTTGTCGGTTGGTAGGGCCATGCAACAGCAAGCAAATGCATCTGCAAAGATGTTCATGGGTGGCAGTAATCACTTACATGAGGTAAAACGATGGTTCGTTACACATTTCCACCTAAAAAACTATAAGCAGGCCCTCATCTGTCTGTCAAAGTGACATGTTTTATTTTTCTTTTTGCTCGCAAGCGAGCTGGCGGTTCCCCCTATGTTAAGTGATAACCGCCGCTCGTTGACATTTGTAACACCCGGCTACCTCACCCACCAGACGAAACGCAGAAGTGTAAAACTTCCACTCCTCGCCGGTCTTCTATGAGGTCGATACCTTCCCGGACGGACCTGCCCATTCGTGCAACGGCGAAGACATTGCTGTGTAGTCCTAGCACGCTTGTACTGTCATGTTGTTTCTATTTTTTAAGCTATATATTATTTTTTGTTCGTTGGTATATGTCGCCGTGAAACTGCTATAAACAGGCTTAAATTTAATGACATAATTTGAATTATTTTCATTGTTGAGATCAACGTAGTCACAGTTTTAATGGTTCATCTGATGTTAAGGGAATATCACGCCCATGGACATCTGTTACACCCGAGGATTTGCAGATGCTTCGACAACCTTTTGAAAATTGAGCTCCGGCTACCTCACTCACCAGACGAAACGCGAAAGTAATATACTTGTCTTTTTACGCTGGTCTTCTGTGAGGTCGTGACACTTACCTGGACGAGCCTGCCCATTCGTGCAACAGCCGAGGCAGTTTTAAGATTATTCTAATTGTTCCTAAACCACAGCAAAGAGGCGACCCCCCTGACGGAGTTGAGTCGATGGAGCGGCGCCGCGAACGATTCCGGCAGGAGGAAGCTGGCCACTGTGAACCTTCACAGCCTCATGGACGCCTACCCTGAATGGACCCACGTCGTGGTGAAAGTCTCGCCCACCAAGAAACCGGTGATTTCGTTTTGCATGCTTCTTATTTCTCCTTCCCTTAACCCGCACTGACTTACCTTCCACTCTCCTCCATCTGCCGTCATCTAAGTACTCAACAGTCCCACAGACATATAATTCTTCAAATTTCTCGGTCTACCCTACGTTTTGTAGCCGCTCAATTTAATAATGACAAACAACTCGTGAATACCTGTTGCTTGTTGTAAATAAAACAGAACATTAAGTTGTAACTGCTGTTTCGCAAAAACGTGGTTGTAATTGAAATAATGCAATGATTGATTTGTAAAAAGTCATTGGTTTTTAGCACTTTTGCTAGCACTATAATGGAGTACTAAAATCGTAAATTTGCGTCACGATATCATAGTAGTATGTAACCCGATGCTAAATGACGATATGGTCGTAGATGTCTAAGGCAGTAACATAGTAAAAACATTAAATTTATTATTACACCATTGTATTTTAAATAGAGAGATAGGGAAAGAGAGAAACGTAGGATCGGAGTAAGACATCTTTAAATCCTGCACAATACGCCAAAATACAGCGTGTCGTTACAACCACGACAATGAACACACATATAGAGGATAACTTTTTAAAATTGTATTAAGCATTTACTTTAAACATCAATATTTACCGAGTTATTAAATTTTACAAATCAAACATTTTTAGAACATCCTTACGTGTAAAACTGTAACGTAAAGTTCATTTGTAAAGGTCGCAAAGCATATGAATGGGTTGAATGATTTTAAAAGATACTGATAGAAGGAGAGACTTGTAATGCGACGTTGTGGCAACGAATGAAAAAGTCTCTGAATATATGAATCAGTCAATTGTATTTGTATAGGATGTTACAATTTTTTTTCTTTTTTATTTAATTAGTTTGAAAAAAAAATATTTTTTTAAATAATGGATTTTTGACGTTTTATATTTTATTTATGATTATTGGCACGACGGTATGATTATGACGTGTGTTCATTTATTGTCGCGGTTGTAACGACACGCTGTATAAAAAGTAATGTTTGTTATTTATCATAATTACATTAACAACTCCCGCTAATAGAAAAATTGACCGAAAACACCGCAGATAACACTAAACGTGGACGTAAACGATCACGCGTCGAGGAGTTTGAAAGTCGTGCTGCCGCTATTTGGGACGCAGATGATAAGCAAAGAGACCGAAAGGAACAGCCTGTACTACGAGCTGGTGCTGGAGGACCTGACGGAGTTGCACCAGGCCTACTTGCTCCACGTGGAGCCGGTCAGCTGTCACGTGGGGCAGTACCACGTGACCGCCGAGGTGCACGTGCCCTGGGCAAAAAACAACGAGTACCAACACTATTACACGTGAGTGTCTGTCCTAGTGGGCAGTATGATTTTTTTATGTGAGTAGGGGGCAAGCGAGCTGGCGGTTCACACGATGCTTAGTGATAACCGCCGCCCGTGGACATTTGCAACACAAGGCAACACCCGTGTGGTTGCAGATGCGTTGCCCACCTTTTGATGAAGTGAGACCCGGACAACTCACTTATCAGACGAAACGCATAACACTTCCGCATCACGTCGGTATTCTGTGAGGTACTTCCCCGGACGGACCTGCCCATTCGTCCAACGGCGAACTGTAGCGCGGACCTACCACAGTTATAGGTATGGTATGATGCTATTAGTTGAGATATTACTTCTGTATAGTCGTATGATACTATTCAGAAGCCATGGCCGTAGAGATCAGGGTTTAGACAGACTAAGAAACCTCTCGTAAGTTTGTGAACGAGTAAAAAATATCGGGCGGCGCAGTTGATAAGTTATTGGCGTCGAGGTCGTGGGTTCGATTCCCGCACGGGATAAGTACTTTTTTTTTTTTTTTTTTTTTTTTTTTTTTTTTTTTTTTTTTTAAATCTTTATTGCCAACCTTCAGTAAAACAAGGTAACAAAGGGCGGACTTAATGCCCAAAGGCATTCTCTACCAGTCAACCCAGGATGTGGTGAGAGTTTATGGTAGGTGCAGCAAAAGATGCAAGAAAAATAAAATTTTAATTAAAGAGAATATATATGAAAATAATATTATAATTGGATACAAATCATATATTAAGTTATATACATGCATATGTATATATACATATGTATATATATATATATATATATATATATATATATTCAAATATTAAAATATATATAAAGATGTATACTTGTAAAAATAAATAACAATTAGCTTCTACTTTTAACTACAGTCCATATCTTATGTCGAATTTGTCTTTAACAGGTGTTCACGAACCAATATTTTGAAAGATGACTTACTTTTTGCGTTTCTTACGTTATCGGGCAAGGAGTTCCAAAGATGTATAGCTTGGATAGTAAAGGAGTTGACAGAGAACCCGGTAAAGTGCGCTGGAATGCATAATTTATTCGTGTAAGACGACCGAAGTACCCTATCATGAGATGAGGAGAGATACAAGAATTTGTTTTTGAGGTAAGAAGGGGAGGAACAATCATTTAAAATGGAGAAAAGCACAAGCAAAATTCTGGACTGCCGCCTTTGCCGAATAGTAAGCCAATTAAGTTGAGATCGATAGGAGGATATGTGGTCATACTTGCGTAAGCCGAAAATGAACCTGATACAGTTATTAAGGAGGCGATCCAACTTGTTTAGTAGATGTTGGGATACGTCCGGGTAACACACATCTGCATAATCGATAATGGGTAAAATGAGCGTTTGGACAAGCAAAAGTTTAGTTTTGAAAGGGAGGAAATGTTTTAAGCGATAGAGAGATCGTAAGGTGGCAGTAACTTTGCGGCTTATTTCGGTAACGTATACACTCCAATTCAAAGTATTGTCAATAAGCAGACCTAGATTTTTTACCACGTTTGAAAAAGGAATTATTATATTATTGTATTTTATAGGAGGTACAGACGAGTAATCAATTTTTGACAGCATTCTTGAACTACCAACAACTATAGCTTGGCATTTCGAGGGATTGACCGAAACTCCATGAGAACTTGACCAACTCCAAACTTTGTCTAGGTTTTCGTTTAATTTTACTATCGCAACATGAAGGTCGTCTATATCGGCTTGCACATAAAGCTGAAGATCGTCAGCATACAAATGATACGAACAGTTCAAAAAAGCAGTAAGAAAGCTAATAAAAATAGAGAAGATTATGGGAGACAGTATGCCGCCTTGTGGCACGCCAGACTCAACATCAGCCCAAGCTGAGCTTTTTTGCCCCAAGGTAACTGACTGCTGACGCCCACGAAGATAAGATGAAAACCATTCTACAACAGAGTCTGCAAAATTAATATGGGAGAGCATGGAAAGGAGTATATCATGGTCGACTGTGTTAAAAGCGTTTGAAAAGTCTACAAGCACTAACACAGTTACCTTTTTATTTTCCATGCCTTGTCTAATGTCGTCGGTAACTTTGATTAAGGCTGTGGTAGTGCTGTGGCCAGAACGAAAACCAGACTGATAGACACTCAGTAGGTTATATTTATTTAAAAATAAGGAGATTGGCTTGTGAACACAGGCTTCCAGAATTTTTGACAGAAAGGGCAGAATTGATATTGGACGGAAATGGTTCGGTTGCGTAGGATTAGGAACTTTAGGAAGAGGTCGGACATAGGCTTTCTTCCAGCAAGTAGGATATTGACCGGAATCAAGGGAATAGTTAATAATATGGGTGATTGCTGGCAGAAGATGCTCTAATAGTGAGACTATCATAAACCTGCTGATATCATCACAGCCCATAGCCTTGGACTTAATAGCTAACGCAAACTTCTGAATGTCGTTTTGATCAACAGGACTGAAATTGAATTGGGGAATTAAATAGGTTTGTAAAGACGCAATGTTTGAAATAGCTTGAGAACGGATTCCGGGGTCCATGGCAGACGTAGAGGAAAAATGTCGGTTCATATCATCTAGAGAAAGAGAAAAGACACGTTCCGACATTGCTGGTTTACCAATACCGACAGATTTAAGGAATTTCCAAACATTAGCAGATGATGAATTAACAATATTATTATGAAAAATATCGGCGTTTAGCTGTCCGTACCATTTGGTTGCACCTGTTCCTAGCTATCTTAAATATAGACCAATTATCCTCAGTGCGATTCCTTTTGAACCGACAAAAGGCCCGATTCCGTTTCGCCATTGCCATCCTTACTTCTTCAGTCATCCAAGGAGCGGGAGGGCGTTTTAATCTAACATTATGCGCTGGAGCATGAGTATCATACAGTTTAAGAACCATGTTGTTGAGAATAGAGACTTTTTCATCAACTGTAGATGCTGCTACCAGTGCTGTAAAATTAAAATTTGAAGCATCACGCATGAATACCTCAAAGTTTATCCTGGAAAAACTGCGTAAATGTAGGATAGGAGGGCTGTATTTGGGAGGTTTAAGCTTATAAGAAGAAAATATAAGGTCATGACGCGAGAACTCCAACGCAGAAAATTGACCATATGACTCCACATGATCAGGAGAAGCAGTTATAATAAGGTCAATCAAGGAGTCTTCAGTGCCAATGTTACGGTGAGTAGCCCTAAGAGGGAGTATAGAAAGATTAACTGACTCAATGATTGTGTGAAGTTTATGAGAACGAGGGGAGCTTTTTAAAAGATCAGTATTTAAATCACCCATTATCATGCAGTGTGAGTACTCGGAAACAGATACTCTCGAGAGCCGTTTCTAAAGAGGAGAAGTAGTCAGAAGCAGGTGGACAATACACAACTCCGAGAATCATCCTTGTCCCCTTTAGTTCTATTTCGACAAATAAGAACTCTGCGGAGGCAGAATAACGTGATGGAGATGTCAGCACAACTCTATACGTAATAGATGCATGCAAATAGATAGCTACACCTCCTCCTCCTTTCTCCGTGCGATCGTTGCGTATAAGCACGAAACCAGATAACGGATAGAATGTTGATTGCAAGGAAGGCTTGAGCCAACTTTCGGACACTAGAACTGCGTGTATGCAGTCAGGAGTAAACGATGTTTGAAGTTCAGAGAAATGGCTCGGAACACTTTGAGCATTGATATGACATATATTTAAAAACTTATCCCTAGAAGAGAAAACTTGAATGAGTTGCTCATGTAGATTCGATGGACTATTATTTGTAAGACTATCACATGAATTGTACGACAGGTCTGAATCAGAAGCCGAATAATATGATTCCGAATCGGTCATAATTATAATAATATCTAGCTATATATATTTATATATAAAAATATAAAAGAACAGAATAATAAGTAAATATGTAAAAAAAAAATAAAAAAAATTGGTAATAATAATAATAAAGTTTTTCGAATTAATTACAGAATACACCATTCCTACAGTTGACTGTTGACAAATAATGACTAATATAAAATAACAAGAAAAAAACAGAATATTACAATCATGTTAAAATAACAGACAAAAACAAGTAAAAATATTTAAATTAAAGGACCACAACTTGAAGACTTTATAGACAAAGTATTGTCATTATTCCATTGACATCAGAGAAAGAAACCAGTGACAGAATACGAAATGTCAATGTCATTGTCAATTGCTAAGTAGGTTGTAATATTTACTTGCGACGTTCGCATTTATTGTTTACATTCGTATAAAAAATAGAAAGTTATGTCATGTTATTAAAAGTAATATTAACTTTTCAGCACATTAGAGTACAATTTTGCTAAAACTGAAAGACACTGGCAAAAACGTGGATTACAAAGGTTCAACAATTACAATCATGAGCAATGTGATAAAACATAGATATGAATACGAATTGGGCAAAACTAAAGAGAAAAGAGCCAAAAAAATTAAAAAAAAAAAAAATGGTACAGTACAATTATTTCTATAGTACAAAAGGACAATTTAATCTCAGGGTGAAAACTAGAAAAAAAAAAAAATATAATAATTACAAAAACACTGACAAAAATATCAAAAAGCACTTAGTGAGCTCTTACATAAAAATACCTTAGGAGGCTATTAATGGTTTAAAATTAGAATCACAAAAACAGAAACTAATAGGAAATAAATAATGGAAAAACTTAATACATAACAATAACCACTTATGTAAAATAAAAATAAAATAAAAGGTTATGTATAAATTTAGGAATACTATAACCATGTTTAAATGGAAAATTCAACAAAGCCCAATAAAAAGAACAAATTTTAAAAGGATATTGAGCACCAAATTAATGATTTTAAAATAGTTATTTGCAAGGAATAATATTATTCTAGTTGCACAGAACAGATTAGGTCTAAATCATATGTATTAGGCTATTTCTTATTAATAAACCGACGAGTCTTCTTGGCCTCATCGCTACCAGCCACCACAACAACTTGCTTACGACGGCCCACCACGCTTTGTAAACTAGGGGAGGTTTCCTGTGTTTGCATAGTTTTGACTCCATGACTTGCTGCTTTAATATGAGCAGAAGGTGCACCGGAGTAAGACGGGGAGTCCATGGGAAATTTGGCAATCAGCGATACCAGCTCTTCTTCAGTTGTAATCTTCACCCGGGCTTGAGATGGAAGTTTAATGTTTATCACACCATCCAGAGTCCAAACATTCCTAAACCCAAAATGTTTCTGGCTCTCTTATGAATAAGTTGCCTCGCTTTAGTCAGAAATTCAGACATGGATACTACAGAGCCTTTCAACTTACTTTTTGAGTTCCAGATTTGTGATTTTAAGGTATGATCAACAAATTGAACAAGAACTGGTCTTATTCTATCACTTTGCTGAACTCCAATCCTGTGGCAGCGCTTAAAAGAAGCATCACTTACATGAGTTAAGGCAAACTTGTTGTGGATTATACCCAAAATCTCTTCAACCACATTTACTTCAGGAGCCTCCGAGATGCCATTAAAGAGGATAACCTTCCGTCGGTGCTGCATATCAAGAGTGTCTACAGTCTTATAACACTCATTAACTTGTTGTTGTAGAAGGTTGAGCATTGACCCCACCAGCTCTTTAAATGCACTAAAGTCCTCTTGTAGCTGTACCAGGGTAGGATTCGATGGGGTGGATGCTGCCTTTAATCTTTTTTCAAAGTCAGCCATCTTCTGGGTCCAGCAACCTTCAAGCTTCTTCTGAATACTCTCCACATCAGATAAATTCGCCATCATATGATTTAAATTTGTACACAAAAGTTTAAATGAAATACACTTTATGACACTGTAGGAAGATGCAAATAAATTTAAACACTTTTATTAGAACATACTTTTGATGTATAACTTAATTTTTGCTAAAATTTGCTTATGTATATTATATTTATTATATAATAATGATTTCAAAATTAATTAAAAGTGGATAAAACAAAGAGCTTAAAAATCAGCTGCTACTTGTTTCACACCTACCCACAAAAAAAAAAAACTTTTGTGATCGACAGATAGTTGTTAACACCCAGAGGTGTTAAACGGTCGTAAAAACCGAGCCAATATCATTAACTTGATGATTCACACATTGTGCCAATGTCAAAAAGATGAGAGAAAGAAGGAGTAAAAATAGATTGTTGCTCTAAGGAAAGCTGCAGAAAGCAGGGTAAAATTTTTATCCATTACTTCTACATTATTTTTGTACTTTTTTGTCAGTGTTTTTAAGTAGGTTGAAGAAGTGAGAACTATAACAATCAATAATTCATTATTCTAATGACTATGTACATTTTTATTTATTACTAGCTGTGCCCGCGACTTCGTCCGCGTGGAATTTAAAATAAAAAAAAATCTAATATAAAAGTAGCCTAAGTTACTCCTTATTACATCAGCTATCTGCTAGTGAAAGTCACGTCAAAAGCCGTTTCAGAGATGAGCCGTAACAAACAGATAGACAAAAATTGTAAAAAAAATTATTATGGTATATGTGCCCTGTATACATCTAGTAGAAGTAGTAAAGCGCTTATTTTAATATTATAACCGGACACTTCAATCTTATTTATCTGTATAGATTGTAACTAGATGAAATGGTAAAAATCGCATTGGCGACGATAAGTTATTTTTAAGGAAATTAATCAAATGCTACTTTAATCTCGTATAATTAATAAATAAATATTAAAATATTATTTCCTTTATCTATATTATCTATTTGTTTCAGACATTTAAAGCGTTCCCCTATGAAACTGCGCATTTTCAAAAGCAACCCCAATGTCACCCTCGGATTGGAACCCGTGGAGAAGGTCAAAGTCACTTTGCTTCTGGACCCCAAGTGTACGTTCACGATAAGGTACGTGAAAACATTTATAATACACACTGTCAACTCGTCACTGTGCAACGTAGAAATGCAATCGCTCTTTGTTACGTTGCTTTGTAATTGATTTTTTAACGAATGATGATGACAACCATGGGCGTATTGGATCACTTTTTTCATTTAATCTTAAATAAAAATAAATATCACCATCAACTTCTAAAGGTAGTTCTAAAGGTACTTCTAAAGGTAAACTGTAGGGCACAGCTTACCCATTAAGTAAATCTCCAATTATTCACGCTACAATAAAACTGCAAAACTGGTTCATTTGATGGCAGCCCCCGACGGATATTCTTGGGTTTTTTTTATTAGGTTTAGAGGTGAATATGTTATTGCCACGTCTACAAACCAAATTGGTAGGTAGTGAAATGCTATGAAAACTGATACCATATTGTTGTTAACATATTAATTTTTTTTACGTTTATTATCTCGTGTTACATTTATTTTTCAAGTGGGGGGGTTTTTTGAATTATTTTTCCGTCAGTTACTATTTAACCGTCGTGAGTTTTTCAAAATTTTTAATTTTGCTCATTATGTTACTTTGTTCTTGTTCTTTGTTAACACTTGAGGCATCTCGCTTTGCGCAGCGTATCGGTTTCGTGGTACCACCGACTGGCGCAGTTCGTTCGGAACTACACGCCGGCCCTGGTGCCCTACGTGGCGGCAGTGGTGCTGCTGGCGGCGAGGAGTAGCATCATCCACCTAAAAGACCACGGCACCTGCCCCTCGATGCACGGCGCCTTGTCGAGCGAAGGCGTCAAGCCGTACTACGCTGTGGTGTTCTCGAGATTGGGCTCCGTGGTTCTACTGTGAGTATATACACTGTGGCGGGGCACTGTTACGACATTCGTGCAACCGAGGCTGCCGCTGGCTCCGTGGTTCTAGTGTGAGTATACACACTGGGGCAGGGCAGTGTTGTGACATTCGTGCAACAGAGGCGAATATTTTGCAGGGTGGGGAGACGTAGTGTATACTTTTTTGATTAAAAATTTTATTTTTATTATTTTATACTTTTTGTGGTGCCAGCGCCGCGTTCATCAACCGGGCCGTTTACGGTGCAGCAGTGAGTTTATATTTATTGAATTTTATATATATATATATATATATAGTTTGTTATAATTATTATATCTATATATATATATATATATATATATATATATATATATATATATATATATAATAATTAATTTATATATATATATATATATATATATATATATATATATATAGATATAATAATTAATTTATAAATGTATGAATATATTTTTGATATGTCAGCGTGTCTTTACAACCGCGACAATAAATGAACACACATATAGAGGATAACTTTTTAAAATTGTATTAAACATTTACATTCTTTAAACATCAATATTTACCGAGTTATTAAATTTTCTAAACAAAGAATTTTAGAACACCCGTTTTACTGTAAAGTAAAATTCATTTGTAAAGGTCACAACGCGTATGAATGGGTTGAATGAATTTAAAAGAGATAAAACTTACTGTTAGAAGGAGAGACTTGTAATGCGACGCTGTGGTAATGAATGAAAAAGTCTCTGAATATATGAATCAGTCGGTTGTAGTTGTATAGGATGTTACAAACTTTGTTTCTTTTTTACTTAATTAGTTTGTTTGCAAAATATTTTATTTACGGATTTTTTTAACGTTTATATTTTTTTATGATTATTGGCAAATAGTGTTAGACGTGTGTTCATTTATTGTCGCGGTTGTATCGACACGCTGTATACATATATGTATACAGCGTCAGTCAGCAATAATCTATTAAAGTATACACTTTTTACTACTTTCGTGTTTCGTCTGGTGAGTGGGTGTACCTGGCCAACAATCTGCCACTGCTCGGGGTTTTAGATGTCTATGGGGGGCGTTAATCACTTAACATCAGGTGAAACGCCTGCTCGCTTGCCAACTTTTCACATAAAAAAGCCACGTAATAGTCTTCGCTGTTGCACGAATGGGCAGGTCCGTCCGGGTAAGTGTCCGTGAAGTGGAAGTGCTGTACTTTTAGCCGTTTCATCTGGTGAGTGAGGTAGCCGTTGGCCACTTTAGTAGAATGTGTCAACGCATCTGCAACCCTACGAAGATTGCAAATGTCTAGGCGGCGGTTATCACTTAACGTCAGGTGAACCGGCTCTTCTCACGTAAAAAAAAAATGCCACCGTACAACGATCGTGAGGGGGCGGCTCTCTTTCAGATCGATGCCCTTCCTGGAGTTTCTATTCGAGAACGCGAGCTGGAACAACCGAGAACTGCACTACTTCGTGCGCTCGCTGCTGGTGCTGCCGATGTACATGGTGGCGGTGGGCTTCGTGAACGTGGCGGCGGCTGCCATTCTGGCGGTGATGGTGTTCTGGTCCCAGCTGGCGCACAGGCTGCTGTTCAGGTAGTGACGTCATTTCCGTCGCGATCGCCGCCGTGAGACGTGCCCGAATGGATACCGCGTGTATACTCAAATTCGGGTGTGTCAAATCTTTGAGCCGTGATAGCCCAGTGTCCGGGCGCTCGTCTTTAATTTAATATACTCAAGCAGCCTGAGTTCGATCCTGAGTGCCAGCACCAATGAAATTGTCAATTTTAAGTACTGAATTATCACGTGCTCGGCGGTGAAGGAAAACATCGTGAGGAAACCTGCATATTTTCTAAATAATAACAAAAACAATGTGAAGTGTGATATGTGAAGTCCGCCAATCCGCGGTGGGCCCGCGTGGTGGACTATGCACTGATACGCTCTGTACAGAGGAGGCCTCTGCCCAGCAATCGGACATGTATAGGCTGATACTTTACTTTTTTTATCTACACAGTTTTATTATTCAAATGGTATTATTCATTACGTGATTTGTTTCCCTATGCAGGATCGTGTGGCGGGGTGGTAGCGGGTTAGCGGAGAAAATGGCGTCGGGCCTACAGAGGGTGCCGATGGTGGTCAGCGCAGCCCTGGTCTTCACCGCGCCCGTTTCTTGCGGCGCGGCATCCCTAGTCGCCGGCGCAGCGTTTTACGCGTTCACAGTCAGCATTCCTTGCAGCTTCTGTTAAACTTGACTAAGTTTAGGCGGTCGGATGAACGATAATTTCCTGGGCCGGATTTAGGGGAGAGCCTCCGCAAAAGAGGGGCCACCACAATATAGACTTCGGAAACAAAAAATTCAAATTCAGACTAGTAAACAAGTTCCGTTCGCTAAAATTTTATTTTAGATAATTCTTATTTCCGATTATATTTATTTGCTCGTTAAATAATAAAATAATCTTTACTTGGTTTCATAATAAATTATTTTTGGAAACATACATCCGATTAATTAGCATTTCGTCGAAAGAATGGGAAATAAGTTCTCTTGATGTGTACATGTACATACCATAGATCGTTGAAAAGAAGACTTGCGAATATTTTCACACTGTATTATTATTTTGTTTTAGCTTTCCAAAATGTACGAAGACTACCTGGAGGATTGCGTGTACAAATTGATGGCAAAGTTGGGCAGCAGAATATGTAGACTGTTCAAATCGAGAAGAGATGACGATCAGAGCGGTATCAATCCGATGCCCTCGGAGTCGTCGCGAACCGTAACGAAAGAAATCATGCCTAGTAACAGCCGCAGTGACTTGAAATCTACCAATAATCAGAACGATAATGACAGACCATCTGGGAAACCTAACGCAGAAATACCAGTGTGCCAATCGTCCACCACAGAAAATGAATCCAAAAAGTCCAAACGCAACCACAAAACAGGTGATGAAGAGACCGAAATTGACAAGGACTTGAGCAATCTAAACTTCCATATGATGATGTTTTCCCTGTGGCTGGTGGTGGCTGTCGTCAATTTGCCCGCCCTTCTAACATGGGCAAGGAATTTCAAGTAAGTTGTTAAAAATGAACACACATATAGGGGATAATTTTTTAAAACTGTATTAAACATTTACATTCTTTAAACATCAATATTTACAGAGTTATTAAATTTTCCAAAACAAAGAATTTTAAAACATCCTTACGTATATAATTACTTTAAAAAACTTTTAAGTTAAACTTTTATTTTATGTTTTTTTTTTGTTAAATTTTTTTTTTGTTAATATTGTATTGTCATCTAAATTAAATGTGTGTACCAAATTTCAGATCAATCTGACAACGGCAAGGTGCTTAAATTTCAATTTCTAATTTTGACCCAAATAAATAAACAAACAAATTCCGTACGGGTCGAGCTAAATAAAACCGTTTAAAAATGCAAACACTTTTAAATTCTTTCTTTTCTTTTTTACTTAAAACATTGCCCTTACTTTAGGATAACATTATCCTTTGTTGTATAGTTTTCAATATGGTAGGTACTGTCAAAAAAAAAATTTTATATTTGTAGCTACATTTAATATTCATTGCAGGTACAGTATGGTGCTGAAACCTGACACTTCTTTCCACACTGGACTTGTTATGTCAATATGTTCAGCCTTTGTTTGGCAATTGGATGGGCCAAGACGTAACTTGTAAGTGTTAATTTTTATATAATTTAATTGTAATAAAAGCAAGACTTCTTTTGGACCAGTGTATGCACTTCACAAAAAGTTAATTTGATTGAATAATTTTTGTTATTCAACTTATTTCCATTTCAGTATAAAGAGTGCCTGTTTTATCAATAAAACATTTGACAATTTATTGATTAGGTCATTTGTTTTCAATAAGTGCTCAAAGTGTATAGAGTTTTAAAATTATAACCTACTCATTTGAAAAGATTTCTGTAAAGTGAACCCTTATTATTTTAACAATCAACAACAAACTTAGGATTCAACCATACAAATACACAACCTTAAGTTGATAAGATTTTTTCTTTATTACAGGAGGTTCTATGAAATGTTATCATCTTTAATGTTCACAATGGCATTATTTGTGTTAGTCTTAGGTGTTTTCTCATTATCAATTGTGAACTATGGGCTGACGTTAATATTTTCATTAATAACCATTCAACAAGTATGGGATTTTGAGGAAGAAAATAAAGGAGGAAATGTTGAATCAACCAAAGGTGAGGGAATTGTTGAACAAAAATCCAAAATAATTGATGAAAAGCAATGCAAGGAGGAAAATGGCAATGCAGAGTCAGATCAAGAAACATCAAATGATAAAAGTGAAGAAAAAGAAGAAGGCAGTAACAGATGTACAGAAGATGAGAAAAAAGAAGAAACACAAAAAGATTGTGACATTTGCAGTGAAAGTAGAATATATAAAGTATTCAAAAATCTCAGGGATAAATTCAGCTTTAATAGCACAGCTGAATAGCTGTGAAAATGTTTTAGTATGTAATAAAATGCATAGCAAAATCTTTATGTACCAGTCACATAATGATGATATTTTGATTCTCATATCTCTGGTTCTCATTATTGTACTGTATTGTACAGTATTGTGTCAAACTGCAACTAAAGATATTTTAATGACATACTTGAGATTATTTTTTCATGCTACAGTTGTGGAAATGCAGTATTTTAATATTAGTTTAAGTCCCTCGCATGTATAATTTTAATGTTGGTGGTTTGAAGTTTTACTCAATGAATGGGAAACCTACAAAAATAAACCAATCTCATACCACATAATAGTGTAACTTATATATATGATTATGATTGTTTTATTTTAAAAAATGTTAAAAAAACTGCAAAAAGTATTTATATATTTTAAAGTTGACTTGTGTTTGACCACCCAAGATCACCAAGATATTACATATTGTATGATATGCCATTACAAGCATACAAATATTCCTTTTCCTTTAATCTTAACAATACAAATTGTGTTGAATAATTCATGCAAAACAAAAATACAATTAAAACTGTTCACAATCAAAATTACTATTATATATAATTACAATAGAAATTATAAGTCTGATTATTATAAATAAAAAAAGCGTCAGAAAAAAAAAATTAAAATACTAGTAGTAATGGTTTATCAAAAAAAGAATGGTTACAATTTTAAAATATGAAAATTTTTTAAAATATTGAAGGTTATTTAATTGTATTATTATCTAGAAACTTGTTGACACTATAATAACATTTTTTCAGTAGGAACTTTCTTAAAGTAATATTGAAACTACTTTTGTATCACATAATTTTTAAAACTGTTGGTAATCTGTTAAACACATGTATCAATTGATATTTATAGTAGTGTCTAGTCATGACCATACGAGAAATGATTGAATTATGGAAATCTTTCCTCCTTGTGTTTTCTCTTATGGTCTTTTGGTCTACAGTCTCATATAATATTGAAGTAAATGTAGTATAAAAGTAAAGATGTATAATTTGATTTCAAAATAAAAAAAAACTTAACTTAAAAGTATTTTATTTTAAAACACACCTATAGAAACAAAATCAAACATTCTCTGATGAAATAGTATAGTTATTTTTTTCCTTTTTTCCCTGATGGTTTTTCTTCTGCATTTCTGGGGTTTTGCCAGTTTAATGGGTTTCTTCTATACATAGGCCACGGTGGCACAGTCAGAATAGCAGCTAGTATGAATCCGGCTCCTAGAATGTACACTGATTGAGAGAACTGTTGTACTATATATCCCCAAATAAATCCAACAATACTGAAAAGAGTAATGATTGCTCTATATAATTTCTCTGCTTTAGCTTGACCGACGTAGTCAATGTGAGTAGGAATTGATGTGAAGAACTCCATTTTACTATACAAGTTTTGTCTCAACAAAGTTAATGAAAATGTTCTTGTTTGACAAATGACAATAAAAGACACGTCAAGCAAAAAGCAAATTCAAATTGTTGCTAGCTATAAAATTCAGCTGTGGGTACTCTCGGTAGTAATGTTTTATAAAACTACAATTTAATTGCAAATTTCTACGTCTTATTCATGATAATGGATAAAAGCCTCTAGAACAGTGATTCTCAACCACTGTGCCGCGGCACTTTTGTGTGCCGCCAAATTTCAAAAGTGTGCCGCAAAATTTTGCAAATGTATAATGTTAATATTATTAAATTATATCATTTAAAAAGAAAAATATTTTTGGCATTAGCCAACATTAAAACTAAAAAAAGATCAAGATTGTTAAATGTAGAAGACGATATGAGAGTAGCATTGTCATTTTTACGACCAAATATAAATGAAATTATCAAAAAACATCAAGCTCAAATTTCGCATTAAAAATATTTTTATTATTAGCTTGTAATTAATCCCTTAATAAACGTTTAGTTATTATTGTAATATATATTAGTTTATTTCGTATATTTAAAATTTTTGTCATAAACTATTTATGCAGTGTGTTGTAGTAAGTAAATAATTTTTATCTTTTTCTTTGTGTGCCGCCAAATTTTGAAATCGTTTAATATGTGCCGCAACAAAAAAAAGGTTGAGAATCACTGCTCTAGAAAGAATATATATATGTATATAATCGCATGTATGGACATACTTCGAGGGCGTTGAAAAAACCCGAAAGCGTAGTATGGACAGAAAAAGTGTACACTACGGATGAAAAATGTGGAAATTACTCTGTTAGAGCCATAATCTTTTTATGGCTAATTAATAAAGTAATCAGTCATAAATACTTTATTTAATATAAGTTATTTATTTTCCAATCAATAAAATATTTATTTTTCATTCTTATCAATCACTTTTTTTAGATATGTTTTTAAATCTTAAACTATTTTTTGTTCAAATGTAGTTCACCTTTTAATTTGGTTATAGAGTATTTATGAAGTGTCTGTAATATGTGGAAGAAACACAATTTCCTAAGGTTAAAACGACCAGATGGTCCGAATAAACAACTTTAGCCATATACATAAAATCATCTTCTTACTTAATTGCGCTTTTATTACCATCAGATATACCGGTTTTATTATATTCAGAAACCGGATATGTCTCTCTGTTACTCCAATAAAGTGTCAAGCCATTCTAGTGGGGAGTAATCTAATGCTTAGAAATAGACTTAGTTACTATTCCTAGGATTTGAAGGGACTGTTCTTGAATCAAACCAAAATGTTAAGGAGCTTGGGCTATATATTGACACTAACCTTAGATGGCAAGACACTAACCTTAAATTATGTATGCTCGAAAGTAATTGATATCTTAGGAAGTCTCTACCGTTTCACAATCTTTCTGACATCCAAGATTAATGTAATACTTTATTGAGTAATTGTGATGTGTGCCGTTCTGATTCTAATGCAGACTTCAACAAATTTAATCGTCTTCTCAATAACTGCATTCGATTCATTTTCAATCTTTAAAAGTGTTATCATGTCTTATTAATTCTCAACTATTGGTTGACGGTTCGTCACCGTCGCAGCTTGCGTGCAGTCACATTCACCTTCATTGCATCCTCGTGTCTCCCAATCCTCATGTCTCCCAACCCAATTCACCTGTGTTCTATTCATGTCAGAACCCTTCGCACTTCAAACAACCTTATATTTTAGTGTCCTTCCCAAAACTTCATTGAATATTTGTTTCCAGACCAATCTATTTTTCTTTGTTCTGTTTTGTTAACACGAATTTAGTGTAAAAGTTAAATATATTAACAAATCCTCTGGATTGGTTATTGGTTTTACTATCAATTGCGGTCTGAGCCGAGTCTTATGCTCCCCTTTAGTCGATTTTCCATCTCTGGTCTACGTAGGTGCGGAGTGACTCGAATCATGCGCCAGCCATGTTGTTAGTCGTTCTCCTTAGTTTCCATGGTCTGTCTGCCTACGGAACTCTTCCGTCGAAACAGTCAAAGGGTTAACAGAAAATTATAATAAAAAAAGAATTTTAAAGTTTTTTTTATAGTGCTAATCTCTGCACTTTTTTCTACATGTTTTAATAAAAAAAGAAAATCTGTGAAGTGTGAACATGCCGGGGCATTATTTGCATCGCCCATCACTAGTACTTTACACCTTTCCGTCAGTCGATTGTCAACATTCAGTACGATCAGACTCATTAGGTTAATTTTACAAAGATATTTAGTTTTATTTTCAAAAAAGTACAATAAGCGAAATTAACAATAAAATGACAACTCTGAAACAAGTTCCTCTTACATGTGGTGGCCATACGAGACCAGTTGTGCATTTGGATTTTAGTGACGTTACAAAAGATGGATATTATTTGATTTCTGCCTGCAAAGGTAAGTTTATAATTGTTACTTTGCACTCGGGGTGCACATTTTCCATGGCCTAGATATAGATGGTAGACTTGCAAGTGTGTTGTGTTGTTTTTGTGTGAAATTTGTCTGACAGATGTTAGAAGTTGAGATGCGTTCAAAGGCCTTCACTTTTCTTATTTTGCAAGCTGTTCTAGTCAACCGGTATGCATGCTATACATGATCTGACCTTCTCTTTCCGGACATGTAGGAAGCACCTTGAGTTTTGCTCACATATTTCCTTGCGGCGGCAGCTTGCCTTGGCAGCTAAATCGTGCTTTTCATTCTCGTTGTGACAACATACAAGCATTTCACGTCTTTGTGTTTATGAAATTGTACTAGTATCGGAACTTTGTTTCTTTCCTGTAGCTTATTGACATTTCACTTGCTGTGGGTCACCTTGTACTTCCTCAAGGTTCCTTAAAGCACTTGACATTATTGTTTACTACACACAATCTTGTGCAAGCTCCAGAACCACTCATTGTTCAAGAGAATAAGGAAAAATAGTGTAAGAAGTAATCTCTAAGGTGTTGTTAATAAGTAAAAAGTTAAAGAACTGGTGAATAAATTCCTTTTACTGTTGTTTAGGAATTATATACCATATGTAACATTTATATTATATTTTTTATTTTTTTGAGATAGCTCTATTGTTAAATGTGCTGTAAAATGTTGTTTTATTAATAATCTTTTAAAATATACATAACAATTATTTAATGCAAGATAAGTATTGCCTATGATCTTATTTAGAAAAATAATTAGAGGATTATATTGTTTACATTTGTTATGATTATGACCTTGTGACATGTATATAACATGTAGATTAAATTAGAGTTTTATAAAATAAAACATCACCCCTTAAATTTCCTATTTTGAGCACTTTTTAGAAATGTTTGGTATTTTATTCAAAAATTCTGGTGGTCTTTCTTTCTTCTAAGTTTTGTTTTTATTTCTTAATTAATGTAGGAATTGTTTACTACTTACAAAGCTAAATTCCAGCTAAAGTAGAGATTGAACTTTTTCTATAGTCAATCTGTTTGTCGGTTATGAGGAAGGCTTAGGTAAAGGTGGTTGATAAATGAATTGACTGTTGAAAATTTTAGAAAAAATATTATGAGACATCTAGAAGATTATAGCTATATTCTTAAAAGATAAATTTCTTAAGTCATAAAAATATAGAGACGGGATTTTCGTGTAAGAATTAATATGTCATAATGTTTAATAAAATACAAAAATAATTCAGTTATTGAATTAATGTTTAAATTTTTAGTCACAAATAAATTTCTCTTTAATTTACCCCTTTCTAATCCAATACCTATTTCTTTTAATAAATAATAGACTTGACCGAAAAATAAAGAAAATATTAGGGAACACGGGAAAATATTATTCATGATTCAGAAATCAATTACATAAGCTTTAAATAAAAATATTTTATTCAATTAGAGATGTTAATTGTAAAAGCTGACCTGTGGTGTGCAAAAAACACCTATTTAAATAAATAAGTATAAATTATTAATGTTGGCTATGAACATTTAATATTGGGGTGTTATAAGGGTCCCATAGTTGGGGTTAGGTACTAAAATTAAACATGTTGTATTATTATATTTTATCGTTTAAAATTCATTAAAAGCAGTAAAAAAAGTGGTGGCTATGAAACATAACTTCACTTAAAAGGCACAGACAGGCCTATTAGAAATATGGAAATCTCTTAGGATGTATAAAAGCTCATACACACAAGAAGATCATAATGTTAAAAATACTTGATATTCAGTGAAATAAAAAAAATATTATTATTTTACTAAATACATTTTGCATTGTATTGTGCCTTTAATTCTGTATTTTTATACCCCTTAAGAACATTGCATTTTTCTCATGTTTAACCATTAATGAATTTCGAAATGGGATAAATTGTACATTTATTTTGCATCCATACTTTAATATAACTGATCTCAGTGTTTTCTTCATACAACTTTAATTATTAGATTACATTTAATTATAACCAAATGCCGTGTTTGATTACAAGAGGGCAGGCATTTCTCGCTCAAAGGTTAAGTATAACTATTTACCAAGGAATTTTTATTTTGGTCAGTTTTATTTCACAATATGCAATTTAGTTAGATATTCAAATAATATAAACAAAAATGTTATGATTGACCTCAAATATTTTGAAAAAACATATTTCAAAATGAATTCCTATAAATTGAAAACAAGGACTAAATTATGTTAAAATGTTTGCTATAATATTTATTAAAAGTGGTGCGTATCTTAAATTCATATAAATACAAACATTAAAATGATATAGTTTCTGCTCTGAATAGAAGTCTTTTTAGTTTTTGTGAGGTAGGTTAATTTTATAAATCTGTTAATTTTCTAAAAAAATAGCTTTAACATCAATTACCACAAGTGATATGATAATATGTTATTGTTGTTTCATTAGTTACACACCCATTTATATTAATTTGCATTGATTCTTTGTATTATTGATACAAAAGAAATAAGAAATAAAATAAGCACATCACTGTTCCAATTTTCCTATAAAAATAAAAGTATCAGCCAATATATGTAACACTGGTGAGCATTAGGCAAATGCCTCCTGTGTGTGGAGGGTATTAGGGCATAGCCCATCATGTGACCGCTGGTTTCCTTACGAAGTTTTCCTTCACCGTTGAGTATGTGATAAGTCAGCACTAAAAATTAACAATTGCACTGGTGCCTGCATTGGCGATGAAACTCTGGTTGCTAGAATATATTGAATTAAAAGCAAGCAGCTGGACGATGAGATACAGGGATCTGTTTTTTTCTTATTGTTAAATCTAAATCACAATAAATCCACAGTAATAGCTTGTTCTATAAATAATTTGGGTGGTACTAGACTAGTAATAGTAACAAATAGACACAAATGGCAAACATTATTCTATTATAAATGATGTATTAAATGTTATCTAATATCTATCACTCTACTATTGATAATAGACCTCATTTACTGCATTAATGCCCTTAGACTCGACATTTGTAACATTGTCAAAGTCAATGTCTATAAATTATTTATAATATCTTTATTATTTTTGTCGTAATTACGATCTTTGCTTTTGCTCACAATCTTTTTTATAGATGGCAAGCCCATGTTGCGACAAGGTGAGACTGGTGATTGGATCGGAACTTTTGAGGGTCATAAAGGCGCTGTGTGGGGGGTAGCTTTGACGCAGAACGCAAACTTAGCAGCAAGCGGCGCGGCCGACTTTTCAGGTACAACTTGACTACACTTCTGAAGCAACTCTTCTTTCCTCTGTCCTTATCCCACTTAGGTGGGGTCGGCACAACATGTGAGTAATTTTGTTAGTAGTATGGTTTGGATTGTTTACGAATACCAGACGGCAACCATCCTTGGGAACCCTTGTGGGCTACATAAATATTTGTCTTTTGTGGATGTCAAACCCACGATCCCCGACGCCGAAACCTATAGCTTAGCAACTGCGCCACTGAGTCGCGTCCTAAATGAATGATGTTGTTTAATTAAAAACTAAATTTAATATTTGAAATTGTGGTCATTTACGAAAATAAAACATTTTTTTTAAAAAAAGGCTGAAACTTTTAATGGAATGATAAAAAGTTTACTAGCCATTTAAGGTTTATATAAATATTTATAATTGTTATAAAAAAAGATGGTGTATATGTGTGCGTTTTAGGATAATTATTATACATGTTAATAGATACATATACATAGATATATGGACATCAAGAAACTAGAAAAAAATGCGTTCGTCACAAAATTTTTCCAGTAGTGGGGATCGAACAAACACCCTCTGGCGTAAGAGGCAGATCAGTCAATCAGTACATAGCATAAATCAAAGTCGTCCCGCTGTCTGTCTGTCCATATGTATTCTAAGATCTTTAAAACTACGCAACAGATCTTGATGCGTTTTTACTAGATAGAGCGATTCGAGAGGGAGGAATATATGTGTACATTGCACCCGTGCGAATTCGGGGTGGGTCGCCAATTCATTTATATTTATATACACGTTTATTCCGCAGCGAAATTGTGGGACGCGCGGTACGGTGACGTGGTCCAGACGTTTGACCACGAGCACATAGTTAAAAGCGTGAACTTCAACGCCGACGACACTATGCTGCTGACGGCCAGCAACGAGAAACTGATACGGGTTTTCGACCTCAACAAACCGGAGGCGGGGGGTGAGTAAAAACAACTGTTTTTGATGTGGTAGGACCACGCAAAAGTTTTGACTGTTGCGCGAATGGGCAGGTCCGCCCGGACACAAAAGAGTTCCTACTTCGGAGCGCTGGCTAACTACTAACGTGATTTCTGTAGCAAAGAGAATTAGATACCGGCCCGGTGTAAGAACTTGACGGTCCCACCTGACGTTTTAGGGTTCCGCATCTCCGTACATGTAATCGGAACCCGTGTAGATTCATACTACCATCTTTTTTTTTACAACAATGAGCCGTTAGGTCACTAACGGTAACAGTTAGCCTATCGTGTAAGAATGATTTTTACATAAACTAATTAAATAAATAATATACGACATTTAGATTTATACCTAATACAAAGGTCCACGATCATTGCGCTGTACCTACTACGTTTAGCTTTTAGATGTAGTAAAGAGATGCAGCCATTTACGTCACGTATTTTGATATTCCCAACGCTCACTCATTAAAATTTCATCTAAGTTACTCCCCTTGACCTAGAATTGCATTGACATTAATATACAACATTTACAATAAGTCTTTACAGGTAAAAGTAAATATTCGAGAGTTAGATAATAAACAAAATACGGAATTCTAAGAGAGCGAGGTATACTCTCACTTGTTTTATTTGGATCATATTTTGAAATAATATGTCTGAATGGGGCGCTGTCTAACCATTATAAAAACAGTAATGTCTAGTTTTCAAGTCTCTATTGAGATGAATCTTTTTGGGTTTCTTTCGTAGAAGAAAAATTATTTTTTTAATACAAGGATACAGTTTTTTAAACAGGAAGGTTATAATTTTCAAAAGAATATCCTTTTTTAATGAAATAAAACAAAAATAAACTTTATTCATTGATATAAAAAATTCCTTTTGAATCCCATCCGTACGTTGTATTATTTAGAACGGAAGTATTTATGTTACTTCGAAAGTTAATAAGATCTCTGTAACATTACGAAAGTGAAAGATAAAAAACGTTGATAACTCAATCTAACATCGACATTCTATTTCTAAATAGGAGGAAAGTTTAGTTAATGTGTAACAGAGAATGTTTTATTGTAAATTCAAACTAATGAAATGTTTGGTATCTATGATTTTTTATTTACTTCTGATCAAGTCGTGTAGAGAACTCTATGTATTTCTTATATAATTACTAAATTTCAACCATGCAAATAGCCTTATATTAAATTTAATCGTAGCGAAACCGGTTTTCATATTTGCATTGATATTTAATAATAAACTTAACAGTTTTGCCATTGTATCTGTACCTATTTATACAAGTATTTAAAAAATGTCGTACTCAATGTCGAAATTTCCATTATAATAATCTTTAGAACACATTACGCATTTGTCGTCAACGGATGTGTATTATACACATGCATAATATGTCGTGCGACTGGCAGAAGTCGCTAAACATGTGTAACAACTTGCGGTCAAGTCAATAGACTTTAATTGGATAAAGGCGACTAGCGTTTCGGACGGAAATCTTGTCACGCTTTACCGCCGAAGGCCTTCCAATGTGCTCAATCGCTTATTATTCCTATGACGACTATGGAAAAAACGTTAAAGCGACCCGTTGCGTGAATAATTCGAATCGATTTCAATGGTTGAAAGATCTTAATTGACTTTGTAATTGCCGTTTTTAAGTCACATCAAATGTAATACATATAATAAATATATTTAGATTTAAATCAATTCATTCAATCGTTATTCCTCTTGATTAGAACGAGTTGGGGAAAATCACAATAGTAAATTTCATCGGGAAAGGTGACAAGCTCTAGTTTTCAAATATTCATTTTAAAAATGTCATTTGAGATAGTGTGCTTGCTGTAAAGGATGCTTCTTTTTTTCCATATTAGATAACGCAAGGCATTAATAAAAATGCAATAAAAATAATTAGATAAAACATCGAGATTTTCGCACGGTACGTGGAACGGTCAGCTTTGAGCGAAGTATAACACGGAGGGCTCAGTTTCGAATCCTAGCAACGGCGAAAACTTTTGCGACTGTTTTATCTACACATTTTTTAAATCACAATACTATACAATGCTAATCTGAAAATAACGAATAAATTTGTTGTTTTCAGACAAGAGTTGTATACTTACCTAATTTATTAAAAGCCGGGGGTGTTGCAAATGTCAACGGCGGTTATCATTTAACATCAGATTAACCGGCAGCTCATTAGCCACTCTCTCTCAATAAAGAAAAGAATACTTAAAATACATGGTAGTAAAGATACTGACAATACACCGTATTTAGTAGTGTATTTAATTGTGATTGATCCACGCACTAGCTTATCCTGTTGCTCGGAAAGGCATGCTCGTCAGGACAGTCACAGAGAGTAATTGTACTTTTTCTTTTAAAGTGTTGTTCAGGGCCCATGCATTCTAAAGTTTGACGATCGCCAATATACATGCTGTTTATGTATGTTTTAATATGTTTTTTTCTTCTCAATTTTCAGCGATAGAGAAGATAAGTGCGCATACGAGCAGTATAAGGCACGCGGTGTTCCTGCACAATTCGCGCATCGTGAGCGTTAGCGACGACCTCACGATGCGCGTCTGGGATCGAAACAGCGGTCAGGTAATGCTTTTAGTTTTTTTCTTATTTTCTTAATGGCAATGTGCCGGTTTATTTTTTTTATTCAATTTAAATGATTTTTTTACGTTAAACATTTAGAATGTATAAAAATGTACATATATGTCTTAATATTAAGAAAATGTAGGTGATATTAAGAATTTTTTGCTACATTTATTTACATTAATCAAATGATTTTCCGAAAAAAGATTATAATTATATTTTGAATATGTTTCACATATGAATAAAGGGAGATTTATCGACTAACTTCCTGTTGTCGATTCATGTCATTGATTGCGAGTCCTAATTATTCTCTTGCGCCCAAAAAAGTATAATTTCAGAAATATAATAACGTATTAGAATGTATTGACGTTGGCGAATCCTATTTAATTAAATGCTATGTTAATGTAACAAAACTTAACTTTAAAATGCTATTTTAAAAATATAGTTTCAATTTTTTTTGTTTGCATGTGTTCTAATTTTTATTTATCGGTATACAACGGTGTTAATGATATATCGAATACGGGTTTTTGTATCTTGTTGCAATATGCATTTCAGGAGGTGAACAAAATAGAATTCCCGACGATTCCGAACAGTTTGGAACTATCCAGGGACGGAGCGATACTGACAGTGGCACACGGTAATATTTCAATATCATCACATATCAAATCTATGTAATATTGCCTGCAACGTTGAATCTTTGTGAACTGGAGAATAAATCATTCAAGCATAAACGGTTTCTAATCAAACCGGAGTCACGAGGACGTCCATCGTTCATTGAACGAATGCTCACCATTAGTTCTGTTCACCATTCTTTCCGTGCACTTTTTGTTCCGTTCAGGGTCGTTCCGTTCACCATTCTTTCCGTTCACTAATTGTTCCGTTCACCGTTCGTTAAGTTCACCATTCTTTCCGTTCACTTTTTGTTCCGTTCACCATTCGTTCCGTTCACCATTCTTTCCGTTCGCTAATTATTCCGTTCACCGTTCGTTCCGTTCATCATTCGTTCCGTTCACCATTCTTACCGTTCACTAATTGTTCCGTTCGCCGTTCGTTCCGTTCACCGTTCGTTCCGCTCTTGGGTCGCAGGCACGAACGTGTCATTCTACTCGTCTGACACGATGCGCAAGATGCGCGAGTTCCCGGTGCCCACCAAGTGCCTCTCCGCGTCGCTGGCGCCGAGCCGCGCCACCTTCGTCTGCGGCGGCGAGGACCTGAAGGTCTACAAGTTCGACTACAACACCGGCACGGAGCTGGGTCAGTTGGGTATCGCTGTTACTGGTGTTGCTTTCGCGCAAGCGGCCCGGTTTTCGGAAGGTCGCCAACGCATCTGCAACCCTCGGGTGCAGCAGGTGTCCATGGGCGGCGGTGTTCACTTAACATCAGGTGAACCGCCTCGACTTTGGTGGGGCTACGCAACAGTTCGCCGTTGCACGAATGGGCAGGCTCGTCCGTTGCTATCACCCTAGATTCTTTTGTAAGGCGTTGACTACCCTATGTGCAGTGCCCCAAATACGACAAAATAGCATCACAGTACCTTTGCGCAGCGTTATATGCTTTACGCACTTGTTTCTTTTTTGATAATATCTTCCTTTATTAAATTTTGTTTGTTTCATGCGTACTACTAGTTTGGAAGCCTATTTAAACTATTTATTGCACCTAATCCCAATTAAATGCACTGTGTATTCTAAAAACTGTTTATAAATAAAGTCATTGTTATTAATATCATTTACGTCACAGTTTAAAATAGTCAATTTCATAGTTTTAATAAGTTACCATGGTAAAGAAACATTTTCGTGTAATAAGGTTCCAAGTATATTGACCGGTTCATAAGACTAGTTGTATATTTTACGCTATGGCTAAGTATGTATAAGTACTAAGTGCTACACATAAGAATGTTACTATTTCATTAATTTTTTTTAACATTATTTGCGTACGTCCGTACTACACGTCATCTGTTTGCAAGTGTTCCCGTTGTTTAATTTTTGCATACCTAATTTTTACAGTGCACTATCAAATAGCTATTGTGTAGCGCGGGGAGACGATGACGTTGTTTGTCCGCGCAGAGTCGAACAAGGGCCACTTCGGGCCGGTGCACATCGTGCGGTGGTCGCCGGACGGCGAGCTGTACGCGACCGGCTCCGAGGACGGCACGGTGCGTCTGTGGCAGGGCGTGCCCGGCCGCGTGTACGGCCTGTGGCGCCGCAGCCAGGAGGTCGCGCCCCTCGCCAACGGCTACAAGGAGCTCGCCGCCAACTGACACGCGCGCCCGCACTCGGTACGTACAGCGGCACAGAGTAGCCCCAGCCAGAGGCCACGCCCCTCCAAACAGCTAGCTACAAGGAGCTTGCCGCCAACTGATACGCGCGCCCGCACTTGGTACGTACAGCGGCACAGAGTAGCCCCAGCCAGAGGCTGCGTCCCTCGCCAACGGCTACAAGAAGCGCGCCGCCAACTGACGCGCGCCAACACTCGATATACAGCGGCACAGAGTAGCCTCAGCCAGAGGCCACGCCATTCCAAACAGCTACAAGGAGCTTGCCGCCAACTGACACGCGCGCCCGCACTCGGTACGTACAGCGGCACAGAGTAGCCCCAGCCAGAGGCTGCGTCCCTCGCCAACGGCTACAAGGAGCGCGCCGCCAACTGACGCGCGCCAACACTCGATATACAGCGGCACAGAGTAGCCTCAGCCAGAGGCCACGCCATTCCAAACAGCTACAAGGAGCTTTCCGCCAACTGACGCGCGCCCGCACTCGGTACGTACAGCGGCACAGAGTAGCCCCAGCGAGAGGCCGCGCCTCTCGCCAACGGCTACAAGGAGCGCGCCGCCAATTGAGACGCGCGCCCGCACTCGGTACGTTCAGCGGCACAAAGTAGCTCCAGCCAGAGCCCGCAGAGAATTGCTTTTGGATGAGCACAGACAATCTTCAGAGGCCACAGTATAAAGCGCGTGCCGAGCGCACCGATATGGTACACTCAGAGCAATTGAGCAAGCGGCGGCAATGTTTTTCTGTATTATTTCCCAAAGGTCATTTTTTATCAGTACACCATAACTCCCTTTAAACACCATTTTAAAGCTTATGTTTGCCGTTATTGACGAAATATGAGGAAGCAGAATACATTTATTGTTTTGGCTTGCCTTAAAACTCTATGTCCTAAGGAAACGCAGCTTCAGACACCGCGATGCCTGCTAATATTCTATCTATTTTCTAATATTGGCTATCCCACGTTTCAACCAGTGTTATTTACAATAAAATGTTTGAGTATCGTTATTTAATGGTTAATATAAACCATTTATATTTCCAAGATAAATTTAGTCACATGCAAAGTTTATAGTATTTTATTTTATGCAGATTAGTTGCATTGATTATATCTAAACGGTATCCTTACAGAGCAACGAAGAGCAGTGAGTGTGCAATCCAAATTGAGCGCTTGGTAAAGTGACCAAGTGTAGTGTATGCCACCAGGCCAAGTGTTTGACGTTATAACGCGGCGGGAAATCAAGACTTATCATTCGGACTGTGTTTGTGTTATTTATTTTTTTACCGTAACACCAACTTTTTATACTCGAAACACAATGTATTTATTGTAAAAAGAAACTAAATAGACTCGATGATGATAATATGCAACAAAATAAAGCGATTTGTAAATAATATGTTCTCTCTTTTAATTACTACTTACTTTCTTTTGATCATACTATGACGTCTAGTGAATGTTTATGATTATTTAATGGACTAAAATTTCGAGACTGCGGAAAAATTCACAGGTTAAGTTAAAAAACGAGAGAAAAGGCGACATATCTCGTTACAAATGTTCAATGTTAAATGTCATTTGTTTTATACTGTAAATTATGTACACTATATGACTTCAAGCATCGCTGTACATGAAATTGAATCCCGCAACGCAGATAGTTTTTGTCCAATTATCGGCAAAGATAACATTTTACGTGTGGTAGATAGAGAAATCTCTTGACTCTTGACATTTTCAAATGAGCTTGCGGTGGATTTTACCACAGACAATCTCTGCTACATGTTTTCACGATAATATCTACGATGACGAACGTATTTCTATCATGCATTGTAAAAAAATAAAGTAAACAAAAATAAAAAAAAAATTATAATAATTGGTGAGATTTGTATTTGTAAAAATAAAATGGTAATAACTACACGTTACAAAACCTAATACTAAATACTATGTCAATATTTTACAAAAATATTCTTCACATTTTATAATTCTAGGCACACACCAGGCAGTGACAAAACTTAAACATCTATAAAAAAATCTCTGTTTGTAATTAATAATAGCTTATGCTTACTGCTTAAAAAATTGTACATTGTAATGGTAACATTAGATGCAACACTGGTAAATACTACAACTTTTTCTATTACAAAGAAAGGCAAAATGGCAATCATTTTTCCACGGGTTCTTTCACATGAGTGAGTATAAATTACACATAATTATTTTTTTTTAATTTTTAAATAACTTTGGTAGTAATTTTTAAGCAACGAGTTTGTAGAAAGTTTAATAAAATAATTATACAATCATTGTTTCTAAAATCGTTGCCAGCGAGTATGTATTTCATAAAATACTATAAAATTTTAAATAACTATATTTATTTATAAAGTATAAAAAATAAAAAAAGATTTTAGCCAAGTACTTACAAGTACCGTGTGAATATATGAGCTATAATTTATGAATACAAAGTAAGATTTTTTTATGGGGACTATATCATACATTCCATATCCATTGAGTATTGATCGTGATTGTCAAGCAACAGGACACAATTCAACGATAGTTCCATAATTAGCTTAATTTGATCATTAAAGTTTGAGGCTACTTGGAACTTAAAGCAATAGTAACTTTAAATTGTTTCTTGAATATTACATAATTTCGTCGTTTCATTATGTTGTTTATTTAATGACGGTCATTTGAACTATCGCATAATGACTGGATATATCCTCAAAGTGACTCACTCTAAACAACCGTTACGAATTGGTTTAACTAGCTTAAATAGCACCCACTGAACGTTTTTGAGTTCGCTGCATTGGCGTGTTTCACTTGGCGATGAACGGCGACAAGTCAGGGAACTTGAAGTTGATTGGTTGGCGGCGCGGCGGGTTCGACGCGGGCGGAGCGGCAGCGCCGCACTGCGCGGTGCACACGTCGTCGCGAAGAATCGCCTCGCGCGGCCACTCGCGCAGTAGTTGTGCACAATCCGTTATACGCAGGGACGCACACTGGGCCTGTTTAAGTGCAGAGATGTCAATTAGTAATTCTTGGGTATATATGCGTTTTATTGGTTGACAGGGAACGCGTTCCGGTACTGGAGTTTTGTCGGAATGCACGTAACAAAGGCGGCATTTGGAATAGTATTTTTCTTGTTCGACAGATTTTCTTGAATAAAATATTTCTGATGAACCAGCTTTGATAAAAATTTACTTTGACCTACAGAATTATAGGTAACATATTTTCATTTTGATGATTTTGTTTACTTTTCCAGCAGACAAGAGGAAAAAATGACAATTCTAAATTCACATTTGAGTAAACTAGGCTTTCCAAGTCCACTTTGATGAGATGCCGTCATGAAAGCGTACTGTCTTGCGTTGCCATGGTCAAAATAAGCGCAAGAAGTTTTAGCCTGTTCTGAAACGTACTCGAATAAAGTGTGCCTACATTTGGTATATCGAGTGTAGTAAATTGTATAAAAATACATCGCAGGGAGGTTACATAACATAAAGGGAATCTTATCTAACATCACTACATAGATTTTAAAGTTTTTTAAAGTGCTAATCTCTGCACTTAAGATTGAACATTAAAACATGTAGAAAAAGTACGAAAAGATTGTCGCCGCTGTGGGAATCGAACCCACGTCTTCGGCATTCGCGGCCTGACGCTCTAGCCACTGAGCTAAACGGCTGATAGCCACAGCGACGAAAATCTTAACGCCTTTTTTCTACATTTTTATTTAGCATTTGAAGCAATGCTTGGCGCATCTATTGTTATATCCTTTCCAGCATACAAACAATTTCAAATATCGTTTTACAACGATAATTCGAACAAGAGATGTCGCCATTGCTTTTTTATAAATTTTAAAGTTTTTTAAAGTGCTAATCTCTGCACTTAAGATTGAACAATCTTTGCCGCGCCAAGCATTGCTTCAAATGCTAAATAAAAATGTAGAAAAAAGGCGTTAAGATCTTCGTCGCTGTGGCTATCAGCCGTTTAGCTCAGTGGCTAGAGCGTCAGGCCGCGAATGCCAAAGGCGTGGGTTCGATTCCCACAGCGGCGACAATCTTTTCGTACTTTTTCTACATGTTTTAATCACTACATAGTATAAAACAAAGTCGTCCCGCTGTCTGTCTTTACCTATGTATGCTTAGATTTTTAAAACTACGCAACGGATCTTGATGCGGTTATTTTTACTAGATTCTAGATTTTTAGTGATTCAAGAGGAATTTATATGTATAAAACATTAAACCCGTGCGAAGCTGGGGCGAGTCGCTAGTAATCTTATAAAGTAATGTATTATAATTGTTAAATTAATATTATAAAGTAATTTATTTGAAAGTCGTCTAGTAACAATTTCATTAGACAAATTACCCCCTCAATTGAGCAGATGCACGACGTGCACGGAGACGGGAATGCGGACTCTCCAACGGCAACAGAGCGGCCGGCAATTAGGCAACCCTGCGCAGAACTTTCCCGCCACGCTGACAGATCCAATTTCGGTAGCGACGAGCAAGGCACGCGTGGGTTTCTGGTGAACACATAGTTATGGATAAAATACAATTTTGGATGTGTTTTAAAAAATCTGCGTAAACTTATATTTCAATTAGCGTAAACATCCCTTAAGCTTACGGAATGTAATAACTGATATAAAAGTAACAAAACCGCTGATGAAACAAAATTTTCGTATGAAACAAGTACCAATGTACTGTATACTTATTGTTCTGATGTACAGTAATAAATAGTATTATCTACGTTATGAGGATAATCAAATTAGAACACTCGAACAAATTATTGTGTCTGGGAATTTTTAACACAGGTTTTAGTAGTATACTTTTAATCTGAATCAAATTATGAATACGTTACATTAAATAATAACATCACCGAGCGGTCTGCTTCAGCATTATTTAAAAAAAACATTTTTGTTGTATTTATTATCTGTATTGAGCGAGCATGACCATAATTTCTTCCGACAAAAGATATATGGGTATACAAACTCACAGGAAGTTGCTCGGCAAATCGAAAGACGCCCGTTGGATGTCGCTCTGCACGTCGAAGTTATCACAAAGCATCTTAGACAACGTAACCTTGCGAATTTCTGCCAATTGCTGCTCCGTGAACCTCGCCGCTTGGTTGTCATTCTCGTACCTGTCAATAATGGATAACGTATAGATTTAAAATAATGTACAATATTTATAGCTTGGTCTATATCTATACATCTAAGTCAAAACTGATATTATTATGATGCGCCAAAACAGTAATGTGTATGATTTTCGGTGTTAACCATGATTTCATAAGTGACTCAGTTGAATTTATTTTTGGGTCGCAATAAAATAAACGCACAATGTGAAAATCGGAGGCACATCACTAATACCAATAAATAACCGCGCCAAATAGCGACGCGGTAATATCGAGTGTTACATAATAAGTGTTACGTACCAGAAGCGATCGCACTTCCTCAGCTGCCTGAACTGGATGGCAATGATGCAAGCGAAAGTTGGCCCCACGAGGCCGCCCTGCAAAGGTCGCTCGCTCATACCGCCGGGGAAAAGATCGATATCGTCCACCGTCGGATAGATCCTCTTTAATCTGGAAGTAAATGTTGTATTTTATTGGTGACCTTATTCGATAATTTCAGTTAAACGAAGTTCTGTTACATTTTTGTATAATTAACGGAACTGTTTACACAGATTATCTGCTTGTTTCTTTGTATAATAACTTTCTTGATAGCTTTTAATCTCATTGCTCTGTGTTTTTTCGAATAAATTAATTGTAATTAAATAACAGAATGGTAAAGTTAGTTTTCCATGATGTTCGACCGATCTAATTGATGCTTCTTATGGTAATCTAAACCAGCAACCACAGGCCAGGCTACGTAGTGGACAATGGACACTTTTGTTGCATTTTGTCATATGGCAATAAATATCTATTATTATATTTTTTTTATTTCGTTATACTTATTTTCTTAAATTACTGTTTTTTTTCAAACGAACAGGCGGTTCACTTGATACTTAATTTGAAAATCGGTGCCCATGGACATTCAGAACATTTAATTTGCAGCCTTGGGATTACAGCAACGTTGCCAAAAATAGGGTAGGCTCTGGTTACCTTACACATCTGACGAATTGCAAAAGTGTAGACCTATACAAGCTCGGACGAACTGGTTCACACATTGCGTGACTCTTCTACAATACATGCATAAAATATACAATGACTGTACGTTTTAAAACTTTTCTACTCAGTTAACAGTCCTACCTGGCAATCACTTCGTCGGGTATCTCCCTCGCCAAGTCGTCGAAAGTCGTGGCCCTCTTTAAGTTGCAAAGAGCTCTGTAGTTGTTGTAGCTCGGTATACCGTGATCTCTCGCTCTCTGGATGTTGAGCGCAATCAGGTCGATTCCGGAGAACGGTATCCTGCGATCTTCGAACAGGTGATTTGTAACTTCGCCGGTGATGAACTGATCTAAGGTCTCCATAGGCGTCGAGGCTAAACCGCGCATCAATTCGTCCACCAATTGCGGATGCTGGAAGAAAAAGATTATATGAATAACTTTACATAATATAATTACAATAACAAGTAAAAATGTAATGCGTCTGAAAATGTCTGTGTTTATGAGTTGTACATTGTTAATTTAAAATAGACGTAGTAAATATAACAATAAGGCAGGTCAAGAATTAAACATTTCCAAATTAAACTTTAATGGAAACCTTGTACGTGTGTAAAATATGCTGTGTTTGAATCAAATACACCTCGAAAGGAACACGGGTCAAAGTTAGTACATATAAAACTCACGCTCATAAACATATCGGGCTTGAAGAAGCCGTCTCGCAGCAGGATTGGTGGCTCTACTGGCTGGAAGTTGGGAGATAGCCGTGGCAGGTGTGGCCGCAGTAGCGAGTGTCCGAAGCGGAACGCGGCAGCTGCGAACTCTGTCACAATCGCCGGATTGCAGGTCGGCGAGTACTCCTTGTAATAGCCTGCATAGCACAAAGCGTTTGTTTTTAATTTTCTTTCTCTTAAAAATCTCCCATAATACACTGACTGTTGTGTTCAACGGTTAGACAGTTTAATTATTCATTTATTTTTTAAAAACTTTAGTACTTGACGATACTTATCCATTTATTTTGTTAAAACATTACTGTATGTGCTGTAGTGGCTTTTTATAAGAATATTTTATAAATATAAGAAAGTTTGGTTGCTCAGAGATTTGAACGGGCATATATATAATATACAATATACGTTCATTATTACATGGTGAGGATGTCGACCGCTTAGCTTAGTGGTTAGAGCGCTTGTACGCTTACCCGGAAGGCTTAGGTTCGAATCCTGGCAGCGGCGAAATATGTTTTGCGACAGTTTTACATACACGATTTTAAATTAAATTGAATTTAAAATAAATAAAAAAATGTGCTTCAAAGGAAATCGCTGCAGGACCATGTATAATGTCAAAGTGTTATTTATATGTATGGAAATGACTAGTTCTGCACTTGCAAGTCCCCTGTTTGCTGTTGATTTTATACCTAAATAATTTTGTATACTTATATCATTAAAAAACAAGACCAGAGCAGAGTATCTTGCCGGTTCTTCTTTGGACTTGAAGAAGACTTGTTTAGTGAACCGGTGGTAGTTTTCTTATGGCGTTCAACAAGAGCTCATAACAAGCCAAACGAAACAAGTCTACATTGAATAAAGTAGTTTTGACTATCACTTCGGCAGAATCACGGACGAACAAAAACGGACCGCACCTTGTGGCAATAGCTTCAGGCCGTAGAGATTGACGGCGTTCCACGACAGGAGCCTGGGGAGGAACTCGTTGTAGATTATGTGCGTGAATTCAGCGGTGAGGATGCGCCGCGTGTGCTCGAAAAGCAGCTCAGAGTCCCAATGCGGGTTGACGCCGCGCAACCCCTCCACCAGCCGGTTGTGTTCGCGGAGCAGGATCGTGTGGATAGCAGTCAGGCCGGGCTGCTCCGAAGCTCTGCCGTCACCTGATCAAGATGAGATGTTTGAAACAGCTCTCCCCACATCCCACCTAGTTTTAGAGTTTAACAATCCTTTTGGCAACTCAAATAACATTTGAAAAGCCATTTAATAGATGATTCATTGACTTCTACGATGATCAGTGTTTCACAAGCCGGGCGTCAGTTTGGTAGCGGTCGGATAAACAGATTTTTTTATATCAGTGCTACCCGTGCGAAGACGGGTCGGATCGCTAGTCCTGATTATTTATCAGATGTTCAGTGTCTCACCAGCAATGAAACAAAATCCGCTGGGCGCTTTGCACTCAGGGTGGTTGTCGGAGCGAGGCAGCAAGTCGCGGCCGTTGAGCGGATGGGCGGTGGCGTTGAGCCGCCCGTTCAAACCGCGCAGCTTGCGAACTATGCACGGATTCTCTCCATAGATGACTGATCCATCGATGAACGCCGTGTTCTGGTTAACTTGTTCACGGGGTCCTGGGGGATCGATGCATTCATTAGCCCTTTATAAAATACCATGTAACCTATGACCATATAAATAACACAATTTAATATTAACTGCTTAAGAGCATCAAACGAAATAACTACTCTAATTCGCGCACAACATCGATGCAGAAATGTCTTTGGTTTATTATTATAACAAAATTAAGAACGAAACAACGATTTATGTTATCAAATGCGAAAACAAAGATTATTCTGTGGAATATTAGCCCAAATGAATGTGCTGGGGCTTGTGAAAATATGACTACGATGTACATGAAGTCTTTGTCTCGTACCTAAATGCTGCTGTCCAGGCAAACTTCTCATGAACGGGAAGCAAAGCCGCTCGCCAGATGTAATGTTGACTTCGGGATAGTAGTGGTCACCTCTTGGCACAGGGAAAGGATTACATTCGGGGTGAACTGTGCGCGGTGAATCACAGGATCGGCAATCCGGAATGGATTCGTGGAAACCTGGTTAAATCCTCGATTAGGTTAATGTCGTTATGAGTAAAATGATGCAAGTGTAACGATAATTATTGATATTTATTGACTTACATTTCTCACTTTTAATAACTGCGGAAATTATTGTTATAAAACTCAGAAATAAACAACAATTTTAATCTACTATGTGACTATTTTATGGTTGAATTTAAAGTAACTTTACTGTGAGAGTATTATTTAGACCTTATATAATAATAACGTGACTCCGAATTTTTTATTTTACTTAATAATTTTATATAAAAACTGATTTTATACTTCAAGTAATATTGTTTGGACTTTGTTTTACCTTTATGAATAGGGGTCATAGTGAGCTCGTGGTCGACGATTTGAGCAAACTGCATCACCATAAGAGTGTATCGCGTGTGCAGATTGGAGATGTCGGGGTGGATTACTGTGGAGACCACTCGCGGTGAGGGGAGGGGTGTGCCAGTCACCGAGTTGATACGTGGCCTGCTTACGCCTGTATAAAGGAAAAAATCTTATTTCTATGAATACATTGTTGATATTTGATTAAAGTTAAACAGCAGTCTGTAATTGTCCCACTGCTGGGCAAAGGTATATAGAGAAGGTATATAGAGAAGGTATTAAGGCGGTATCCACCATGTGACCCCACCGCGGATTGTTGGATTTCACGTATCTTCGAAATACCATTTTATTTCGAAAATACGCAGGCTGACAATGTTTTTCTTTCACCGCTGAGCACGTGATAAGTTGGTTATTAGAAAAATAGTGTGAAATAGGTTTTAATTGTGAGCCGGCTTAAACATAGCGATCATTGATAGCAACAATGCCAAATATAGTTTATTTGAAATAATAAACATTAATTGTTCATAATAAACAATTGTTCCTGATAAAACATAAAACAATTCTTGTGTGAACATTCAGAATTTAATAATCAATGCAGTACCTGATCCGCTGCACTAAAAAAGCGACAAAATAGGGAAACTCACCGTCTTCGTAGACCGGTGGCAGTAATCTGGCAAAAGTGGTTAAACTCTTCCCCAAATTGGGGTTCCTCAAGTTGTTGCAATATCCCGTGTAGGTCCTGAAGGGATTGTTCGCGGCACAACTGCCCCCATCGTCGCACTGGGGTTCTATGGTGGGGCCCTGCTGGTCTTGTCCAATAAAACTGCTTACGTCCACAGACTGAAGGGAGTCGACGAAGTCGTTTGCAGCAAAACTCAATGAATCGTCAAAGATCTGACGTTTACGACGATGCCTGTAAAATATATTAGATGTTACCGAATAGTTCTGACTAATTAATAATTTGTGACTTCACGAAATTATCGAGATTTATCGAGTTTATTTTTAATTTTATTTCGATTTGACCTAACTATCGTTTTGTTCCGTGTGGGAATCCCATGACCCCCAACGCGAAGCCAATAGCTTAGCAATTGCACAATTGAGTCGATTTGTATTAACTTACCCAGTATTAACGTTGTTCAAAAGCTCGTTTGTAGCGAATTCAAAGAAGAGAGATGTGTTGGCGAGTTTCAAAGCGTATTTGTTCGCTTTCGAAAACGAAGCGGCTGTTCCAACTGGAGATTTAGGATCGGCCCCACCACCTAAAAGACAAAAAGAAAATTATAAAATATGCAATATATTCTTTGTTACAAAAGTTTTAAAGACACGTTATTTATTAATAAATCAATGGAGTATGGATCTCAATAAAAACATTCAGTAACTTATTTTTCGTTCAAATTATTGCTAGGCTTGTGTTAGAAGATATAAATTTGGACTTACGTGCTTCCCAAAGCATGTATTCAAGTTTCTTTCTGTCAGCCATTTCTTGCTTAGCCTTTTCAAGTGCAGCAGTAAGCATGTCTTGTGACAGCCTTTCAGCTGCCTTTGCTCCAGTCTCATCTCTCCACGCGTTGAGTTCCAGACGATTGTGCTGGGAACAATGCTGTGCGGCGTTTCTAAGGACAAGAAATCAGATACATGATCGTTTGTTTGGCTACAGCTTGCCGTAGTTAAATTCAACCAGGGATAAAACATTTATCTAAAATATATTTTAATTCTTTTAGCAAATAATTCTTTAGGCAATAATGTTTAATCTCTACGATAAGTGAATATTGTGTTCAGTTATAAATGAGTTACGGATTTGTGTATTTTGTAAATTACTTTTTGTGTATGTTTTAGTTTGTGACCTGTTACTAAACCTATCCTTTAGTAACAGGTCACAAGCTGCTTAAAATTAAATTAAATTAAAATAAGGATTGTCTCAAGTGGCTATAAAACTTCAATATTTCTTTAAAAGTTGTATAATATCAGCCTATATATCCCACATATCCCACTGCTGGGCAAAGGCCTCCTCTGTGCAGATGGTATCAGGGCAAAGTCCACCACGTGGCCCCACTGTGGATTGGCGGACTTCACATATCTTCGAAATATTTTTTTTGTTATTATTTCGAAACTATGCAGGTTTCCTCACGATGTTTTCCTTCACCGCGGAGCACGTGATAATTCAGCACTTAAAATAGACAATTTTATCGGTGCTGGCACCGGGGATAGAACTCAGGTTGCTCGGATATATAAAATTAAGGGCGAGCGCCCGGACATGGCTATCGTGGCTCATATATTTTTTTGCCTTTCATACTTTGAAATGATGAAATACTTACAAATACGGGTCCTCCTTAACGAAGGCCTTTGGTTGAATGTTGCCTAAGTTCTCCGTCGAGGCACACAAAAGACCAGCGAGCGATACCTTCCTGATGGCACTGAGCTGTTCCGAAGAGAACGATGACGGTGGGATGTCATTTTCGTACCAAAACCTGTTAAATTATGCGTGGACATTACAAAAACGCCTTTGAAAACAAATGCAATTAAACAAAATCACATGTTTGAGTATGAACAATACGTGGAGCAATTGTTGGAGTGGTCACCTGTCCACCGCATTTGATTTGTACATGCACCAAATTGGTGTAATCTACATATCCGTTCTTAATCTGTGCTACCTTTGCGTTCTTGATTTCACGTTCGAGGAATCGTAAATGAAGCAGGGTCGGCTTATAAAAGAAAATGGTTTAAAACATACCTATCACTCTTTTTTAGATTTGCGAATTGGAGCGCCAGGACGCATGCCAATGTTGAGCCGATAACCGCGCCGGAAGCAGGCTTCTCCATAGCCCCAGCGATCATTAGTTCAACGTCTTCAGCATTCCTGTGAAGTAAGCAGAACATTCAAGTCTTTAGATAAACGATAAATTGAATTTGATAATCGGCAGAACTAAATTAGCGTTACCGTGAGAAACACTTTGCGACTTCTTTTTACATAAAATTAACACGTTTTTAGCAAGGGTTTATTTTGTCAGATTATTAAAAAATACGAGTTTCTTTGGATTATTTTCAACAACTCTGTTATAAATGAAACTAGTTTATACGGATTTATGGTGTTTATTTTTAAATTTAATTCCCGACGTTTCGGACCTTTTACAGCGTTCATGGTCACGGGACAGATGGAGGCGTTCAATGTCTGAATGTCATAGTTAACTCGAAATACATTTTAGTTTAGTTTATTTAGATGTTAGTATGTAAGTTTATCATTTCACCACCTACCGTTGTCCAAAATAAAATACCTTTAGCAAGAAGGTTGTCTGGAAGAGATCGCTTCTTAGCGATAAAACCGCTTTGTTGCTTCTACGTTAATTTTTTAAATTTTTTAACATTTTCTTTTAAGTTTTTATGGTGTTCAATAAAGCATACATAATAATATTAATTGTTTTTATTTATAAACCCAACCAGACCAGAAAGCAAATAAATGTCCCTGCCATAATAATAATACAAGAAATTATCAACTTTATTATGATTGGAATTAAATTGTATAGTGTATATTACTGTAATAGCTTTTATCTACCTGTACATGTCGGCCATCATTTCCCGTTGGGCCCTGTTGAATCCCAGTATTTCGAAGTCTGCATAGGATTTGATGTTCATCATCGGTTCGCAAAGGCGCAGAGCTCTCAAGTAAGACGCCACACCGTGGTCGCGTGATCGGTTCAGATCCCATTGCGTCGAAGGTGGGAATCTGGAGACCTGGTATGAGCCAGTCTTTACCAAGTCCATGATACTTATCGTTTCGTTAATCTGTTAAAAAAAATAACTTTTGTTGTATACACCAGAATAAAATTTTCCTTCTTAAAGCGGGGAGGAGTATAAATTCCATGTTGCTCACATGACTGGTTTTAGTTATATGTACAAGAAATAAATAATATATATTATTAAGCTTTTGAGTTATTGGAAATTTAACTAAACTAGTATTCAGATTAATTGCCGAGTCAATTTAACATTTCTGTTGATTACTTAGTCTATATTATACGCATGTTATGAAGTTGAATTTTAATTGATCAAGTCAGGTTGAGTGCTTACCAATTTTTCATGCATCATTGCACTAAATATGGGTGCGACGGCTATAAGTTCCGCGTAAGCACCAGCCCGGTTGGTGCTGGAGTAACCGCGCCAGAAACCTAATGATGTCAGTTTCAATTCTGCTTTGGCCATTCCCACCTTGAAAGATATACAAATATGAATATAGTTCTCAAGACTCTTAATGGGTTAAATCAGGACTTTACATTTTTGCGTTCCTAAGAATGATAAATGCAAGTTCTTTTCCCCTTTAACTTAAAAAAAAATCTCTATTTCAAACCTAAATTTCTCGACATTTAGACTTCAATATATACTTTTATTAAGTTTTATAACTGTCTTATTCCTTCTTCTGTTCTTGCAGGTACCGGTCAAAAAGTTAATCTCTGGTTCAGTTTTTGCTGCGAAAAATATCAAGTTAATTTAACTTTTCAGTTTTGATTTGAAACATTGCTAAAAATCAATTTCTCATAATAAATTCGAATTTTCAACTTTTCGATAAACAAGGAAACGTTTCTATCGTATCTATTGTTCTATCTAAAATAATGTTAAATCTAAAACCTCTTCAATGTGCGTTAGAGTTTTATAGCTTGTTACCATATCAATACTTGAATGACGAATGAATGATTTCTAATATCATTCACTTCTTTAAAATATCCGAACAAATTGAGGTTCCCTTACGATATTTCGTCTTCCTTAGAAGAACGTACCTGGGTTGGAGAGCTAATGCTATTCAGTTTTCACCGAGATATCAAGTTATAAAAGTTACAACTGTGACCTTCAAAAATACGACTACCAAATGTTAACGAATGGAAATATGTATTGACATCATATTTCATTCGGAGTCTACATGTCGTATGTTAATAGTAAAGATTAATAGCATCTGAGATTACAAAGTCAATGAACTTGAACTTAAAACACGAAACATCACTCTATGCAACTCAACTCAATAAATACATAAACATTTTATATTGATAAATAAAAAAATTCTAACGTAGTTTGAATTATGCTCAACTAGCGACCCGCCCCGGCTTCGCACGGGTGCAATGTTGGATGTTTGTTTTCGACATCGCATTAGAAACCTCTAAAATTATCAGTGTTTCTCTACTATATTATGCAAGAATTAACACTACATGTAAACCTTCCTCTTGAATCACTCTATCTATTAAAGAAAACCGCATCAAAATCCGTTGCGTAGTTTTAAAGATTTAAGGATATATAGGGACAGACAGCCAGACAGTGAAGATAACTTACTTCTCCCAACAGCACCGGCAAGAACTCGTTGTACGTTATGTGTTGTATTAAGGCTGCTATGGCCCTTCTGGCCTCCAGGAACAGGGCGACGTCATCCCAGAAGGGGTTCATGGAGTAAAGTTCGCCCGCAATTCGGTTGTGCTCAAACAGCAGGGCTTTGTACAGAGGAGCAGTTGGTGTATTATCGTTGCATCTGCGAAAGTGGAGTATTATTTTTTAACACAATAAACGTGATTACGAAAGGCGTAAAGTGTTCGAAATGGGCGGGAATTTCATAACGCAATAAGTAATAACGTAAAAGCGATTAATGCCACAAAACAGTTATACTTCAACCTGTGTAGTATTCGTGTGAGTATACGAGAAATCAATTAACTCAAATTAATGTAGAGTGCATATTTTTAACATAATATATTACGGACTCTATCGAATTATGTGTAGTAAATTAAAGCATCAGGCTGTACATGTCCCACTGCTGGGCAAAGGCCTCCTCTATACAGAGGGTATCAGGGTATAGTCCACCACGCGGCCCCACTGCGGATTGGCGGACTTCACATATCTTCGAAATATTTTTTTTTGTATTATCTCGTAAATATGCAGGTTTGCTAACGATGTTTTCCTTCACCGCTGAGCATTTGATAAGACAGTAAATGTCAACCGGTGGCAGTTATCACTTAACATCAGGTGAACTGCCAGCTCATTTGCCACCGTCTCAAATAAAAAAAGGACACGTTTTATAAATAGCTGTAAGAAACTCTTTATCTGTTAGTATGTTCATGAAAAAGTTAAACATTTCTCAGTTAGGTTAAAACAGATTTTGAAACGTGATTTATATAATTTGTAACACGCATTTAAACATTCGTTAAATTTTGTATGATCTCGGTATTGAAACGAAACATTTAATTGTGTATTGGTAATGATGACATCAAAGCAAATATGTAACTATTCCGCACTGGAATGTTCGTAAGGTCTGTCGGCCCTATTTGCACACAATCTGTTTACGTGATGGCAACGTCGGGTCTTCTCAGTAAATAAACAAGTGAACTTTTGAAACTGAGATGTCTTGATTACAGACAATATTTAATAAACTGGGTGTTGTATCATACATCTCATATGATTGTCTTACCTGTATTCCTTTGTTATTTTATTACGGTAATCTTAATAAATAAAAATGAATGTTGGTAAGCGTAAAACTCAAGAATGGCTGGACCAATTCGGCTAATTATTTTTTTTGTATGTAAGGTCCACGGAAGGTTTTAATACTATAAAAAAAGAACGAAGTTGCACAAAGTAGTTCCGATTACGTTTAAAAGGTACAAAACACTCTGGGATGGGAACAATGAAAAAAAAAAACATTTCGAATAAAGACGCGAAGTGCGGAAGTTACAATGTGTGTAATGTAATGTAAAAAGATTCAAACATGTGAGGTCTGCCATCCGCAGTGGACTATGCCCTACTTAATACTCTCTGTGCACAAGGACTTTGTCCACCAGTGGGACATATAGTGGCTGTTATTTTACTCCGAGGAAATGAAATTTATCGGTTTCTCTACGTGGGTTTTAGGAAGTTAAACCTTGCGTTTCAATCTAAATCATACTATTATAAGTGATGTAATACACTTAAAAGCATAGACATTCATACTATAGGCTTGACTCACTCAGTTGTACATAATATTTACGGTATTAGAGTTGAAATTTGATTAGTTTTTAATCGAATAATGAACAAAACCTTGAGAAAAAACAATAGGTCGACAAAGAGCGCATTGGCAGCTTATCCGCAAGTGAATGCGCAGCGACAGAAATACGTGGGATGTGTTCCCATATAACGCGTATCGTTTATCAAATGCGAAAAACGTTAAAAAATATTAATTAACATGCTTTGTTTAGAGAAGTGATTGCTCAGTGTCCGGGCGCTCGCTTTTCAATTCAATATACTCGAGCAACCTGAGTTCAATCCCCCTGCCGACACCATGAAACTGTTACGTGTTACTAAACTATCACGTGCACAGCGGTGAAGGAAAACATCGTGAGGAAATCTGCACAGAGAAACTAAACCATCTGTACAGAAGAGGCCTTTGCTCAGTAGTGGGACATGTATAGGCTGATACTTTACTTTTTATTTTTATGCTTTGTTTAAAAAACACAAATGCTCTGTTTAAAAAACAGCACCACTCTAGAATTACTATCTTATCGATTAATTCTTTACATGTTCTATTTTTCAACTAAATTCCTAATTGAAAAATATATGACAGACATGACATCGTATAAGCTTTAGTGCACTGAGTTTTTAAATTATTGTTTCGTTGCGGTGGAACGCACTGTATTTTCAATCGAATTCAGAAGTTCTGAATTTCGTTGTATTTTTGAAGTTATACTTCTTTTGGCGCGTTGGGAAAAATATGAGAGTAAAATTTTTACTATGCGCGCGCTTATCGAAAAAACTACATGATAAATTTGTAAAGCGAAGCATACTTCACGATATTACCATGGCAAGAAATAATCACTTTTTGACATTTACCTATAATTCCATGTTATTAAATTAAACCGTTATAAATGCCATTTAATTTGTTGTTTTAGAAAATAAGAGTATTGGCACGGAGGATAAAATTTTTAGTTGTTTTTCTTTTGCTACGTTAAAGAAGTACTATAACTTCTTACGTGTGTACATAAGTGCACACACACACACGTTTTTTATGTTTGTTACCTCAAAACTCCGTTATTAATGGACCGATTTCATTATTTCTTTTTGCTTTGACTTTGGCTTTGTATTTCATAAATATTGAACCTTGGACTCCAAAGAAACATAAGGGAACTCCTCAAAATCAAATATTATCATTAATCAAATAGTAAGTGAGATTTGAAGTAGGTTTAGTTTATCTTCATCTTAATAAATAAAAATTAAATTAAAAAAATTAAGTTTAAATTAACTTAATAAAAAAAAAGATGGTAAGCGCATAACTTAAGAATGGCTGGACCAATTCGCCTAATTTATTTTTTGTGTGTTCCTTAAGGTCCAATGAAGATTTTAATGGGATAAAAACAATAACGAAGTCTGTCCGGGCAGCTAGTTGTTTATAAAAACGATATTTTTATGTTTTAAAATCAAACTTACTTGCGGCAAGAAGTAATGTCAAGCTTGCCTGCATCGTAGAGTCGCAACGATCGAAGTTCCTTCTCTGAGCTGCCGTACAATGCGGAACCGTCGAGGACAGAGGTTGCCAGGTTCATTTGCTCACGATACTCTATGAGAGAATGTCATGTTTGAAATACACCTTAAAAATCTGCAAATTTAATATATGAAGCCCTTTTCACTTATGGGAGACCTAAAAAAGAGATTCAATTACTTTCTACGTATTAAAAATGACGTGAGAAATAAATACGGTTTCCATATATTAATACTTAATTGACGGATTTAACCATGTGAGATGATATACATATATTTTAAGAGCATTAACATGCTAATAATCTGACATGCAATTATTTTAAATTTATCCTTAAATGTTATTACAATACCACACGCATTTAATTACATTAATTAAAATCAAATATGTTCCTGGAGATATAAAAACGCTTTGTAATATTAAATTCAAACTAATGAGACAAATCAAGTTATTTAATATTAGGTATATTTTTTGACAAGTAACATTCGTTAATAACATAAACTGAACCGGTTTTATAGACATCACATGACTTCCTCGCTTTGATTGTGGTGATTTCATGTTGTTTAAATTTTCCAAATAAGTTCACGCAAATATAGTTTGTAAGAGTTTAACATAAATTATCAAATCGTATGCATACGTAAAGCCGGCACCAAGCCTCGGGTACTTTGGATGCAACCTTTCAAACAACTTGGCGTTCACTTGAAGCATGTAACTTTGCATATAGGTGTGGCATATTCTTTTTATTTTGTATTCTAATTACCATTTAGGTCTTAATAGGTTTGGCTATAAGGATATCTAGAACGTTTTTAAATATAACCCGAACTAACAAATTAATTTGAATATATCGTTTTGTGCAGATGCGAATAAATGAATTGCACATTTTCTGTGGGCTCATTTCTGCTTTGCTTTACATTGTAAATATAACTCACAGCTCACAAAAATCTACAATTTAAACCAATTAAGTCCTTATGGATAAGTTCCTTTCATGCTTACATTTGCAGAATACTGATTCGTTTATACAGCGATGTATTTAGTGATCTTTTGTCTGCTTTGATTATTCGCACTCACCAAAGCCGCAAGAGTCGAGATTCCTCGTTGGCGCAGAACGAACATATTCGCAATGAGATGAATCACATTTCTGTAACAAAAAAAAAATGCCCACATCAGTCCGACATTGATAAGATTTTTGAGTCTCTTAAATATCGTAGTGAAGAATAACTGACCACCCAATTGGCATAGTGGATGGTGACCCTTTTTCTTGCACCAGAAGGTGTGGGTTCGATCCCCAATACTGTGTGATGAACATAGTGTTTTTCTGGTGTCCGGGTTTCTAGTTGTTTATATATCTATAATACGTATTTATTTACAATAGTAAAGTACGTTTAAGTATCTTTATCAGTTACCTAGTATCCATAGTACAAGCTTTGTTGAGTCTTTTTTTTTTTTTTTTTTTTTTTTTTTTATGCGAAAAGTTGTCAAACGAGCAGACGGTTTACCTGATGTTAAGTAAATACCGCCGCCCATGGACATCTGCCACACCCGAGGGTTACAGATGCGTTGACAACCTTTTGAAAATTGGGCTCCGGCTACCTCACTCACCAGACGAAACGCGAAAGTATTTGTCATACTGTCACTTTACGCTGGTCTTCTGTGAGGTCGTGGTACTTACCCGGACGGCCCTGCCCATTCGTGCAACAGCCGAGGCTGCTGCGTGGCCCTACCACCGTTTGGGACTATATAATGTTGTATAAAAATATGCCCCGAAAATTTTTATTTAATTACTAATACACGTACATACGGAGTCGTCTCCACTGCCCGCAGGCGCATGTAGGTGTAGAGGCGGGCATCGACGAATCGAACCCATAACACGGGCATCGTCTCAAGGGGTGCCCGGACATATGGCCTTTTATTGGCACGTTCAGTAAGGGCGATAACGCAGATGATGTAATTCATCTGAATAGCTAAACAATGAAGTAGTCGCTTTCAAGTTAGGCTTTTCACTTAAGTCTCGTTACGGTCAAACAATGAATTTATTTCGCCATAGTTTTGGTGGGATTTATATTAGCAGGTGGATATGTAAGTGCTTCTTACGCTGATATTATATTTTATTTCTACGATTAATGAATGCTGTGTTTAGTTGTAAATGGGTTACAGTTTTATGTACTATGTGTTATGTGTTCTTTAAATTACTTCCCTGTGTATATTTTGGTTTGTAACTTGATACTAAACTTTTCTGTTTAATAATATCATCTGTTTAACGCTTACAATTTAATTTCAGCGATAGAGTAAGTCGCGTACAACTGGTAGAAGGTAATGTGGTCCATTGTAGCGTTTTAAAGGCTTTGAGTCACTGGTAATGGTCACTGTTATAATGATGATGATGACATAATAAACTTTTATGCATTCATGATTAAATTACAGCTATAATTAAGTTAAAATTTGATAAGGAAGACAGCTCTTCCGAACTGTCTTCTGAACAACGTGGCATTTGATAAATTCATCGCGGTTCCACTTAAGTTACATATAACTGAAATCTTTTCGGCCTTTGCAGGGAATCTAACTGGAGTTTCTTTTTTATTGTTAAATTACCACCCAAGTTTCGTCATAGTTAAAATTTTTGTGTAGGGTGTATTTTTATGAAATCTCTTACGAAATCATATGTTAAATTGGAGTCCGAGTACACATATAGTGTATTATAAATGTACTTGCCCTCGGACAAGAAATCCCCAACCGTTGGAATTATCTCTTAAGTAACCGACTAAGAATGCCTTTGAATGTCATACAAATAACTTTCACCGCGAGAACAGCATACGTAAGTCTTGTATCCGTAATTCGTGTGTCAACATTGTGTAATTGTTGCGTCGTTTTCTTCAAGTCAAATAGAAAAATGAGCTCTTTTGATTGTCTAACAGTTCGTGGCTTGGTTGTACTAAAAATTTCAATAGAATTATTACTTCCTTTGCAACCAATCTGCTTAGTCAGTCAATAGGGTCAGTCAGCCGGTCATAATCTCAGGTGTTAATCTTGATTAACAAACACGTTTCACGTCTTTTGTTCTTAGCTCTGTAGAAACAGTTTGCCAGCATCAATTTTCCCGTCTGATTATAATGTGAGCGTATTAAAGGCAAGGCTAGGTTGTTACTGCTTGTGTGTGCGTTTACTATCTAAGATAACAGCTTTCCGGATAGTTTTTGGGTGCAAAGAATTTAAATAGATAGCTGGCGCTATCCGCTTTTCATTGTATTTATTAATTCCCAAACATGAAGAGCATCGTAACTGTGCAACGCGGTACAAATGTCGGTCAGGTGCTCATAAAAAATACGGAAAGTGGGAAAACTTCGTTAAGGCTTGGCACTGGGATTTGATCCCGAAGCCTCGATAGCGCAAGGCTCAATTCTCAACCAGAAGATCAAAACTAGGTTACTACTAAACTACAATATAGAAGACTGTATAATGAAGATGGAAGACGCTTACTTTTGAAAAGTTTATTAGGTGGCATTTAAAACTGTTAAGATAACGTGCTGTCGGTAATACAAAGGTTCATAATGCATCAGGCCTTGACACGTATAGTGAGATGATATACGGTTATTTCTTTTAATTGACTCTGAAAAAATATTTGTGAGAAGAGATGCAGTTTAGCGGCGAGTATTTTAATATGTCGTAATTGAATATTTTTCATAAATCGTTCATAATTATGGTGTTTCTTTCTTAGTTTGTAATGTTAAATGCGTTAATAATTATTGAAATATAGACGCAAATAACATATATTCGTGTTATTTAATAAAGGTCAGCTTTGTTCAAAAGCTGACCTTTATGTGTATAGATAAATTTTATATGAAAGTAGACATAGGAGCAGCAAATACAGATTGTGTGGGTAAATTTTACCATTATGATAAAACTGCAAAATTAAAAAGTTTATTCAGCAAAAGTTATAGAAACGACTTGAAGGAGACGTTGCGAAGTTTTCAATTCAAGAGCTCATATTTGTGATATAAGTATAATGTTAGCATATCACCTCTGGTCACATGACTTTACACTCGACCGAGAGGACGGAATTTCCTGTTGCGCAATCGCTTTCACCAACTCTTCGTGGACGTATTATACCATTCTTGGTGCGACCCCGCGATCTATCACGAATGTATCGTTACATTTTTATGTCATCGCATGTTATTATGTAGCTATAATATTTCTACCTGAGTTTCTAATTGAACTTAAGCCAAGTAAGGATCTGTGTAATCAAGCTATGTAATGTTATAAATGCATCCTAAGCAATACGCGTTTATTTTGTTTTATTTCATTGTATGAAATCCAATAAACACATATGTGTGTATCGGATTTAGCGCCATTTTGTTGTGAAACACTTTTTGCATTAAGTAAGGACGCAAAGACTGATGGTAATCCACATTAGAAGCTTTACTGGCATGATTTTTAAAGCGAAGTTATGTCAAGCCTCATGGTTTGACATAACTTCGCATTCGCATCATTTTCTTTCGCATATTTCTCAGAAAACATTTTCTCTCATAATACTCATGGTTGGTGCGTGTGTGTCCTCTTAGGGATATTTAAAAATTTAAAATCATTAGTGGTTTTTAAATACGCTATATACTTTTTTTTAGATTAACATTTATTATTTTATGAATATTTGCTATTAACATTTCGAATCGTCATAATAATTCAATTTTTAGATTTACAACAGAGACGATGACATCGCATCGAATTATTAGACACTTTTAAATACCTATAGAAACAATGCATCGTGAAACTCTTAAAAGAAATTATATTGGTGAAGGTCGCAATCAGAAGATAATAAACTTTCGTAATTCGTGTATAAATCAGGTCTCGGTCAAGTTCAAGTTAGCTGCGCGCGAAAAATACTTAAGTGGACGGCTCGCATCATTAGTTGTGTTAATACAGAGCTATTGGATTCTGTTTCGACACTGTCCGTGCGTCTCAACAAAAAGTCAGCGTCCGGCCTTAGCACCACTAGCTGATGTGTGCAACGCCCTTTGGCTTGTGGCAGGGGTAATTGATTGCTAGGCTAGCGGCTACATGAAGGAACCTAATAGGTTAATCTTACCATTAACTGGGTAATTTAGCTATTGAACCTTTGCATTTAGTTATATTACATAATTTTGGTTTTTGACTTCGCGTATTAAAGGGGCTTAATAGCACTACCAACAGAATAAGCATATTATGCTTTGGTACGCTTAAGTTATAGCTTAACTTCAGATAAGTAAGACGTGAATAGTTTGAAATATTTAAGTTTGGACTAACATAAATTTAACGGCTATTAAAGAAGAGATTTACGATATGAAATTTTTAATATGTTTTTTTTTAAATGAATTTTATTTTATTTGTGCTATAGAGATCGTAAAGACGTATCCTTCCCACAAGCTCCGGATTGAAAGCGCAAACGAATTAATTAAGTTAGACAGAACATCATTTACATTATTCAGCTTTACAACAATTTCTACGCCGGTTAAACTAGTAGGAAGCTATATACAGGATGATTTTATAGACGACGGACATATTAACAGACCATATGCAGAATTTGATTCTAAATCTGAATCTGCTACGTAACTGTGGCCTTAATTAAATTTTTTTTTCAAAGATTATTTTTTTCAAACATTAAGGACACTTTAAGAAACTCCTACCTTACCGTCTCAATACATTAACCTATTGACGAGGACTAAAACTTTTCGCTGAACGCGTAATTACTAAACCGCTTATCCTTATATAAAGACCACTTTTAACGGGATAAACAAACAATGTTTGAATTGATATTTTTCTGGCTATTTCTTGTCAATATAAAATATTAATATTTTTCTTGAATTATGGAATGCTCAATTAACCTTATTTCAAAGTATTTACTTCGTCTAAAAAATCATCCTGTATATGACCGAATATGTTATTTTATTACCTTGTTTCCGTTAGCGGTCGCTATCAGATCGTCCATAAGGAACTGTCCCCAGGCAGATAGAAGGCTTGTGACGTAGTCGTGTTCGGCTGGCTCCGTAAGCTGGGCAGCAGCTTGCACGGCAAGCGCTGGCTCGGGCATATAAGGCGGCGAGAGAGGCTGAGACGCACCTGTTATTTTAAATAGTCAAATCAGCATTTTTCCGTATATATTATCTTGGAAATTTTTAGGTATAAAACCTTTATCATGTAAAGGGTTAGTATTCACCCCATGCATAGCCCTACCCTAGGTAGGGCTTTGCACGACCTCACAGAATACCGGCGTACACACAGTATACTTCTACGTTTCCTCTGGTGGGTGGGAAAACCGGGGCCCACTTTATTAAAAGGTGGCAACGAATCTGCAACCCTATGGGTGTTGCAAATGTTCATGGGCGGTGGTCGTAACTTAACATCAGGTGAAGTACCAGCTCGTTTGCCACCTTCTCACATACAGAAAGATCGATTATAACGATTTCTGATGACAGACGATGAGTCATGAGTACCCGAAGCCAAAATTTTTAAGCGTCTATGAGTAGCGATAATGACTCTAGGTCAAAAATTACAGTGTAGACCTAATTTAAAGATCTCATATCTATATGTATCTATATAACAGACGTGTGTAATTGAGAAATAAATAAGCAAATGACCATGGACTAAACAATAAAGTAATAAAAGTATTAGAAATACGATTCAAAACATTTTATTATTCATTAAATTTTAATTTTTTTTTCTACTCCAACATTTAAATAATTTATTAATTTATTAATACATAGTTTAACAGATAAATTTTAATACTAACGTGAATATTAAACTTAAAAGAAACGATCTCTACTTTGAAATAAAATATGATCTATAATATAAATAGCATTGAATATAAATTAACGGTGTAGAACGTTAAGTATCCAAAAATTTTTTGATAGACATTATCTTTTCTAAGACAATGTCGGTCATGTTTATAAACTCATACTCCTTATTTAGGCACTATAGCAGTGTATAACCTATATACTTGGGTACCGTCAGATCCTTCCTCTACACCTTCCCATTCCCTAAGACTAACGCCCTAAACTAAAATGATAATTGAAAAGCCATTTGACAGATGATTAGTGTTTCAGAAACCGGGCGTAAGCATCATAATAAATTGTGAGTAACATTTGCGCGCGCAAACTCCTCACTCGTCAAACACTCGTAATCCTGTGCAGGTATTGTAAAAATCAGGTAAACCACATCGGTTCGGTTGCTAATCTTTAACAAAGGAATAAACTACTTAAACATTAAACATAACTTTTTAAAGCCTCACGCTACCGATATTCAAACAATGTATTATACTAATAACGCGTAAGTAATTTTGATGTCAAACTTTATTACGCGATATGTTAACGTTAAGCTTCGGAGCTGTTATTTTCTAAATCGCTATTGATAATTACTGTCTTTTTGTGACCGTTTAACTTCTTGACCTTGAATGACACGATCGACCGATTGGACCGCATACATAAGGTACAATCGCGGTACTGGGCGGCTCTCACCGGTCTTTGCCGACAAGTAACAGAGTCTACGGTCGCTGAGGTCACGATCGGCATATCGACTACAGTCGACAATTCCCTTTTCGCTAATTCAAGCGTATGTTCAACGCTGGTAGAGTCTTTTCTATTAGTAGAAACTTTTCTATAGTTTTTGCGACCGACGAAGCTTTATTTAGCAGCGTCATCTACCGGAGTGAAACAGCATCTGCTGAACCAATTAGTGCCTCGTAACATAAAATGATTTAGAAGAAGACTATTAAATTTGGAAAATACCATCTTTTCACGCGTTTGACAACCTTTTGAACACTATGCTCAGTAAAACACACATTCATTTCAATGATTTTTACTTGAAACCAGTCTCAAGAACGAATGCTTATTTTGTGCCCAGAATTATTTTAAAGAAATTGGATTATATCATTATTTAACAACCTATTGGTATTTATAATCAAGATGCTCTAATTTCGAAGAATCATAATGATGTAGTGTTTTATAGATATAGCCGCAAAAACCATCATTCAAATTGGGGGATTCAACATTAATGATCAATAATGTTTTGTTAAGGGATAGGCCGGTATGTTAGATTTTACTAGCCGTTAACAAAATCTTTTAAAACTATATATAAACAGCATTTGGCTTAACATCCTAAATATAATTGGCACTTAGCGTTTTAATGTCAGCCTCTTATTAAATATGCGCTTTAATTGCACATTATGTTAATTACGGTATTCATAGACAGAGGTGCGCATTTATTTTTAATTATAACTACGAACAAATTTCCTGCTTCAAGCGTAAAGTGCAGAAAATAATTTAGCTTTATTTTTACAGCATATACACCTTAATACTTTGATTACTTAAAATGTTAATTGAAAGTTTTTTATGCAAAATCTTTTAACGTAATGTACAAAATGTGCAATTACAGTATGAAAAAGAACAAAAATCAGATACATTTTACGAATCACCCATATAAGAAATAGATTCAATCACATATTGTTAATACTGTGCAGAGTTACTTAAGAAGTGACAGTGGATAACAATGTACTTTATTTGTACCATAAAATGTCGACCTTCAATCTATTCGGAACATTTCAAGGCTATTAAATTAAGCCGTCGAAAAATGTCAGTGAGAACACAATTAACTGTGACATAACCTATGCGTTCCATATTCTACCCTTAAGTGTTTGTCTGAGACAACTTCGGTGGACTTTCGGCATTCATGGTGTTTTAATTTAACAAAAAATAACCATGCTAATACATATGTCTATTAATATTGTATACGTATGTTATACAGCGTTAATCTGTTTATTTTTGACATAATATTTTTAATTTTGTAATATCTAATAAGTAAATTTACAAGTGTATATGGCTTGTGGGCAGCTGATAATTTATTTGGCAGGTGTTATAACCCACCATCGGCGTAGTTTGGGGGCAGCAGTCTCAGGAATACATCCCCTCTTCGGCCCCAAGGTCTGTGGCGAACGTTGTTGCATTCCCCGCTTGCACTGCGGTATTTGCTTGGGGGACACGGGGTATTGCTAATTCCCTCCTCGTCCGACGTGCAGTTTTGCCTGTGGAAGATTTTGTACCGTAAGTCAATGCTATTAGTAAAGTAGTAAAGTAAAATAACAGCCTATAAAAGTCCCACTGCTGGGCAAAGGTCTCCTATGTAAAGAGGGTATCAGGGCGTAGTCCACCTCGCTACCCCGCTGCGGATTGGCGGACGTCACATATTTTCGATATATTTCTATTTATCATTATTTCGAAACTATGCCGGTTTCCGCGCGATGTTTTCCTTCACCGCCGAGCACGTAATAATTCAGCACTATAATATAGTAAGAGCCGTGATAGCTCAGTGTTAGGGCGCTTGCCTTTAATTACATTTACCCGAGCAACCCGAGTTCGATCCCCGGTGCCAGCACCAATGAAATTGTCGATGCTATTGAATATTACACATTCATATCATAACAATATATAAAAAGCAAGACATCTTATAAAGACAGGTCTAACAAGTAAAAAAACAAAGGAACCCAAGAAACGTTGAACAGGTCTAAATTGTTAAGTCTGAATCGTTTGAAGAATTTATTATTACTTATATAAGGTTTCAATTACGTGAGAGCAAATAAAAATGTTACAACTGATTACGTTAATCTTTTGTATTTGTATTCTTTGTTAATTACTTATTATAAAGTTACATTTAAACAATATTGATACTATAAGACTTAGCCAACGTATTTTTTTATCCTGATATATACTTAATAATGATTGATGACTCCGTGGCGCAGTTGCCAAGGTATTGGTTTCGGCGTCGGTGGTCGTGGGTTCTCGATTTTCGGGGACAGCTATTTTTGTGTGACCTACAGATAGTTGTTTCGCATCTGGGTGTTTGTCCGCGTGAAATTAATGTTTGTAAAACGTCCTTACAACACAGGGTAATGTTATCCTAAAGTAAAGGTAACTTTTTAAAAAAAAATTATAGTCTATATCGGCATTAGCGGCCTGACGCTTTAGCCACTAAGCTAAATGGCTGATTGACACACCGACGAAAATCTTAACGTGTTTTATCTCCATTATTTTTTAACCATTTGAAGCAAAGTTTGGCGCATCCATTTTTATGTTCTTTCCAGCATACAAACAATTTCGAGTATCGTTTTCTATTGGAGAAACACAAAACTTGGAGCGTTAAATTAAGGCCTAATGGAATAAACAAATGCACCGTGAATAGATGCATTCAATAAAAATGATAATATATACGAACTTGTTCCTATATAAGCTTTGTAACTTTAAGAAATTATAACATGTAGAGTGAGAAATAGCGCAGCAAAGATAAAAACATGTAAGTTGCAACGTCTATATTTGCTTAAAAAAGTTGTAATATTTTACCATAAAGAAATCACACTTAATGTTCCACAGATTCGGCTTTGTGGTTTATTTTCGAAAATGGATTCCAAATAGGACAAATTTCCTAAAATATTTTTGTCGAGAGTTGGCCAGTACTAGGTGGTTTGTGCCATGCAACCGTATCAGCTACCTCGATCATTTTGGCTTTGAAAACAACCAGGTAATACAGTAATGGGATTCGTACACTGTCAATTATTCCCCCCAAATGGTGGTAGATTACTTACGCATCATTAGCTCCTAGTTGAAACCTCCTTTCCAAGGCCAAAGCCTCACTAACCGCTCTTCGCAAGTCACTTGGTACGGCTTGCAAATTTGTATCTTCTACTCGGCTCTTCTGCGCAGTTACTCCCACGAGAACAGCGCCAAGTAGCAACCAGCTACATCTAAGTCTGCAACAAAATAAGATCTAGTTCCTTAATCATGTTTCATTTCAATGCACTGTTTAAATTAATCGCCGTATTTCAATATCACTATATCGTAATGAGATTGACGGATTTAGTGATCAGATTGACGGGTCCCAAAGTTTCGAACACGTTTTTGTCTTGGTTCGTATTCTTAGTTGAGGAAATATAACAGCTTAGATATTTTAAACTTCAGGTTAATTCTGTAGTTTTATAAGCTATCTTGGAATTGTTATATACTTGGATAAACAGTTTTCTTTAATATTTTCCTTTTTGAGAGAAAAAAATATTAAGTAGCAATAAAATTGTAATTTATAATTTCACTATTGCCAGCATATGGATTTGAACATACATTACATGGAATAGGTTATTTCAAGTGAAATTTCTACTATCACTAAACCAAGCACGTTAGAATGGCATTCGTTCACAATTATGAAACAAAGTTTACACATTGTCACATTGTCACATTGCTATGATTTAAATCTATCGCGTTTTGAAGTGGTATAGAAACCCATTTAAAATCAATAGAAACACTGTTGCTCTTGACTATTGACCCGATGCTATAAAAACGAGACGGTCGCATTTGTGCCTTGGAAAGAACTCCTATTTGTTCATACATTTAATCATGTAAAAGTTCGGTCAACCGCGAAGGCAATATGCGATTGACTGTCGTATATAAATGTATAACACGTTAAATATTTTCAATATAAAATACAACATAAATACGACATAAAAATTAATATATTTCATGTTGTATTTATGTTTGTTATTTAATTATATAAAAATAAACGGACTCAGATATATTAGATATGGTATTTTTTAAGGCATCTAACGGTGTTTTACATACTGACGCTCAGTAAATACAACAGTCAATGGACACGAACATTCTGTTTCAACACATGACCCACAGCGAAAAATTATATTTGTATATAAATAAATAATATGTAATAATTAATAGTTTTATATACATAAATATTTCTTTGCAAGCCTGATAACTGATCTTCTATAATAAAAAAAAAAAACATTATACAGTGTACTGAAACGGTGATGATGATGGTACTAAATGAAACAGTTAACATATTCTTTCAAATTCTTCAAATAAATTTACATTCTTCTTAGATTAAGTACATCCATCCACCGGTTCCATGTACCGGTTCTAGGATATTTATTACATTAGATCTAGGACATTTTTAAACATATTTCAATACAAATTTCGAAAAAAATCTGATTCCGTTCAAACTGTTATGTAATACTAAAATAATAAGACGGCTGATGTCACGTTTAATCAACAATTGATTATTCGATTGATTATTGAAGAGTTTAATCGTGGCTCGACCACGAACTCATCCCACTCACCCGGCTGAGGGACCTGCGAACTAGGCACTCGTACATACGTACGTACATACATCGATTAAACGTGAGTTCCGTCGTCTTATTATTTCATTAATAATATCATACAAAAGTTTTAACATTTTTTGTTATATATATACAGTTTGGACAATCACCTCGGCCTTTCTAATGCGCTTTAGGAACTCTTTCGTGTTTTGCGTTGATATTATCAAGTAAGTGACAGTAATAAAAGGAGTCAACATCATGTAGCCAAACTTTTTAACTGTCGTAAGCTCTGAGAATTTTTTGTATTTTTTTATTAATAAATGTATGTAAAGATGTTTCGTATACGTTCTAAATTTAAAACAATGTTTTTTTTCACACGTCCAAGTTTAATTTCGATATCAAATCTCTTATGTTATCAGCGATTCATATATAAAGAGAACGATGTCGCTGCAACTAATCGACATAGTTGTTAAATTCACGGCCGCTGGACTGGAGTTACCTTTCCATAACGTGAATTCGGGAAGTGTTATTTTTTGCAGTCAAGTATTTTTTAAACGACCGTATGAAATTTTAATCGAATTGAATGTTTAATACGAAAACATACCATTGTAACTGTTATCTCGGGCAATTTGTGGAACATTATATTTAACTACGAAACAATTCCCGTACCGCTCTTGTATTGAAGACTTGTAGTCTTGCTTTCGTTTTAATCAAAGACATCAATCTTATGCAAAGGCACCGGTTGTAATACATGTTACTTTCTAACTCAACTTATGTCATTGACATTCTACACAAAAGGTAATAGTTTTTTAAAAGTAGTTTATAAAGCTTAACTCGTAAAGAAACAATCCCGTCTTAAATGTGCTGATATAATTAATATTTAATAGTTAACAGTTAAGGAATAGTTAATAGTTAAGGAAGATTAACATTTCATTTTTTAAATAACAAACTAAGCATGACAACTAAATTCCGGTATTTCTTAGATATACTTATAAATCAACGTGACCAAACTTTTACTAACTTAATCAACCGGTCTGTTTTGTTTTCCGTTTTTCTTTTTTTCTTTTTTATGTGTCGACTATTGATCGAGACATCACTACATAGTATAAAACAAAGTCCTCCCGCTGTCTGTCTGTCCATATGTATGCTTAGATCTTTAAAACTGCGCAACGGATATTGATGCAGTTTTGTTTACTAGATACAGTGATTCAAGAGGAAGGTGTATAATACATTGCACCCGTGCGAAGCAGGGGCAAGTCGCTAGTGAATATATAAATGGACAGGCAATAGACAATTGTTATTTTTACATTGTTGTAGTTTTTTAGTGTTTTAGACAATTCGTGAATATAACGCCAACATAAGTTTTTGAGCATGCATGCATATGTGTAAAAAGTAATACTTGAAATAACGAAGTTAAAGTTCAGATTTAAATAAAAAATAGGAAGATAGAGTAAATATTGCGTTATATATGCTATATATATGCGATATATAGAGCTTAAACATTGTACATCTTACCATTTATTAATATAAATTTATATACTATAATTATTATTGTTTCATTTAAAAAAAATATTGATTAAACGAGGCCAAGTAAATGGCTTTATCCTTACTAATATTATAAACGCGAAAGTTTGTACGTATGGATGTATTTTTGTTACTCTTTCAAGCAAATACTATTGAATGGATTTTAATGAAACTTTACAATAATATAGCTTATACATGAGAATTAGACATAGGGTATAATTTATATACATATTTTAGGTATATCTGTCTTTCCGTCTAAATGTTACGCCTTCAGCCTATTCTACGCAGACGTAGTCGCGGGCAACAGCTAGTTATTTATATTACTAAAGGGAAAGGTTATTTTGTTTTTCCGGAATAATTTAAATTTTAATTATATTTTTACCTTCAAGATACCATTGGTTACGGCTGTGTACAGAGCCTTACCTACCATTAAATTTAAAATAACATCTGCTTCTTTAAAACCTTTAATGAGGTTCTACCTGACAATTAAACGAATTTAATTATCTCCGAGTTCCATCCTTGGATATATATTATGTTCTACATATGTATAGTCAACTTACAGAGGTAAGCAAAGCAATTAGTACTTTAAAATCTCCACGGAAAGATATTACAAATTGTTTAATCGATTTTGTAATTCTATGTGAGTGTTCGCAATGATAGCATTTTGGCTGTTTTTAAATATTTTCATTGCCTTATCGTGTTTTTGTGTTTTAAAAAATTAAGGGGCTTTCTTCTGTGAAAATAACCAGTTTCTATTACGTATATGTAGTTTTTATTTGTTACTTAATAGCGCAAATTTTAAAATTATTTATTAATGATAATGATAATTAATTTGTTAAAATATTTCTAGATTACACAAAAACATGAGCAAGCATTTACAGGTAGCGAGATATCTTAAAATCTATGAGGGTTAATACAGATACCGGTTCACCTCGAATTAGTATTTTAGTAGACAGTGATTGGATTCGGCAATGAATGCTTACTAACTATATTATAAGCAATCCGCAACTGCATTCGCACTCAAGTCAGGGATAAATAACAAAGAAAGAATTCGATCTTAACCTGATATAATTGTTATCTCGTACTATCACCATGTTTAAAATGTTCCACAACTCAGTAAATAGTTATTAATTTCATTTTATGCTTGTCAAATACGAGTGTGCACTAAAATAAGTTAATAAATTGACGACCCAAATGGCGTTGTGGGTAGTGTATCTGCCTCCTGCGTCAGAGGGTGTGGGTTCGATCCCCACTACTGGTAAAATATTGTGTGACGAACATAGTGTTTTTCTAGTGTCTGGGTGTTTATATGTATTTACTTACAAAAGAAAAGTATGTTTAAGTATGTATATCAGTTTTCTAGTACCCATAGTACAAGCTTTGCTTAGTTTGGGACTAGAAAATGTTGTGTAAAAATGTGTCCTAAAAATATTTATTTATTAAATACACTACTGAATCTTTCATTGGTATATTAATTGTTTTCCGTGATAGTCGTAGTTCAGTGTCCGGGCGCTCGCTTTTAATTCAGTATACTCGAATAACCTGAGTTCAAAGGAAATTGTCAATTTTAAGTACTTATTTATCACGTGCTCGACTGTAACGAAAAGCATCGTGAGAGAAACCTGCATATTTTCGTAATAATAGCAAAAACATTTTTTCAAAGATGTGAAGTCAGCCAATCCATTGTGGTCGCGTGGTGGACTATGCCCTTTCTGTACAGAAAGGCCCAGCCTACATAAGTCTCATTGCCTAGCAGGGTGACTTGTATAGTCTGTTACGTTACTTAACGTTATATTGTTTAATTTTCGTGATTTACGTATATACATTGACAGCACCCTTCGTGCAACTTAATCGAAAGTTATAAGCCTACTAAGTTATCAGTGAATAAATGGCTACAGTTCCACTTCGTGCAGTTAGTAACAGCTGCTTCAGATATCCTTGGGTTCAGCGACTGACGGCGGCAGCACGTGTGCCTCGACATTCGCAATGTCAACCTACCACTTTCCCACTGCTCGGGTGACCGCCGCGTTTATTTCGCATTAACACGCTCGAAAAAAATGCACAGAACTATTTTAAATGCTTAAATATGTGGTCACGGTCTGTTGCATCAGACTTTTGGTTCGACATGT